CTAGAAATAAATATACTGGAATACTGTGTTTTCCTGAAGAGGTCTAATTCTAATTGGAACCATCAAGGGGAATTAAATTGAATTATTGGTTGCTAGGAACTAGAAATAAATATACTGGAATACTGTGTTTTCCTGAAGAGGTCTAATTCTAATTGGAACCGATTGTATTTGTATTGCTGTTCTAAGGTTTGCTTGTTGCTTGTAGGTTTACAACCTACCAGGACGCGCGCCGAGTTGGACTCGTCGACGGAACAGATATTTTACGAGTATCACCCGTTAAAGGTTTGCCCAATGAAGAAACTTACTGGGCCGCGCTCAGCCTGTCATTCCGCCGAATCTCTATTCTATGTTAATGAACATAATAGCCTGAGGTCCCCAGGTAAACAAAACCTCGCACGTTTTGTAAGGCCTGTTCATGCACAAAGCGCCTAGTCTCACACAAGATAAGCATCACTTGTAGTATTTGTTATCAGTTATATAATACGACATATCACCCAAAATGTGCTCACCTAACACCTAGCGACATAACTGAATTTACTGGAAAATGGTCTTGCTACAGCTGCATTTCAGAAATTCTTCCAGTGGGCGCCGTCATGCCTCTATAACAATCACGGCCTATACAAATCCCAGTCTCCAATAAACTTGTAGGTTTACAACCTATAAGGACTACCAGGACGCGCGCCGAGTTGGAACAGATATTTTACGAGTATCACCCGTTAACAATAAACGAGAAAAATGTCACACTTGCACAAAAATTTGGAATATAAGATTATAAGACAAATGACCAAATGTTGCTACTGTGACAACCTATCCCACACAAGATGTTCTGCTGCCTCAACAGGCTGCAAAGAATGCTTGAGAAAAATTTTCCCAGCATATGATGTCTCCATTGGACAGCTTCACTTAACGGGTGATACTCGTAAAATATCTGTTCCACATATTTATATATCGACCGTCGACTAGTCCAACTCGGCGCGCGTCCTGGTAGGTTGTAAACCTACAAAGCTTCACATGATAAATTTCAGTAACACTATTAGTTTTAACCCCTTTAATCGCGACCACCTATCAAATCAAGCAATTACCTGGGGACCTCTTAACGGGTGATACTCGTAAAATATCTGTTCCATATATTGGACCGTCGACGAGTCCAACTCGGCGCGCGTCCTGGTAGGTTGTAAACCTACAAGGGACCTCAGGCTATTATGTTCATTAACATATACTTATATAGAGATTCGGCGGAATGACTATTCGGGGTTATGGTTAGGGTTCCGGTTAGGGTTGGGATTAGGGTTTATGTAAAACCGTTTTGTACGGCTGCAAAACCAAAAAAATCAAAGTCACGTGAAATTTTTGGGCGAGCGATTTAGTAAGAGCCGTTCTTTGCAGTACCATTCAACCGTTTATGTAATTCAGACAAAAGCATTTCTTACATTGGGCCTAAAGCTAAGTTATATAACAAGACGGTCAACATTATCAACAAGGACATAAACAATAAAATACGTCACAACTTGCCTACAAGACAAATTCCTAAATTCATTCAAGTCTACAGTCAGCAAGCATGTGCTTACTGCACAAGCACTTAACCCGGATGTGGATTGTGGGATGACAAGGACTGTGGACTGGAACAACTCAAATTTCGTACTTTTAGAAACTTAAATAATTTGGTACAAAATACGTTGATGATAACGAGCAACAAAACTTTGACCTCATAACAAAATACGACTATCTTCGAGCATTTTTACAATGCTATCGTTGTAGGTTTACAACCTACCAGGACGCGCGCCGAGTTGGACTCGTCGTATGGAACAGATATTTTACGAGTATCACCCGTTAACAGTTAATGCTATCGCTACCGCGCAATTTCACTGTCAGTGTCATTTACAAGATAAAAATATCACCGCGCATTCTTCAGACCCTGTGTCGCTGTTCTAACTTTCTGTCAAGAGATAAGAGTTATTTAGAAATTCTTAATATATTACTATTAAATTCTTAATAGTACTATTTAAATTTGCTAATAGCGTAATCATATTTTATACATTATTCATATTTTATACATTGTGTGCATATATTTATATTTGATTGTAATTAAAGATTTTAAGGCGTTAGTGCCGAGTAATGCCTCTGGGTAGTGCTCCTCAATCAATCAATCAACCACCAAACCCACCCCCCCCCGTAATTAACCGTTGAAGCATTTAATTGGAAACGTAATATGTGAACGACGTGACCCCTTGGCCTTATTAGGGATTAGGATCAGATTATAAAGGGTTAGGTTTTCGAATTGCTCTAACGTTTAACCAGCGAGCCCTCACGCTTGCAGGGGGAGGGGGGAGATTCCAAATGATTACGCTAGTGTAATTCTGACACGATACACGATAGCTATGCAAAACTGATTACGGAGGGAGAGGGGGGGGGGGGGGGGGGCCGGGGGTAAAATTTGTCTGAAAAGTGATTACGTGATATGTGTCATACGTGAACGATCCTTGTATCACGTAATCATAATGACCCCCACGGTCGTTTCACTATGAAATGAGTTTCACTGTATGCTGTAGAGTTTCTACGATACAGGGGCCGGAGCCGCGCACTCGTGCGCGGCGGGTCATACAACGTATGACAAAACGATCCCTACACCCTATTTCAATTTGTATTTAAGTTGCAATTCTTAGAATATTCTAATGAATTTACTGCAATATAGTTACACGGTAGGGACGGTAGCGTTAATCAGGTTTTCGAACGTAGTGGGAACAGTTTAAGCCAGTATCGTCAAGGTTAAGAAAAACAAAAATAAAACGCTATATGATTTTCTAGACGAAACAAAAGGTTCATCCAGCAGTCCTGAATGCTGAAGCCAGCCAAAAAATTAAAAAAAGTACAAACACGTATATCTATTCTGAATAGATATACGTGTTTGTACTTGAATAGTATTCAAATGGAGATGAGTTGTTTCTCCCAGCCAGTAGAGTACAGGAATTAAGGGGGAAATGCTGGTATTTATGGACGCTGCTATGAAAACCGGTCAGGCCGTCCTGATCTATTGAGCCTGGACGGACCTTTTCATCAGCTGGCAGGATCAAGGATCAAGGATGCAGACCTAAGTCCATGATAGAATGGGCCCAAGTTGTTTGTGCAATGGTAGTCTTAAGGTTAAAGGTACTACTTGAGAAAAGAAGGCTAATGATGACACTTGTGGTATCTTCTTGAGACATGATAAGGCAGCTTTAATTGTACTATCGAACTTAAACAGTCTACAAGTACAACCATAAAATTAAAAGATGGGTCATGGCATGGACATAATTTTATTACACAAAATTTGACTTAAAGTTAAAGATGAGCGCTATTTGCTTTCGGGAATCCCGATTTTATTCCCCGATTTTCGGGAATCCCGGGATTTTTGTTGCTCGGGATTCCCTTATCCCGGGTTGAATATTTTGATCGGGATTGACTTCACTAGTGATTAATCATCATCCGTTCTTTTTGGGGTTATGGTTTTTGCCAAACTTTTAAAGGCCAAATCACGCGATAACTCTTGGGCTTTGGGTGAGTGATTGTTTGGTTTTCAGCGTGTCGTATTAGGCATAAATATAATATGCAATAACTAGTGTAACCCGTGCCTACGGCCGGGACTTCCCCATCGCAGTTGAATTGCAATAGTATAAACAGTGCAAAAGTTGAAATTGTGCAAAAGTATAAACTCGCTCTGTTGAAACCGACCGCATTAAAGTAAATTTAATTCTGAGGGCCAATCACCGATCAGATAACACTAATTTGTAATTGCTAATTCGTATTCAATGGGGAGAGAGTGTGAGAGAGGGACAAAAAGTGAATCACTTTAATATCACATTTGCAATACAAAACTATAGTGCGTACCTTAGGGCCAATAAATTTGGTTCACAATAAATTTGGTTACCATAATTTTGGTTGCCATAATTTTAGTCACAAATTCCGCAAATTTTTAGTCTACAACAATTTTAGTCACATTTTTCGACTTTTCGAGACCATTTTCCATTCCATTTACCTTAAGAACGACACATTTAGTCTTCCCCGGCTGAGCATTTCAGATTAAGCTGCAATGCATTACTCAGGAATTTCAATAACATCAGATCCAGAGTTTGTGACTCTGTATCACTAAGTTCTTCAGTACACTGTTCAGTTTGAGTTTCTTTTCCGACTTTACCATTTCTGTCGGTACGACATAGTTTAAGTCGATATGATCCTTCAGCCGTTTCAACAGAGCATGCATTTGGATGGATCGATTAAAAATGTAATGTCCAAGAGGAGCTCTAACCCTTTAAGTGCAATAGGACTTTAGTACGGTTTTGTGCAGTAGGAATGGTGATGTCATATATTAATTATAAACATTGTTAGCTTAGGGGTCGATCACATATTACGTAATCAGCCGAGGGGGGAGAGGGGGTTTACAAATGCTTACGGTTGATTACGGGGGGGGGGGGGGGGGGGGGGGGGGGGGGGGGTTCCGGTCGTTGATTACGTAATCAAAATGTTCTTTTTTACCCTTTAGAATAATAACAATTTGACAATATTTTAATTCAAATTCCACTCAATTTCACTCTGATAGTGATAAAATTTAGAAATTGATCGAATATCCGGCTATAATAGTAAGTAGTTTAGAAGGTGCTTGGCCGGATATCATAACAATGATTTCGGCTCATCATGAAAATAAAGATAGCATGATCAGGGTAGCATGAAACGTAGAGAAAAGTGTTTTCTAGGAAAAAAGTCAAGGGGGGGGGGGCCCGGGGGGGGGTCAGCCGTCCGGCCATGATTACGTAATATTGCTGTCAGGAGGGGGGGGGTTGCATGGGTCTTGATTACTGTTGATATCAAATATATGCATGCAATGGCGCGCGCCATTATGCATCTTCAGTGCAAAATCAATTACACTTACACTCCAGATATTGATTTAGCGCGTTCCATATAAATGCGCGGAAGACCGTTTTGACGATATTTTCAAAGCACATGCTAAATTAAATTAAAACTACAAATTTATATAAGAGATGCACAAAACACCACGAATAAATTATCAACCCTGATTCTCAAAAGTAACAAAATCAATAAAAGGATCACGACTTGCGGGTTTGGCCCAATTCACTGCTTTCATCTTTGAAAGACACATTTATCTAAAACGATATCCAACCTATCGCAACAACTAACGGATGCTTCATCATTTCTTCACTCTCACCATAATAATCCAGCAATCTCGTTCGCTCTGTATAAATAAATTAAGTAGAAAATTTAAAACTATGTAAAGTTCCACCATTTTCCTATTAAACTAATTAACAAAATCTCGAACATTCTTTAGGAAGTTCACGTAGTTGTGGTGTTCAAAGGCTGCAGACATCTCAAAGAGAGTGCTCGAAAATTCCGCATCAAGACCTCGTCTTGTCAGATAATTCTCGAACTCTTCTATCAAAACCTAAAATGTTTTTAAGTCAAAATTTACATAACGAACGACAGCACACGCTCCCCTGATACCAAGTAAAGATTCAGGATAAACTACAGGGAAATTAGCAAAGCTGCAAATAAATTATAATAGCAACTGATCATTGATCAAGCATTTACCTGAAAACAGAATTGGCGGACAAGCTTAAAACTGCGATTAACAACAGTTTAGTGTAGCATCAAATTTAACAATAATAAAGAACCACTAACGTAATCAAGGTTTCCAAAGTCAGTGGTGAAAGCCACATGGTCATCCTCGCCAGGTCCTGCAAAAGCCACCTCACTAATCACAAACTGATCCAGGTTCTGTTCCTCCGTTGTCATGTGATAGTTGCAACTGAAGACCAGTTTACCCTGAAATAAAGGAGGGGGTGAACTGAGGTATCAACCCGGCAAACAACTCGTCACAGGGCTGTTATTTGTTGTTTGCACCGCATTTGTTTTTATTTATTCGAGAATGCTGAAAGCTGATTGGTTCAAGTTCGGAAAAACTTCATTCGTGACCAGGAGAATAGTAAGTATTTAGCGATTCCATGAAATAGTTACACGATATTAAACAGCAAATAGACCTGAGGTTTAGATATTTCTATCTTGAAGGAAGGTAAGTATTGGGGTGGGTTTTCTTCAGGGTCATCTTCAGCTGGGGCCAACTCAGTATTATTGTTTAAATCCAACTCAACCTGATATAAGAGAGGAGGTTAATTTACAACAACAAATTTATTGGTCTGAAAACCAAATAAAAATTAAAATAAACCAATTTATTGGATTTTACAGTTTTAAATTGAAATTACAGTTTTAAATTGAAATTAGTTAACTTTTAAGTTTCAATAATTTACGTTAACAATTATTAGACTGGGATGATGATTACATGTTGTAGACTTGTATTACTTATTATTATACTATCAGCTCACTGTTCAATACTACTACTACTACACAGTGGGCTGTGAGTGAGGGTCATGCTAGCATAGGGTATTTTAGACCATCACACATGCCCCTAACTTTGTTTCTAAGGTAATTTGGGTACAAAAATACGATTCCAATCATTTACAGGGCCGAAAATGTCTCAGAAAAAATTTTTGGGCCGATTTTAAGCAATCTTGTAGTCCAAAAATAGGAGGCTGATCCCAGAAAAAGTTGTTTTTTTAGAGGTTTAATCAATTTTAAAGCTCTTTTATGAACTGTAAACGAAGGAAGCTATCTTAGGAACTCAAATCTTTTTGAATTATGAAAAAATATTGATCAGAACAAAAGTTGTGCCCATTTATATGACCAAAATTTTCTGAAACACCAAAATTGTTCCTGTTATTTTCAAAAATTTCGTTTAAAATCACGATTTTTTGGATTTTTATCAATTTTAACTATAATAATTGTGATATTTTGATTTTTCATCCATATGCATCTGGTCTAGGATGCAAAAAATGCCACAAACATGGAGAATAACAAAAATATGTCAATTTAATAGCAAAATTGAGCTCATAAATTATCTAAAAATGCAGCAAATTTTACCCAATTTTTGAGTTTCTTAATTTTGTAAACAGAGTTGCCCAAAAGTTCCCAAAGTGATTCTTATTGCATCTGATAGGGAATTGTCTAAGCTTTCTGATGATACCATGCATTATACCGAACTATTGCAAACCAACAACGATTTCTGTCGTTAAATACCCCAAAAATTGCCTAAAATACACGCCATAAAAAAGGCGCGGTCAAAAATCAGGTGAAAATGTTAAAGTCACACAGTTTTTTTTAGATGACTGAGTATTCTTAAGTACTATACTGTATTTCAATTATTAAAAACTGCCTTGATCAGGCATTTTAGCCCAAAATAATAAATATTAGGCAATTTTTGGCTAAAAAAGGCAAAATTTCTTGACAGTGAAAAATGCTATTTTTTCACGCGACGCCATTTTGGCATCTTGCAAAGTTTTTAATTACGGTTTTTTGCATGAAATCGGGCTAGCGTTTTAGAATAAGGAAAGCTTATTTTCAAAGAAATTTAAGAAAGTCGATTTTAGGCCTATGCTAGCATGGTAGCCCACTGTGTACTATATACTACTCCATTATGTAAGGTCCTACAAATCTTACCCGGATAGTCTCATTGTTGTATTGTTTCTGGAGGATGATGGTGGCACCGTTGACAGACCTAGTGAAGTCGGAGGGTTCTGCGCTGGGTGCTGAATCGTAACTCACAGCACCTTCCTCGTGTAGGATCTCGTTGTTTAGTGCTGACATTAGGGTGGAATCTGGGAGTTTTACCGAGATAAGTGGCACAATTCGGTTTTAGAGTGAAGGCATTCAGAGATCATAATACTGAACTTAGGTCTCTACTGTGCGTTTTTAATAAAAACCATCAGCGTTTTAAAACAACCATTTGCTGGTTAGCGTTATAATCTAGAGATACCAAGATGAAAAGAGACGATTAAGAAAGCACTAACCATTAGACATGTGTCTGACTTGAGGAATTGTAGCGACTGAATGCCTCAGAGTGGAAGGAATCAGATTAGGAACGTTAGATTTAGGCAGTCTACAGAGTTTGTTAGCAAGACCGCTAGCTCTGCACATACTTCGCAACACCGTGTTCATTGCTATACTGCAGTAGTGCAAAATTTAGGTAATGTCGAGTACAATAATCATATAGAAAATGCTAAGTAAAAATAGCATAAAATATCAGTAATACTAATCACAATCTGACTCGTACAAATTAATCAGGTACCAAGTGCCGTACGTGACGTCGACTAAGTGCAACTTTAGAATTTACAAAAAAGACCCACCCACCCCCTTCGCGGTACTAACTGTTTTTTCGGATAATATTTAGGTCACCCACCCCTTTGGCGGTACTAACTGTTGAGAAATCACGGTACTAACTGTGTCTTGGTATATAAAATAAGATACCCACCCATACATTGCTTTAAACAGCTCATTAAACATTGGGAAATGGGCAAATTATACCCATTATTTAGTAAGGGTTTTGTATTCAATGTAGTCGAATTAGATAAAAAGTTACAAAAAAAGGAAATTTAAAAAAAAAACCCAAAAAAAAGAAAAAAAAACCTCCAAATCCATTCCCAAAATTGAAATTAGAGGTAAAATGGGTTTTTTTGGGGTTGGACACCCCCCTTAGTACCATGTACTAACTGTTTTTCTGGGAAATGAGCAGCAGACCCACCACTTATGATCCTCCGTCGAGAGTGCAAGTCTATATTTATAGCAACTGATACGAGGTCGAAGCAGATGTCGAAAGAAGATACAAAAAGTTACTTATTCCAATTTTATTTTAATATTATTCTAATTCCAGGACAGTTGCAGTGCTGATTTTGCTACAACCCAAAACATCAAAAGAGATATTAATTAGATTCTCGTTAAGTGATCTCACGTGTTAAGCAAGGTCACGTGATCACCGTGTGATAAAGGCCTCATCAAGAGGGTGAGATACGTCTACTAGGTTGTAAGGGATTACTTACCAACTGCGAAACACATTCGTAGCCGACACCGCACGATGAGTACTCACAACATTAACTAATAATCAACTAACCCCACCCTAAGTATTTAAGTAATTTCCAATTTAGTGACCTATCTAAGTAACATGAAACGAACAAGACGCAGTTTCACTGTCATTATAATTCGACAGTTTTTTGGCGGGGTTTGTTTTCCATTAAGACTTACCCGTGATACGAAACATTCTATATATTTTACAGTTTACAGAATAATTGAGTACACGTTTACTGTTTACATTTGGTCCAATTAACTACTCTAATTGTTAAATTGTACGCCGACATCGTGCAGTGAGGACAATCGCCTATGATAAACAAATGGGACCACTATTCTCACCAGACTAGTAACTCGTAATTAGTACTGCATTTTTCAACGCCCCCGCACTTGATTATAGAGAAAATTAGATATACTGTTTTCACCGTTCTTATCTTCAAGTTTAACTATGATTCACGTCTTAAAAGACTGTACGCCTCTGTTTCTGTTTCGATTAATGGAAATTAAGCTGCAATATACCTTTATTCTATTTTTGATGTCGTTTGCGACAATTTCTGCCCAAAATCAGAACTGTGTTGCTGATTTTGATCTTCACGACGTGCAAAAATACGATTTTATAATTCCTAACTCGGATCAAGAAAAGAACCCAAATTATTGGGACAATACCCAATTAAACTATTACGTTTTTGGAAAGTTTGATGACTCTACAAGTGACAAGGAAACCAAAATAACTGCTGGACTCTACAATGGACCGGATCTCATCTACAAAACAGTTATCAACTGCGACAAGGGGACTTGGGTAAATACAATCTATAATAGAGCCTCCAAAGACGAAAGAATTCTCCATGGAAAGATTGAGGGGAATCATACGTCGTGCAAAGCCGGAGACCCATTTGATTTGATCCTAAAAGTTAACAACTTTTATCAAATAAGCTGGATCTTCAATGCTCAGCCACTGCAGTACGGTGTAAGGGAGTTCTGCAAACCTTTAGAGGAACCAAAAATATTGCAAGAAGGGGGGAAGACCAGTTTTGTGCGTTGTCGACCAGGAGTAAGACGTCCCAAAGTTAAAGTATCATCAAAACATAACGCATACCAAGCAACCAGATTTGTTCTCAAAGCAACTGGCAGAGCTAAATTTGAACGTTTGGCTTTCGGGCAGTGCTCTGCATGGCCCAAAGGAATGGAAAATCAATGCCAAAAGGTAAGAAGCTGGGTACATTCGAGAAGCAAAGCTAATCTAACTGAAGAAACTGTTGCTAAACATTTAAAAGAATTCCCTCTAGACGTAAACGTTACAAGAGGGCTGGGGGTTTTTGGTAACAACAGGATTGTTCATACCCCAACTTGTCTTTCGAAAAAATACTTCAATTTCATACAAATGTTGGTTCACCCTGACCGAAACATTCCCAATACACATGATTACAGATCCATGAAAGTCTACTGCTGCTGTACCAACATGAGAACTGGCCAGGTTTTTGAGAATAATTTTAACAAGTATTGCTTGATTTTCGCCGATTGCATTGGGAGGCAAAGATCCTGCTATGAGGCCTACGACAGAATAATAGGCAAGGAGATTGAAGACGAGAAGAAGGGAAGTGAAGAGGAATCTGACGAGGAGCCACCAGGGGAATTGGAAACTACAGACAATGAACTTGCCGTAGTTTTGACAGTTAACAACACAGATGGCAGAACCGGGGTTCTTGCAGACATCACCAGTACATCTCATGGTTTGGAACAAGAGCTGGAGATCTAAAAAGTTGAGGACAGTAAAAATGTAGAATTTTTGAAAGTTTCAAATTAGAGTATGTAATATTGTTAGTGTCAATTAATGTCGGAACATATTGTGGTGACGTTATTTGTGAAGACTCTTGGTATGTAGGCACATTAGGGGTTTAAATATATTAGAGTAGATTTAACTAATTATGTAATATTTAGAAGATTTTTCGTGAAAAGTTCGATTTTTCATTGCTTTTTTTATTATCGTAAGAATGTTACTCAGAGATCATAGAAAACAATCAATATTGTTTACAAATTAAACGAAATATTGCTTATTAACAGACAAACTAGTTAATGTACGTTAATGTATAAACTGGTTGATACCGATTTTACTGCAGTCCATATAATTAGCGATTACATTTACGAAGGTACCATTACCAGTTTGGTACTGGCTTCAAAATCTTTAATACTCTTTCAACTCCTTTCAATTTCGGTAGAGAAATGAAATTAAAAATGTTGAAAAAAGTCGGATTTTAAAATAACCATGGTGCGCACTGCACTGCACATCACGTCATATTTTATGAGATACTTATTCATTCATGGAAAATATATAGACGGAATATTTTGTAATTGATTGGTAATATAGTCCAGTCATATATGGACATTTATGGAAATGAACCTGCAAATTTTCAGATACTCACAAAACTTTGCACAGACCTTCCCAAAGGTATGAATAAACAATTTTCGGTTGGAGACATTTTAGGGTACATGTTGCTTCATAAGTTGTATATAAACATGGCCATTTTGCACAATTTGCACTCATTCAAAAATCTCTAAGGCCTTCATAGCCCAATTAACCAGATAACCATATTTTTGCATGATTTATAGAACCGAAAATCAGTTTTTCGCCAATAACTGAAAAAGTAAGCACTTTAAGGCATATGTTTCTTCGTAAGTCATATATAAATATGCCAATTGCGGTTCTTTTGCAGTCCATCCGAAGACTCTATCACGATCCTATAAAAAGTTAATAAAATGGGCTCAGCGCCACGCCCAAAATGGTTTTTGGCGAATTTCTCGAAAAGTAAGGATTTTAGGCCATGTGTTGATCAATAACTCCTATATTAACATGCATATGCGGCTTCGTTTAAGCCTATTTTGAAGTCTCTACGACCTTCAGAAGTTAAGGGTCAGTTACGTTATTTGGTCAATATGGGCGTGGCCCTCCTGGGTTTTCCCCACGGTAAAAAAATGTCTCCAACCGAAAATCGTTTATTCATACCTTTGGGAAGGTCTGTGCAAAGTTTCGTGAGTATCTGAAGATTTGCAGGCAGCTGTCCTTAAATGACTGGACTAATACTAGGAATATGATATGATTTATGAAGCCTTATATATCATGATTGTATTTTGATATCTTAAAATTGTTGACGTATCTCATTATATCATGCCGGCTAAAATATACATCGAATTTGATCAACTATATTACAATACTCGTACACACTGGAAAAATGTTCATCCCAAACTTAACAATGGATCCATTGTTATCAATACGTGTCTTCTGACTCTGCATCTAAACTGGATGGTCCCAAATGAACGGCCCTAGAGTCCTATATCATATTAGTATAATGAGTAATGACCTGTAAACCTGCAAACCTGTAATTACCAGTAAACTTGTAAACCTGTAAACCTGTTAACCGGTTAACCTGTAAACTTGTTAACCTGTAATTACCAGTAAACTTGTAAACCTGTAAACCTGTTAACCGGTTAACCTGTAAACTTGTTAACCTGTAATTACCAGTAAACTTGTACACTTGAAAACTTGTAATATTAAGTTCAGGTTTGCAACTGAATGGCACATTTTGACATTTTCATTACTCTATATAAGCTATTAAAACATGTTTGCCAGACTCTCAACTGATAGTAAGCTCAGTTGGTCAGGGTTGAGATTAAAAAAAACAACGGGATAGTTTCTCTCCATTAATAACATTTACTTGTACACTTAGAACAGTCAACATAAATACAGACCGCATACGTTTCCTCCTGACGCGTTGGTGGCTCAATTTAACTGTTTTATTTGAAGGAAAAAGAGCAACTATTTGTTTGATTAGGTCATAGAAATTGTATTTAATTGTACATATCATCAACAAATATTTAAAGAGCAATTTAAAAATTAAAGTCACAAATATTCATTGAAAGTGCATCGATCTTTCCTTATAAAAATACTGAAAATTATACAAATCATGATCACTTTTAACACAACAAATTTCCCAAACTGAAATAACAAATCAAATTAGGCGGGCCACTAACTAACACGTAAGATATTAAATATCCGACCATTCACCAGGGTCCATCAACCTTCCAGAAATGTCTCGAATAACCCCCCTCAAACCCTCTACCTCCTCACTGAACCTCGTCTCCAGCAGCTCCACGAAACTCCCCTCCTCCCCCACTAATCCCCCAGCTAACTTAGCGACCCTCACCCCCTCGTGCACTACATGAGCTATCTCCCTGAACTCTGAGGTACCAGCTCCACGTGTCGTGACCGCGCAGCTTCCAAACCTGATGCCTCCAGGCGCACCCTCAGGGTCCACATCTCCCACTAGTTCATACCCGTTGGAAGTGAGTCCGACTAATTCTAGGAGCTGATCAACTTTCAGACCGTCTGAGGTGTTATGTTACATGATAACTGGGTTTCTGTGTAACATTTTACAGTTATCCAATTACAATGGGGCAATTATCAGGTTCATTTCAATTTAGGACAAGTTGTACATTAATTAGTAAGACATTATCGTCAACAATCAAATCGGAACATTTGCTAGCTAAGATCATGAATAATTTTCAACTTTGCTTTAATCTTCACAATAAATCAATCCGAAAGATAATGAAACAGTACGACTCGCTTGTAAAAGCAGTTAAGTGAGGCAACAACAACAAAAAGAAAGTTAGGCAACGAACGATTTTACTGTAATTTTCACGTCAAAGAATAATTCGTTGTTTGACATACAAATTTAAGTAGGATAATTTACACAACAGAAATCTCATAACACTCGGATATATCTCATTACAAAAACTCTTATAAATATTAGACAACTGGCTTCGTTCCATCCTGATATATATCATAATATACACAAATGAAATGAGGGGTCAAGAAAACATATAATTTATATAAACATATTATTATTTATAATGTTTATGTTTATTTTTTATATGTATGTATCATGAATTTGATCTATAATGAATGAATTTGATCTATAATGAATGAATTTGATCTATAATGAATGAATTGGATCTATAATTTCGTTCATACCCACACTAGTCAATTCTAGGTAGGTACAATATAAATAGATTTTAAATAACCTCCTCGATGGTAAAGCAAGGTTCGCTTTTCAAACAAATTTGTAAAATTTGATAGAGGGTCACGGTGATAATCATAAAAATTCATGCAAAGTTCAATGTTCATGCATATCCTTGGTCACATGTATAATTAAAATATTAGAGAAGATTAATCAATTCACATAGAATTACTTTAAACGATAATTTCAACCTAGCAAACAAAAATTCGTTCAACAATCATATTTGATCTAGTAACTTACATTTTTAAAATCCTATCTCAGTCGTACATGACTCCTAGCATAATACTGTAATTATTCATGCCATCATGTTTAAAATCTATAAATCACTAGAGCCTGAAATGGGCCATTTAATAAATGGCCCATAAATGATTAATTCTAGATTATTCTAGAATTCTAAATGTCGCCCTCTCCTCCAGGGAAAGGGAACTGCTTTGCAAACTCCACGACGCGGCCACCCAGCTCCTTTATCTCCGACACAATCTCCTCGTCAGTTTCTATCAAATTCTTAAACTTCTTCAGTGTCTTTCCTGCTCGTCCTTTAGCTTTTAGGGCTAACTCCACACCTTCGTCTATTAAACGTGCTACATCTCGGAAATCCTCCTCCATGAAGTTGCGTGATGTGAGCGCTGGCGTGCCGAGGCGCAGTCCACCAGGGATTAGCGCTGACTTGTCGCCGGGGCACGTGTTCTTGTTGGCGGTCATGTGCGCGTGTCCGAGTAGCGCGTCAACACGTGCACCATCTGATTAACACAGCAAATGTTAACTAACAAGTACAGGCTACTTTTTAGATATGCGAACTGAGATGGAATTGCGAACTGCTAGTTATATCCGCGTGTTCATGTTAATTCTAAAATTAAAGCCATTTTATAGTAAAGAGCTGTTTACATTGCGGTTGTACCAGGAATGTGTCGACAGGATGTGTTTATTGTTTATACTGAATTCTTGACGATATATAAACATTGTGCGGTGTTTACATAATCTACCACATTATTAGCAATCAAAATCAGCACAGAACTGACATAATTGAAACAAATATTTATGAACAAAACACAGATAACGACGTTTGTAAAACCCCCACACCTAACAATGTCACATACCGATTCCCTTAGGTCTGAGATCGAGCAGGACAATATGATTATCAGTACCGTCACTCACTAGGGTGTGTCCTAGCTTCTGTAACTCATCTCCTAGCGCTTTGGAGTTTGAGAGAACCTGAAAATACCGGTTTAAGAAGCACATTTTCCAAAAGATAGTGGAATGTCAGAATGTGCGGTTTCCCACATCCAGAAAGTTTTAAATTTCCTCGCAGATAAAAATCGAAAAGGTCATGTCTTTTAAAAGTTTACTCTTTGGCACAAAATTTCCTCTAAAATCCAAAATTTCCTCTACCGACTGCGACCTGCCGTTTTTCTGGTTGTGGGAGAAGTTTATTCAGGATATTATTGGGATACAGAACAGTAGTTATATCAAACTAAATAACACAGTATTTAAACACGTGATAGCTATGACAAAACACACTGGAATTGGTGAACTAACCTGTTTCTGATAGTCCTTGAACTCTTGAGACTGGGAGTTCTTCAAAGCTACAGCTAGAGCTGATACTGTGTGCATGTGTGGTCCTCCCTGAATATGTTCAGCGTGATAACTAACGCGTCAGACCTAACGTGTCAGACCTAATGCTCAACCTGATAACTGAAGCTGGTAAGTGATTCATGGCACATGCATCAGATGATTATCAATCATTTTCTAGGGGTTAAAATAAAGTTGGAGTGGGGATGAGATGCTGTTACCTGCAAGGATGGGAAGAGAGCGAAGTCGATTTTATCCTTGAGGTCGTATAGAATATCGTTACCCTTCTTGTCCTGTTTCCGGACTCCCTGTCTGTAGAATATCATACCACCTCGGGGACCACGCAGTGATTTGTGTGTTGTGCACGTGACAATGTCTGAATATTCAAATGGGTCGTTCACTACTCCTGCTGCCACCAATCCTGCCATTGTTTGCGTTATTTTCTGATTTAATGGTCAAAGTAGGCGGAAGTAGCCTCCTTACATATTATCTTTACTTTATTATCATTTATCACGTATTGTAGTAGCCCCACAAAAAAATACCAGCTCAAACTAGGAAGTATCAAACCGGTTAATAGTTTTGCACTTGATTATCAAGATCGTTTCAGGTACAAAATTTGTCAAGAAGCTCAAAATGTAAATTATATTCCTTGCAGACCTGTCTATTTGATCGAGAGATAACTGAATTGCTCTAAATTATACAGCTAGCAAGCTAATTCTAGAATAATCTGAGCGAGTGAGCGAGGACCGCAGATTTTTAAATGAACTTAAGGCCAGAGGGGGGGGGGGGGGGTAAAAGTCGATTTTCCAGTTTTCACATATTTGATTAGAGCTGCTGGAGACGAACAAGAGGAAAAAAACAGGACCGAAATCTGACCTTGCGTTTTTAAGATATCGCGCGCCAAATATTGAGGTTTACATGTAATTACATGTAAAACTTTAACTTAAACTGTAAAAAGTTAAAACGCCCTAATACTGTCGAAAAACTGTTGAATTTGGGGTAAAGTTAACCTCATATCTCAAGAACAGAAGCAAATATCAAAATTTTGTACAATAGAATTGTGTAAAACAGTCTAAGGAACACCTGTGCCAAGTTTCAGCTCCTGGGTGTGGCCAGTCTTCTCAACTAAGGGACGTTTGTATGAAAAAACCTGTTTTGAGTAAAAAGAGTTTTGGTGTTTTTATTTCACTGCCAAAATCTCAAATTGTGCATTATTTTCCGTATTTAGTAGCGTCTCCATACAATTTTTGCTTTAAGGTGAGAAGATGTTTATTGAGATACTTTATGTTGGGAAAATCAATATCATAAACCAAAATTTGTCTAAAAATGAGGTTAACTATCACGATATTTTGTAGTAGTAGTAAAAATATGATTGTTAACCTCACTATAGACCATATAACAATGGAATTGGTTTCTTAATATATTGTTAGACATGTAATGAAACATTTGCCCAGTGACTGGGCCGATATTCAACAAATGAGAGGTTAACCTCATTTTTTAGCTATTTATGGGTGAACTCTTCTACTTATATATGGTCAGTCCTAATCACCTTTGTCTCATGATCATATTTGAGGCATTGGAATACAAATAGATACATCACTGAGATATTGTGGTACATAACAAAAGTAAGAATCTTGTGTAAATAATTCTTAAACTACCAAATGATATGGTTAACCTCATTTTCAACACTTTCTCGAGATAAAATGAAGTAAATCAGCACTACATCTATTAAGAATTTTGTATGTCGTAATCTTACGATAAAAATAACAACTCTATCACCTAATCTATTTTCGCTATTCCTAAATTAAGAGGTTAACCTCATTTAATCACGTTTGGATATTACTTTTTCTGATAATTAAGAACCTAAAATTTAGAGTTTACATTTGCTGACCGAAAAAACAAAAAATTATGGAGTGTAATAAAATATTAACCTCAATTTTATTAACCTCAATGTTGTATAATCAATTTTGTGAAAATCGGTTAACCTCAATTATAAAAAAAGTTAAGCAGCTACAAATATGTGAATAGCAGCAATGTTTTTGTCATCGAAAATTAAATTGATTTAGAAAATATTATTTTGGTCGATTTTGTTGACCCCTTTCCCCCCCTCTGGCCTTAACACACGTACCACACAATGCTCGCTACACACATATAATTATATTTATTATAATTACCGGTAATATGTGCCATGTCACTGTGAAGTAGCGCTCCAACATCGTCACAAATCTCTTTGAAACGTTTGTAGTCCAGAAGCCGGGGATAAGCACTGTATCCAGCTATTATTATTTTAGGACGAAACAACTTGGCTGTCATGTGTAGTTTATCGTAATCTATTATACCTGAGATTGAGAACACGGTCAGACAGGACTTTATTATTATCTTTTGGGTATAATCAAACGTATTATCTTGCTCAAGGCATTGTGGTACAATATCAGATTTCACAACGAACTGAATTCATGCGGATTTGACATAACTGATAACATAACTGATAAACGGTATTTGAAGTTTACCTTTCTCGGTTACACCATAAGGCATACTCTCGAAGAATATGCTTGTTGCTGAAATACGTTTCGTGTCGGTCATATACCTACAATTTGGATCATATGTGAATAGGTACATCCATCATATACAGGAATCTGAAATACTAATAATAACTAATAAGTATAAACCATCAGATATAATTGTCTCACTAGATGGCAAGTGAAATAATTATGTGATAATAATTATGTTACATATTTTGCACAGGTTGGTAATTTGAAACTTAAATGTAAACGAACACCAATAATTTAGTGAGTTCGAATAACCTACCCGTGAGTCAAATGTCCACCAGCTGGAAGGTCTAATCCCATAATCCTATCGTGTGGTTCCAACACACCCGTAAAGACTGCAAGGTTAGCAGGGGACCCAGAGTATGCTTGTACGTTAACTCCCCATTTAGTAGGGTCTAATCTGAAATTGTGGCGAAAATTGTAATACTTATAATAATAACTGGAAATTTATACATCTATAATCGCTTTATAGCCAAAAAGAACTCAAAATCCAAAGATTCAGTTCAAGCCATCTAAAGCGACTCATGAACATGTACATAAGAACTTAGAATTTTATGAGAAAGGTTTTTATGAGAAAGTTATTATATATAATACTATATATATATATGATACTTAATACTTGTATGATGCTTTTGGACACGAAGGGAAACACACAACGTAAGGCTTGAAATCTTCGTAAAACTACACCATTAGAGCCTGTAAAAACATTTAACTTTAAGATAAGCACTCTATCAAGTAAAATTCATATAATTATAATCATAATAGTTTATTAACTCAAACGAAGATACTTATATGAATACTTTTTCAAAAAGATGAGTCTTTAGTATCTTTTTAAACTATAGTACAATATCGGTCGATGTTCTCAATTGATAATTTTGTTTTACTATAATCTGAGACAGGAGGAACATTTATATATTAGGAGGAAATAGTCTTGTTCAGTTCGTAGTACACGTACAGCTACAGGTTGACTCTTGATGTCAATGCATTTGGTGATATAGTCTGGACTCTGGAGCTATGTTGTTGACACATTTGAACACGGTTAGAGCAATCTTATACTCTATTCGTTGTCTTATTGGGAGAAAATGGGCCTTTTTCAGGAAGGGAGTGACACTGTCCCATTTTTTAATAGCTTTGCCACCAAATAAGAATCGAACACAGGAATTTTGTACCTTCTCGAGTTTCTTTATGAGAAAATATAACATAAATTAATCCATATCATTCTGCATTGTGAATTGTAAATACTCAAGAAATATTCGTATCAATTACTTGATCACGTGTCAACTCAAGAACAACACGCACATTGATCAACATCTTGGTGTAAACTTGTCGGTGGATATAATATATCCACCGACAATTTTACATATTATGGTCAAGATTGATTGTAAGAATGCTATGTATTTTGTATGCTATGTTTATAACTTGTAAATTTCTCAAACCGGAAAGCATCTAGAGCTCGCTTCTGACATAAGAGTTCAATCTGATCAATATGTTTGCAGCCTCCATAGTATCTAGCATTAGGATATCCTTCAGCATATTTGTTGGTAGCACAGCTACTAGAAGCTTCGCGCACATCTCGAGATGTGAAGTTTTCAGAAGCTATCAGCTCCAGCCCTTCCACCTAGAAATGAAAGTAATTGAAAACAAGACTTTATAATGCAATATTATAAAACTAATGATTTGCTTTGTTCTAGTTTCCCAGAGAGTACTCAACTGACAATCAAGGGAAAACGAAAGAGAGATCAGGTTCACACTTCATGTGACATTTATATTTGGAAATACTGTTAGAGTAAAATAAATGAAATCAATGATCTGTTATACCGACATACCTGTCTCCTTTTTTCAAGTTTTAGTAGATTATACAGCTCTGGATCGCTGTCTGAAAGTGCTTCATTGCCAGTCCAGAGTGATCTTTTGATAAGATCCAAAGTGGAATGCAATCTTCTTATCTTCAGCATTTTCAACTAGGTATCATAGTTATTATTTATTTAATCTTTTAAATATATTGTTGTAAATTGTATTATGGTCCCACCTTGCAGTATCATAAATAACTGTGCAATTGTAAAAAAATGGACTACATACATACACATCATACAATAAGTTTGAATACTCAAACCACAATAAGGGGTCATAATTGTTTCAATTATGCAACTGTATAGAATTATTATTATTAAGTTCAAGAATGATTTTGTAACATCCTTCCCTGTTATTGAAAGATTGAAATAATTTCCCTTTAAAGTCATTATTATTATTGAATCTATAATAGCTAATGATTTACGTAATTCTATTGTGCACGTGATTTCCAACCACAATACACCAAAAATTAAGGGGCCATCTACTTAGGAAGTCCGGTAAATAGGGAGGGGGATGGTTTAGGGATTTCGGACAAATCCGGACAGGGGGGCCGGGGGGGGGGGGGGGGTGTGGTTTCTGAAATTCCTGACCTCCAGAAATTTTGGCAGAATTAACAAAAAAGTCTCATTTATTTCAACTCTTTGACACTAATAGTAATTACACTGTAAGTTTAGATCCCTGTATTTTGAACGAGTACTTAAACATACTTAAATGTAACTGTGCTAAACTTGTTGGACACTAAATGTATTATTGTCTATTTTAAGTAACTACACATTTTATTAACAATGAATTTGAGTTGGTTTTATTTGTACGGGTTATTTGTAGGGTTTTCGGCCTACTCTAACTTCTATTGGGGCTTGTTTACTGCAGATCAATTCAGTTAAGGATCCCAAATAAGTCTGAAGATTCAGTCAAGGCCGAACATTCACGGGTTTTACTAGGGTTACCGATCAATTTTCAGGACTTCAAGAAAAGCTAAGTAATTTAAATGAATGATCAAAATGGTGACTGGTGTATTCAATAATGAATAAGGAGCAACTCGAAAAATTGAAAATATGAACGCATCGAATATTTCGAAATGGCCACAACCCCTTTCAATAATTCTGTTTCTTTAATTCCGTCGAATCTTACATCTCTAACAATGCAACCGTAAACGATCTTCAAAAAAACCAATTCAACCAATATATAATACAAGGCATGACGAAGATAATAATAATAATAAATACAACATTTATAAACCGCCTTATAGCTAAATCATATAACTCGATATAATTTAATCCTGGAGATAAACTCCAGTGCTTTCTAAAGCGGCTCTTACATTAACTGAGCTTAGTTTAATTGAAAATTAGACATGACAAGTTCATTTTACCTATGTAAATGCAAAATCAATCAAATGCTAGAGAAAAGAAGTATGTTTTAAGTTTGGTCTTGAAAGATGTAACTGACTCAGCTGATCTTATGTCGTATGGCAAGGAATTAAATACTTTAACTGCACAGTGACTAAAAGCTTTCTCTTTGTTTACATAGTTAGGAGAGGGCGGAAAACTAAGGTAAAAATAATCATTATCAAGACGTACATTTTTAAAACTTTGCTGCCTAGGAGATATCAACTCTTTTAAGTAAGGAGGAGCTATATTATTTAAACACTTGTAGGCAAGTAGGGCAATCTTAAAATCTATTCTAAATCTAACTGGTAGAAAATGAACTTTCTTAAGTAGTGGAGTAGTGTGTGCCTTTCTTCCTCTCCCGAAAATAAATCTTACAGCAGAATTTTGCACCTTCTGTAAACGACTTAAATCATAAGAGCTCAGTCCAAAATATACGCTATTGCAATAATCAATTCTAGAGAGTACTAGAGCATGAACAAGCTGAATCTTAAGGTTAAAAGACAGTTTTGATGCAATAAACCACAAATTTCTGATCTGAATATTACATGCTTGAACCACTGACGTAATCTGATCACTCATTGAAAGATAACTGTCCAAATACAGCCCAAGACTCTTCACAGTTCCACTAACAACATGTGGCTCTTGATCCTTAACAATCTGTAGAGAGGCTGGAATATTTGTTGAGTCAAATTTAGAGGATATAACGATGACTTCAGTCTTAGAAGAATTCAGTTGAAGGAAATTGTTTGTCATCCATTTCTTGATATCAGACATACAGTGTTCCATATTGTGCTCTAGCTGTGATGGGTCATCAGAATCAAGGGTGAAATACAGCTGGGTGTCATCAGCATACAAATGAATACAGCACCCATGCATACTTGCAATGTTCTCAAGATCTTTGGTGTACAATATGAATAGCAGGGGGCCAAGGATTGAACCTTGTGGCACACCTATCTCAAGAACAGTTGCTGAGGAAGACGAATCCTTGACTTTGACACAAAATGAACGGTTAGCCAAGTAGGACCTGATCCATGTAAGAGCAATGCCTGTAATGCCATAAGCAGATCTTAGCTTCTTGATTAATCTTGGGTGATTGACAGTATCAAAGGCAGCACTCAAATCTAGAAGTAAAAGAACAACTTTAGTTTTCTTGTCAATAGTTATCAAGATGTCGTTATGGATTCTGGTTGTTGCAGTTTCACAGCTATGAAACTTCCTATAGCCGGACTGAACTTTAGAAAGCAAGTTGTTATCCTCAAGATAACTGGTGAGCTGTATAGATACACACTTCTCAATGATTTTTGACAAGAATGAGAGATTACTAATAGGCCTATAGTTAGATAGAGATTCACCGTCAAGGCCACGTTTCTTCAAACTTGGACGAATGAGAGCCTCCTTAAGTTTTATAGGAAACTCACCTTTAACTAATGATTCATTGACTATAAATGAGATCAGAGGAAGGAGTTCTGGGAGACACTTGATGAGAATCTTTGTAGGTATGGGGTCAAGATCACAGAATTTGTTAGACATATTCTTTATGATGCTTACTAGTTCTTCATCAGACACATGACGGAATTGTACTATCTCTGGGCTATTAGAAAGAGGAACAAATTCATCTGAGTTAGGAGAATCTTGGGATTGTTGTTCTAAATAAATGTTGTTGTATATGTTGTCGACCTTTGATTTAAAGAACTGTGCAAAGTTGTTAGCACTCTCAAGATTCGAAGAGCAAGAAGGTGTAGTAGTACTAACTTTTTCTTTATTGAGCAACTTATTAACGATGGAATAAGTCTTTTTAGCATCACCTGCACTATCTTGTAACCTTGTTTTGTAGAAGTGATCTCTTGTGGATACAATGACTGAGGATTCTCTCTCTGATGCTTTCCTGTACAGTCGTTTATAATCTGGGCAATCATGATTCTTTTGATACAGTCTCTCAATCTTTCTTCTCATTGCTTTTGCTTGTTGACAGTGTGTAGACCACCATTCAGCGTTATGATCTTTTCTTGGGATGAAAGTTTTTTCTTTAGCATGCTTGTCCAAAATACTGCTCAACTCAGACTCATAGATATCAACTGCACTATCGAGGTCATTGAAGCAATCAGTGTCACATAGTTTTGACTTAAGAATGTCCTCAACAAAAGCATCTAGGTCTATGCAAGCAATGTTTCTGTAAGTAATTGGTTCTAGAGTGCCTATGGGTGCTGGAGATACATTGCAATTGAAAGCAACAAAGTAGTGGTCAGACGATGTGCCAGAATCAGTAATGACAGGATCTAGAACTTCAATGCAATCGTGAGTAAAAGAACCATCCCTGGTAATTACAAGATCTAATATGCCCCCATCTCTGTGTGTTGCAGCTGAAATTTGTTGCACCCACCCACAAGACCTAAGTAGTGAATTAAACCTTTGTGCAACTGAATCATTTTCGTCTTCAATGTGGATATTAAAATCACCCATGATCAAGGGCTTTCCAGGTTTGTCTACTAAATCAACCAAGAGTTGCTCAAAGTCAGTTAGAAATTGGGGGATGTTAGCACTCTGAGATGTGGAGGTGCCAGAACGGTAAATTGAAACAATTCGTAGTATATCTCCAGAAGATGATTTGAAGGTACATTCACAAGACTCAAACGTTTTGAATCGCTTGCACTTCTGAGGAGTCACTTTAAGACTTTTCTTATATAGAACAGCAACACCTCCTCCCCGCCCAGCTCTTGGCTGGCTATGAATGGAATATCCAAGTTCTTTCATCTCAGAAAACTTAGCATTGTCATCTTTTCTCAGCCAAGTTTCTGTAGCACAGCAAATATCAGTATCAAAGTCTTCAAGCAATTGCATGACTCCAGCAGTTTTATTGCAGATGGATCTGCAATTGAACAGGGCAAAGTTCATACTCTGACATTCTGACTTAGAGTTTGTAGCTAGTTTTTTGAAGTAAGGATGTTTTGTTTATACCGATTCAATGCCTGTTGCATGATGGGGCACTGCTCTGAGCTGGAATGGTGAGTGTTACAGTGAGATGAGATTCTTGGATCTTTTGACAGACTGCAATTGCGACATCTATGTCTGCTAGGGTCTTCCTTGTAATGACAGTCTGATGTTCTATGCCTACCGCTGCAATACATACAAACCAGAGTTTCTTTCTCAGGACAATTTTGGGAAATATGGTGGAGCTTCTGACAATTATAGCACTGCTTGATGATGAATCTATCCTTTACAGGACAAGCACTATTCAGAATGAAGATTTTGCCGTCTCCTGTCAATAGGTTCCTAATCTGAGGAGAGACCTTGATCCCAGCAGTAGTGTACCTTAGTCCAACATTTATGTACACAATTTCAAAGAAATGCTCATTATCTAGCAAGTGTTTAAGTCCAGGATTTTTCAAGGGAATAATATCTAGAAGAGCTTTTTTAGTCTGTAACCGGAAATCTTCAGCGGGCAAACCAGAGCGATCAATGGTTTCGAATATCTGACTGGGAATATTAGACACAGTGACCTTAGGGAGAGCTTTCTGTGAGAGAGTGATGTGAAAACCAAGTGATTTAATGACATCAGAGTTTTCAATAAGACTTTTAGCCTTCAGCCTATCAGATGAAGATGGAAAAACTAGCGTTATCTTCTTATGTGAATCTAGTAGGCTAGTTTTCATAGCAATCAATCATGTGTCATAGAGCAACTCAGATAGAACATCTGGAGCAGATGAAATATCAGCAGAAGGAAAGGGACTATCTAGCACCAATATCTCTTTACTTTCCTTGCTAATTTGATTTATGTTAGCAGACACTTTACTTGGCTGAGGAGAACTAGCACCACCTACAAGAGCTTCAGCAAAATTGCTGTAAGAGGACAGTGCACTTGGAGACCGGGATTGCAAGTTTTCTTTGTTAACATTAGAAACTCGCTCTTCCAGCAAATGTTCAGAGGCTGGAGCACATAGAGCAAGCTTGTCGACAATAATGCTATGCATTTCCTCACGAAATGATTCCAGAAGGGCAGAGTTGTTTGCCCTCATCAGATGCTCAACTTTGGAGAGAATATCAGGAGCTTCATCATGACCATTATCATGACTCATCACAGGGTTGGACTTAGGAGCATCTACCACAGATGGTACAGGTGGACCAGGTGGAGAAACGTTTTTGGAAGAACGGGTGTCATCTACCAGTGAAATGCAATCTTCACATACGAATAGAAAATAACCCCAAACGAGCTTGATCTGCAATCATAGGTCTCACCTTAGCACGGAAGGTATTTGTACAAATGGACTCAGGAAATTGAACACCGGTTTTTTTGCGACAAGCGGAGTGAAACATCCCATCACAGACATTACAGATAATCGATTCATTCACAGTGTCATTACTCCCACACTGTTTACACGAGCCGTCTTCAAATACAGGAAGTATAACAGAGTTCTTCTTTGGCTTTAGAGTCTTCTTGAGCTTCTTACTGGCCAGGGCCCCTTTTGGCCCGCCATTGACATTGCTTCCTGAAACTCAAATTATTTGTTATATAGTAGTGTTGAAAGTATTAAATATGTTTCATGGACATTCGACTTTAGAAGGATAAAGCATATGGTAAAACGATAAAAGTTAGTATGGATGACATGAGAACTTCATATCAATCAGGATACATGAAATCAAAGTTAATAATTAAATTACACATCAAATAGTAGAATAGAGACAGAAGAAGTTTTGAAATGCAAAAATTATACTAAGAAACTCCAACGCTATTCTTATGAAAATATGCCGGTGTTCGCATCAGCGCTCGATTTTCATACTACGAATTAGTAAAAATATGCGCGGCGCGTCAATTTGGAAAGAAAAATTTTTTAAGGAAAGAAAAATTTTTATTTACCACAAATAATCAATACATAATGTTATATTCATAAATAAATTCAAATTTCAATTTCAAACACATATACAGTACGCCGCGCACACAGCCACAATTTAAAATTGTTCAGAAATTCGTAGGTCAGCTGTAGGCGCCGCGCACAGGATCTATTTAATTGTTAACTTACAATTACTTGTCACATTTCTTAATTACTAGAGCCAAAATTTCAGAAGCAAAATAATTTAAAAGATATTTCTGTCGTTCACGCAGTACAGGCCGTGAGCACTGCGATCTAATTAATATAATAATGGAGAGATTCCAAAAAACCGCGCGCTCGTTATTTATTGTGATTAAATTGAGTGCGCGCCACTGTGAACAGCAGTACCGCTCAAGCATGAATTAGTACTGAGCAGTACGCAGTTCTGCGTGAGGCGTAGACATTTGTAGCACACGTTTCATTCAACTAATCCATTAATCCATGTGACATGTACAATGTAATTATATTAAAGCAAAAAGAATATTAATTTTAGTAATAATTGACGTAAACATATGTGTTTAAATAACATCTATAATCTAGCGAGTTACTAATACCGTTCGCGTTTGTTTGTATTCTTGATTATATATCTTTACACTAGCCTATATTATGATGGAGATATACATTATATAATTGCTCCAATATTCAACACCGCTAAACAACAAATACCTACTCGCCCATCGATGAAGCAGTCGCCAAAACAAAGCTCAAAGTTAATATATCTTCGTACTTCGTTTTGGAAACTGTAGAATTCCAATAAATAATTAGTGTTTCAATCGTGGAAATAATTAGTGTTTCAATCGTGTATTCGATGGGCAAGCACTCGCCACTTGAGGCCGAGACAAACGGCACCAGCTCCGCTCCGCAACCGTGAAGTAAGGCGGGGCGGTGGTGTGCGCCGTTTATACGGCCCACAGCACGAGACATTTTGAGCTCCAAGACTTAAGACTATAAAAGTCCCGAATTAAACGTAGCGACTTACCATCGTCAGCCGTCAAAAATTTAGAATTTGTATGTTATAAACTCTACACCTGCTATCAGTCTAACATGTAATTTAGTTTGTTATTGGCTAAATTTTCAACTCGATTAAGCGATGCAGACGGATGAACTAGGCTTCTCCTCCGTCAAAAACACAATGAGAGGGGATTGTGGAAGGACACGAACACTATTCGTTAACTCGTACCCCGGGTACCCCCTAGAACTGTGTCCCATCAGAGAGAGCCCATCACCCGTCAGATCGAAAACAGTGTTTTAGTTTTGATATATGCTGTACCAATTACAATAAATGGTAAGTCAAGGCTGACGTTGGTAGCAAAGTATAAAGTGACACGTCACAACAAAATAACCACTACACACTACACACACTATACGCTATAACTATTGTACACAGTACACAGTATAACTAAAATATAAAATATAAACAAGTTACAAGAGACAAAAGAGTTTACAGAAGAGTTTTACATCGGCTCAGCACCGCCAGGACATTGGCTATACACGTGGGTCAATTAGTTTGATTTGGTATGGCTCGACCGGGAAAGTGGTCGAAATTAGTGCTCTTAATGAGTCATCACTGTCGTCTGAATATTAGAGCGGGAACTTCCCAAGTTTCGGCCGACAACGCGCACAGCATGGGCGCGCAATGCTATGCGCGGTCTCATATTACTGTGTCATTCGGCGGTTGCGCTCAGCGTTACTGGGAATGAGTTGTATGTTGTTTACCTAAATTCAAGCATGGTATTCATAGATAAGCTTGTCAGTCAGTAAGTGCTTAAGTGGGAATAACAGGCAAATGAATATCACTTCATAATCAGAATTCAGTGAAATTTCTGTCACACCACTCAGTTCCATACCGGTTTTGAGCTCTTAGAAGTGACTGTTTAAGTAAATTCTTGACAGATCCGCATGTGGAGGTGAAAGTTAACGGGCCAACTTTACGGAATTCGTTCCACAGCCATGCAGATTTATAAATAAATTGATTAGTTGGAGAGGGTGTAATGAACAGATTATCTTTCCTATTTGATATGTTGAATAAGTAGTATAACGAAATTGGTACTCGTGACTTAATGATCTTAAAAAGTTCCATTAAACAACGGTATCGGTACAGGTTCTCTGTAACAAGTAATTCATGTTTTGTGAATAGAGGCTTAGTGGACTCTTTAACATAGAATTCAGATCCTAGACGCTGAGAATTAATTGGTCTTGCTCTAGCACATGTCTTGAATTTGTCTACATAAGCTTCATAGTCTCCAAATAGAATCCTGATACACTTCTTTTGAGTAATAAATAGTGGTTTTAACTGATTATTGGGAATACCTCCCCAGACAGAAATAGCATAACCTAGGTGTGATTCAAAGAGAGAATGATATATTTGTTTATATAGTGATTCTGGTAAGCATTTCTTAATACGGTAGATACGTCCACAAGCACTTCTTAGTTTCTTGTTGAGGGATGATATATGTGGTTTCCAGCTCAATTTATCATCCATGATTACTCCGAGAAACTTTGTCCATGATTACTCCGAGAAACTTTGTCTGACTTACACGTTTAATTATTTTGTTATTAATGGACAAGTTTTGGCTATCTATATCGGCATCTAATTCGTTATTATTACGTTTAGAGGGAGAAAAATACATGTAACAACACTTCTTTACATTAATGTGCAGTAGGTTAACTCCCATATACTTGTTTACGGCCTGTAGTACTTCATTAGCCAATTCATATGCTTTATTTCTCGAATCGGCAGCGACAAATATATTAGTATCGTCTGCAAATAAGACAAATTTACCCTTTTTAGTTATATTGCATATGTCATTGATGTACAGTAGGAAAAGTAGAGGTCCTAATACACTACCCTGAGGGACCCCGAATTCAACCGGTAATTCATCAGATTTGGTATCCAAAACGTTTACAAATTGTTTCCTATTAGACAAATAACTAGAGATAAGATTCAGAGCATTTCCTCTTATGCCATAGTTGTTTAATTTTGTAGTTAGTTTACAGTGGTCTAGAGTGTCAAAGGCTTTTGAGAGATCGATAAAGACCCCTAGGACATGTTGCTTTTTACTAATTAACGATTCTATATGTTCTACAGAGTAGTTCAGTGCATGGCTGGTGGAGTGTCCTTTTCTAAAGCCGAACTGGTTTTCATGTATTATACCCTTGGAAGTAAGGAAACTATAGAGCCGCTTATATATTAACTTTTCTAGAATTTTCCCGAATACAGGTAGAGTTGATACTGGTCTATAGTTTTCTAAAAGCTGTTCATCTTCTTTTTTGTAAATGGGGCTGATTCTCCCAGTTTTTAATTCATCGGGAAAGTGGCCTTCTTGCATGCATTTATTAAAGTATCTAGCTAAGTACGGTGCAGTAATTTGCCATATTTTTAATTAGTGTTTATGAACAAAAAACACAATACAATGTACAAATGCCTTTGAACTCCCCAGGTAATTAAAAATTGAATTTATATATTAATTGTGCAATTAATATGCAATATAAAATTGCTGGACCTCGCCGCGCATAAAATAATGCGTTTCACTATTAGCAATTAAATTTTAAATAAATGATGAAGCTACGAACTAGAACCAATTGTTGTTTAAAAACACAAGTTAAGGTGCTGCTATTAATTAGTAACAGTATAAAATTGTTCTTAATTGTCTAGTGTAGATTTCGAATTAGTTAAATGTTACATTAAGCATCATTTTGTTGCCATGCACGATTTTGAGTATCTTCGATAAAATCTATAATAAAATCGAGCGCTATTATGTAATTTTCTGTAACTTTATACTCTGCGTCTAGTCTGTCCGGTTCATTTTATTAGCAGCAAATCAAATAACCATTTCACTTTTGTACATTAAATAACGAAACAAAATGATTCCAATAATAGTGCTTAGTTGTTAGTATCATTTGTATTTTAAAGAAGAAAAACAGATATAGCTAGCTCATTTATTGGATAAATTGATTGCACTACAAAGCAATTGATACCCGATTGGAGCCAATTACAAGTCTTCTGATTAACGTATACAACTTTCTCAAGACGTTGTATCTTCGAAAAGTTGTGAACACTGAATGCTGATAATAAGAAACCTTTGTTTATTATAATACATGATGCCTTGACTTATTAATTTCGTGCGGCATGCTAGCCCACAATTATATTTGGGCATTATCACACCAGTGGCATAACGTTGCATATTGGTGCCCCCCTCCCCCGGCAGAAAAAGCACCCGCTATCGGTACCTCTTCCCCTTTTAGGGCCCCCAAGATGGCGCAAACCTTTGTTTAATATAATACATGATGCCTTGACTTAATTTCGTGCGGCATGCTAGCCCACAATTACATTTGGGCATTATCACACCAGTGGCGTAACATTGCATGTTTGCGCCACCCCGGTAGAAACAGGCCCCCCTATCGGTGCCTCCTCTCCTTTTAGGGCCCCCAAGATGGCACCCCCTGCACAGCGGGGTCAGCGGGGCCCTTCGTTACACCACTGTATCACACGCAGCACTCAATAGCCAAGGTGTTATGGTATTATGACAGCATTGTACAGTTCATTGGTTCATCCTTTTCTATATTGGTTGTTTTATTTTAGCTTATGCCTGGATAAGTCTGAGATCGATTTGAGTTGAACATCCAGTTGGACCCAATTAGATGGCAGCATAGATTATGAAATATGATAAAAGGCAGGAATGCTTACCAGACATGATGCACAACTTATAAGTTGCTTCACTGACCTACTTTAATAGAAGACCAATAAATCTGATGATGATGCCAATGCGAAGTTGAGGATTTGTCTTCGGTATAAAACAACTTTGTAATAGAATTGATTATTGCAATAGCGTATATTTTGGACTGAGCTCTTATGATTTAAGTCGTTTACAGAAGGTGCAAAATTCTGCTGTAAGATTTATTTTCGGGAGAGGAAGAAAGGCACACACTACTCCACTTCTTAAGAAAGTTCATTTTCTACCAGTTAGATTTAGAATAGATTTTAAGATTGCCCTACTTGCCTACAAGTGTTTAAATAATATAGCTCCTCCTTACTTAAAAGAGTTGATATCTCCTAGGCAGCAAAGTTTTAAAAATGTACGTCTTGATAATGATTATTTTTACCTTAGTTTTCCGCCCTCTCCTAACTATGTAAACAAAGAGAAAGCTTTTAGTCACTGTGCAGTTAAAGTATTTAATTCCTTGCCATACGACATAAGATCAGCTGAGTCAGTTACATCTTTCAAGACCAAACTTAAAACATACTTCTTTTCTCTAGCATTTGATTGATTTTGCATTTACATAGGTAAAATGAACTTGTCATGTCTAATTTTCAATTAAACTAAGCTCAGTTAATGTAAGAGCCGCTTTAGAAAGCACTGGAGTTTATCTCCAGGATTAAATTATATCGAGTTATATGATTTAGCTATAAGGCGGTTTATAAATGTTGTATTTATTTATTATTATTATTATCCCATAATGATGAGACTGTATTATTTTACTTAAAATTGTATTTTACTTACTTTGTAACTGTTTGGTTTTTTTTCTTTTCTTTCTTTTAGGATGTTTTAAATTACAGAATTACTCAAAGTTGTTGATTCCTATAGCTATGCGGAGATACATTGACATTGGAGCCAATCTGACCGATGCTGTTTTCAAAGGTGTTTACAGAGGAAAAAAAGTCCATGATGACGACTTTCACCAAGTTCTTAAACGAGCTTTTGAAATCGGCATGGATAAAATAATAGTTACAGCTGGATGCCAAGAAGATATAACTGATGCCTTAAACCTTGTAAAAGACAATGAGAGATTATACTGCACAGTGGGTGTGCACCCAACTAGATGCAACGAGTTTGAAACTAATGGTGATCCTGAAAATCATTTAAATGTCCTGAAGCATTTTATTAATGAAAACAAAGAAAAAGTTGTTGCTGTTGGCGAATTAGGTCTCGACTATGACAGAACACAATTTTGTTCAATTGAAACCCAAAAGAAGTATTTTCAAATGCAACTGGAGCTCGCTGCTGAAGCTAAACTACCCCTTTTTTTGCATTCTAGAAATTGTGCTGACGACTTTATTGATATCATCAGCAAAAAGCGAGATCTTCTAAAAGGTGGGGTTGTGCACTCTTTTACTGGTACGATTGAGGAAGCAGAAAAATATATTGAGCTGGGTTTCTATATTGGGATAAATGGTTGTTCTCTTAAAACTGAAGAGAATCTTAAGGCAATGGCTTCAATTCCAACCGAAAGACTTATGATTGAAACAGATGCACCATGGTGTGGAATTAAGAACACTCATGCTGGCTCAAAATTTGTGAAGTCAAAATGGGACATAAAAAAGAAAGAAAGATGGATTGAAGGTTCAACTGTCAAAGATAGGTGTGAACCATGTCATATTGTTCAGGTGTTGGAAGTCATGGCAGAATATCGCAAAGAAGATCCAGATGTACTTTGCCAAAAAATCTTTGAAAACACAAATAGACTGTTTTTCCCTGATCAATAAGATAGGCACATGATTTATAGTTGTGTTTTTAAGTTGAATCTTTGGCTGAAATCATACAAAACTTTGCAGTTTACCCTTTTCTTCTAAATCCATAGCTTTTAGAATTTGCTGTTTTTCTGATTTACTAATACTATTAATAAAACAAAAGTTAATAAAACAAAAGTTAAATTTATTACCAATTATTCAATCAATACATATCATAAATTCTAATATTGGAAACACAATGCAAAATGGATGTCTTAAACTATAATTTCATTGTGACTAATAATCTATTGACTTTCAAAGTTGAATTTTAGTTAAGTATGAAATGCCACCACATCATAGTTAGGGTAAAATGTTATTTTTAAATTTTAAAATTGAGAAGATTGCTCTATGGCTTAAAATGTAAAATTCTAGCAAAAGATATCTTATTTTTAAATAGTTGGTTACAGTTTATGACAGTACTGGCATGACTAGTTTTATTGTGGCTGGTAAAAGGACCCAGTTGCCTGTAAGGGCTTTACCGAACCCCAGGGGACCACAATGTGATAAGATCAGGCCAGATGTTTCTATGTAGAGCAATTTATTTATTTTGGAGCTATGATTACGTGGTATAGCTGGTGGTCATGTTTAAAGGTCAGTTTATCCTTGTGTGCTAATTATCCATCCAGATGCTTAGTGATGTGGGTAAATCATGCCCTTCTACGATATATAATGTTTGACCATAAATTTGTTTTTACCACATAAACTGTGGCACTAATGTCAATTAACAATATTTACATTCATTGATATTTAAAGCGTGTTTTTTCCCCAGCACTACTACACAACAAAAACCTGTCGGCCCACCGAGGAAACACGGTCGCAGAACAAAGAGCCCAATTGTGCTCTTCTATTCTGTGATCGTGTGTATCTACTATAAACTAGCTAAATATACTAAGAAAATTTAATGGAATCATTACAGTCGTTTGATAAGTTCACGTGTCAAAGTAATGTTCATGGTGATCATATTTTTTGATCCCCGGTGGGCAAACACTCGTCCGAAAGGTCAAGGCAAACCTGTCGATGTTTCACCATACGAAGTAAGGCGATTTGAACATATACTCAGCTTACAACTCAACCCATGGGACGAGACGTCGTGAGCCTCAAAATTCTTCAAAATATACAGCACATACCTAGTTAGCAAACACTAAACACAACATACATACGATACCAAATAATGTATAATGCCATTACTAATTCGAAAGAAAATATATCTGCTATCTAATTTAAAAAATTGAAGAATAAACCTGAAGAAAGGGGAAGGAGAGGGGTTTGGGAGAGGCAGAGTAGGAAAACAACAGGATCCTGTGCCGCAGGATTTTAAAATTTGTTGTTTGATGATTCGTTTTGTTTCGTCTCTTAGATTAATATATAGGTCTGATACCCTTGTCATGGTTCTTTGCAATAACACCGTGGTTTACTCATATGATTAAGTTTAGTTAATTAACCTATTTCAATGATAATTCATTTGCATCAAAGTTGTAACTGCACCATAGTTGTCTGTCATATTTAGATTGTAGTTCTAACAAAGCTTTCTTATTAATTCAATTATTTTGTAGACTTGACACGGAAACACTCACAATGATCATGACATTACTTACGATGTTTTATTTATTTTTAAGTGATCTGATACAAATTCAATGTTTCTTGAAACGTAGATAAAACATATAATAATCTAGGCTATGAGATTGACAAGAGTACTGTTAAAAAAGAAGCACAAAGGAGCCGGTACAGGACAGCTGAGGACCCCTAAAAATTATCAGAATCCCGAAAAAATTCAAGGAGTCCTCACTCACACTAAGGGAGTGGAGTTGATTCCTAAAGTCCCAAAAGTTACATTTGGAGGAGGTCTAGAGAGCATCCATCAAGGGTTTTTACTTTTTAAAAGTTAATTTTTATCAGTATTTAAACTTTCAGTTTAACCACCAAGAGTCAAAAATATTTATTTATTTCACAATTTTGCCACCTCTTGATCTTGGGGGGAAAATGACAACAGCTGATATTTTTTATTTGAAAATTCAATTAATTATAATATAATATAAATCAAGCGTTACATTTCAGCCATGCAAAATTACAATGACATATTTTGATAAACTAATTGATAAATGGTACTGCAATATAAGTTGCTTAATGTTTAGCCGGATGACAACTAACTGAAAGAGAAAAATAAACTTGATTACATAATAATTAATTCGGCTGAACCAACACATAGCAAGAGCCACATTAACGTTGGGGCCGTCTACCAAATTTGAATGACATACAATAACAAGAAATCAAACATATCATAAATAATTATATATGGATTTTGTTCATTACAATTCCGTCACAACTGCTGATAAAAGAAAAAGAAGGACAAGCAATTGGACGGACAGAATTGTAACCAACAAAAACACATTTCTGAGACTCATAAGACTGATGAGCTAGTCTGGCCAGACTGTATCGGCAGCCCAGAGGTACTTGATCAGATTGGCCTTAAAAGTAGAAATCTGCTCTGACTGCCGGATACATACTGGTAGACTATTCCATTTCAGCATAGATCTATGAAAGAAGCTATTTCGGAAGGCATCCGAGCAGGGCACAGTGGTACTCATGTAAGTTGTAGTATCCGACCTATCAATTATTTGAGCATTGTGCCTAGTGTATCGGGTGCCCTCTGGACGGCATAGGACTATATAAGTAGGAAGCGAAACTGGGATTATGCTATTCACTATTTTATAGAAGATCATAAGATCGTTATAAATAAACTATTATATAATATCGTATATATTGTCTACCTTTACATATCAAGATATTTATTTTGAAAATTTCCCTTACACACTTTCATTTCTTCATAAAGTTACCCACACCATTGAGCGCAGAATAGCTAAGAAGGGATATGTCCTAGGAGTTTTTCTTGACATAGAGGGCGCCTTCGACAACGTCTCGTTCAAAGCTATTTCTGATGCAGTCAGGGCCACGAAAGTGGACCTAGCTACAGCGCAATGGATCATCAACATGGTCACTAATCGCTTTATCAATCTAAGTCATAAGGATAAGTCGAGAAGGGTACAGATCAGGAGAGGCTGCCCACAGGGAGGCATCCTTTCTCCTTTTCTATGGAACCTGGTAGTCGACGATCTCCTCTCCTTTACTGCGAAGGACATACCGGGTTACCTGCAAGCCTTCGCAGATGACCTGGCTTAACTAGCAGAAGGAAATGACCTGGACATCATCTGGAACCGCACATGCAAAACCATCAATACGATAGAAAAATGGTGCCAAACCAAGGATCTATCTATCAGCGCACTCAAGACTCAGATAGTCATGTTTACCTGGAATACTAAGTGGACTTTGAGACCAATAAAAGTTGGCAACAACATTATAGGTCTCTCGAAGTCGGCTAAATTCCTAGGTGTGACATTATAATTAGACAGCAAACTCAATTACAACGAACATATCATCAACATCACCAAAAAAGCCACGGCATCCCTCATGCAATGTCGAAGAGCTGTCGGCCCCACATGGGGTATGAGCCCTAAAACTTGTAAATGGATGTTCACAGCGGTCATTCGACCCATTCTGTCCTACTGCTGTAGTATATGGATCAGGGCAATTGACACGGACTACAATGCGAGGAAGCTCAAACGTGTGCAGGCATTGGCACTGAGAATGATGTCTGGTGCCATGCCAAGTACACCCTTCCTCGCATTGAATCACCTTACTGACACCCCAGACACCATACTATTCCTGAGGGGCGAAGCAGCGAAGGGGGCAGCAAGGCTTCAAGCCTACGGCAGCCTCACTCTTGAAACTATCGCCCACAGGAAGGGAACTATCAAAAACCACACCACAATCAACAAACAATTCATGGAGGATCTCAACATACCACCTAGAGCCACAAGAGACCTCACAGCACCAACCATGATGCTGGGACGGCACTTCACCGTCACCACTCCTGGAACTAACAACACTGAATACAGAACCGCACTCCAACACACCATCGACAACATTACCAGTGAAACGATCACCTGCTACACAGACGGGTCTCTATCAGACTCCGGAAGTGGGGCTGGGTACATCATCACGACTGACAACAACAACACCACCCTGGAAGAGAGATCATTCAAGCTCCCTGATTATTGCACTGTCTACCAGACAGAGCTCACTGCAATCATTGAAGCCTGCAAGTATCTCTCATCCTACACCAATTCACACATCATTATATGGTCTGATAGTCTCTCCTCCATACAAGCTATTTCCTCGCTTTCAACGAGGAGCAGAACTACTAGAGACTGTTATGACACCCTTAACGCACTCGGATCAAACAACACTCTAGAGATCCGATGGATCGCAGCCCATATTGGGTTGTGGGGAAATGAAAAAGCGGATGAGCTGGCCAAGCTTGGCACGACCAGCGAACACGTTTTGAAATGCCCAATCCCTCAATCTTACATCAAACGACAAATCGACAACAAAGTCCACAGACTGAATCAGGATATCTGGTTAACGGATGGTCCTAGACACACCAAACTAACACTTGGCCAAAAGCACACCAAAATAATCAATAATATAAACACGTCACTCATCAACAATAGACAAGACTATAGAACCGCAGTCCACCTAATCACGGGCCACTGTGGCTTAAACAAACACCTCCACACCATCCGCAAATCAAGCACCAGTGCTTGTCCTATGTGCGGTGACGGAGAGGAAACTGTCTCACACTTTCTTGGACAGTGCCCAGCTATTGCCCAACTAAGAGGTCAATACTTTCGGGACTACTACCTCTCGGTCAACGACATATTCGACAACCACCACATTACCACAATCGTCAACTTCACAAACCGCACCAAACGCTTAATAGTACCAGAAGAACTGGATCAGACTGGCGTAACTTAGCGCATTAACACATTACATATGCAGCCTTGCCTAACTGATCTATAAACTCATCTGGTACCAAAGCGCGGTATTCCCATTCAGATCATTACCACCACCGTCCTCCACAATTCACACTGTTGTCTCCAATAAACCCCCCCTCATCCCAGAGGTAGGCAAAGCATCTTAATGCTATCCTCTAGTGGGCTTTCTATGCCCAGCCTCTCTTAAAAAAAAAAAAAAAAAAAAACTTTCATTTCAGGACAGTGAGGCGTGTGATACAATTAAAAACGCCATGGGATGTTAAGAGAGACCTTCAGTTGGAGCAGATAAAACGGGTTAATGCGCACACACTTAATAGTACACCTTCTTATCTAAATGAGGTAGATTTAATTTTACTTTCATAATTTTATATTTTGAGTGTCAATCATAGAATTTTCTGTTTTTTCAAGCCTAATATTTGTCAGAATTACTGCTGATTGGTTTAATGTTTATTGCTACAATTTCAGGAAGAGGAGAGAATATTTATGTCATTACTGGAATCTAAATCTATGGCCAAAAAGGCAGCTGAAAAAGAGGACTCTCCAATACTGGACATGCTCAATGAGATGGAGGGTAGGAAAATTGAAGATATAGTTTGGAAAATGAGACGAAAGAGTACCCCTCGTGAAAGTGATTTGAAACGCAAGTACCAGCCTCGAGAGATCAGAGCAGATCTGTATAATATTAATGAAGGTCTTCAAGATAACAGAGGACAACATCGACCTGGAGATCCCCAGTTACCGCTACTGTGATATTATGTACATTGTTAATGTTAAATCAGGATTTGCTTCTAAATTAACTGATAATGTAATGATAATTTATTTAAACATAGTTGAATAAGGTTTAAAGTTTATACTGATTTTTATATATCAACCAAATTCATTGGCTTTTCTAACTGAGCGAGCATTTCCTTAATGATTTAAAGAAACATTCGATGAGGTTGATGCTGCCATGAACTGATATGAAGTTTCAGAATTAATTTATTAACTTATTAAGTGACCATTTTTATTTTGATAAAGAAATAAGCACTGAAGATTTATTTTGTCCTTGTTTGAATTTATGAATAAAAATTGGAAAAACTAGAAATTGATACCCCCTGTTACTCATAACATAACATTACCTGCGAGGATATCACGAAATTTAATGTAATATTTATTTGATAACGAGTAGATATATAAAATTAAACTAACCAGGATGACAGGACTGGTATGGTTGGTGGCCATTATAGTGATCCTAGTTGGTTTGCTACAAATTCCTCTGCTATGTGATCTGATTCGGTCGTGTGCGCCCAACAGAGCCCCTAAACGGATTGTAGGCCCAGTTCTGGACACCATTGTCGTCTGTATTATGTGGTAGGTTCACCATAATATCATTTTCCTTGTTTTGTATTTTAATAACGATTTTCCACTTCCAGTTATTCTGGATCAAGAGACATTTCATTCAAATTATCATCAATATTTAATGAGATTTCAATCAAAATAAAAAAGAACCTTTACTGTACAGTCTAAATGAGCACACTCTCTCTTTCAGTGTGGTGTTCACAGCAGTATTTCACCTTTTCTTCTGGGTATTCCTCCCGGCTCACCTGGAGTACAAAGATCCCTGGTTAAACTCCACCGGACTTTACCATATCGCACTGTTCTGGTTCCTTTTCCTAAACACTATCTCAAACTACACCTGTACTGTCTTCACTGAAGCGGGTTTGTTTTAAATAATTCTTTTTGAGAAAATACTACAATATAATCAAGGTACGATGTTGGATACCTGAGTTCTATATCTTTCGATAGCAACTCCATCTATGTATCTGCTTAGCTTCCATCACTGATCCTGGTACTTGAGATTCCAGGTGTGGCTTTAAACAATGTTTTAAGGGCCCAACACTCAGCTCACTCAGTTGATGGTAGAACAGTGGGTCTTTGTGCGATGTTGTAGCAGGGACTCCACTTCTTGTTTTCTCTTGCTAACCAGATTGCATAGGAACATCTGAGAGCAACCAAAGCCGCCTCTTGGAACACTGCTTTCTTTACTCTCTTTGTAACACCAAAGTAGTTTAGTAGGGCCGGTAAGGTATGATGCCAGAAGCCTCTACACCCAACCTCTACCGTAAAAAGCTGAGCTTTCCACCCACTGCCATGCAGCCCAGGAATAAGCTCTCTGTTGTAACGTGCTTGTTTACGTTCTACTTGGTCACTAAAGTTACTCTCGTCACCAACTGTCAACTCTACTAATATGACCACCTTTCCTTTATCAGACCAGACTACAATATCAGGACGTTCTGCAGTTCCGTTACAGATGTGCTGGGGGAACTGTGCTGGGAGGTCATCTTCGTCCCAGATAATCTGCCAATCTTGGTCTTTCTCAAAAGGGCTCTCTCTTTTCATCTTCGTCTTTGGTTTTTGGTAACAGCTGCTAGATGACTTGAAGCCTGTCCAGTCCTGAACTTCAAGTTTAAAATCTTTGTTGTTGAACTTCTCTATTTGATCCAGTAGGGATTTTGCAATGACCCGCAGCACGTTGTCATGCCTCCAATTGTATCGTTTGTTGTTCAGCGAGAAGTTGCAAGCTACCAAAATGTGCTTAATGTTGCAGTGTCTCCATCCGCAAAGTGGACAGTGTCCTGTGTCAGCATAGTTCCACAGGCTCATGTTTGCTGGAGTATTTGCAACGTCATGGGTTGCATTGAGGTGGAACTTAAGAAGAGCAGGGCTCATCTTGTAGTTGTAAATAAGGTTGTTCCAACCTAGGTCTAGCTGCATGGTGTTTTCCCATGTTAAGAATTGTCCTTGAACTCCCTTGTCTACCAGTGTCAACAGGATATCCTGCTCTGAGATGGGATACCAGTTCTTTCAGTTTTTCTTTTTCACTGGCTACACTCCTCTTGGATCCCAAGCCCATCCTGCCTTGCACTGTTACCCCAACTAACTCTCTGAAGTAAAGATCTCTTTCTCTAGCACTCAGCTCATTAGTGTAACCCCACCGACTGCTCCCTTCTTGCTTCTTGGCCATGTGCTCGTAGACCTCCTTAACTTTAGGATCCTTGCTGTTCTTTAGAGAGTAACCTTTGGACACCTGAAGGAACTTGTATAAGTCCGATAGTCTTTTAAGATTTAATCCAAAGCAATCCTTATTTCTGTAAAGCACACTGACAGTAATTGTCTTTGTTACACCTAGCCATTTCTTCAGATACTTCGTACATATTGCTTCAAGATCTTTGACAAAACTAACCGGGAGATTGTAGATCATCAGGTCCCAGGAGAGCTTGCTGGTTAGGAGGTTGTTGTAAATCCAGCATTTCATCACTCCATTCAGGCCCGATCCGTCCACTGCCTGAAACAGTGTAATCAGTTTGTCTTCTATCAGCTTCTTGGTATCTTTGAGGCCCAGATCAACATATATCCAATGGCCAAGAAACTTCATCGGTGTATTTCCAATAAACTGGATTTGAGCTCCATCTAAGAAAATTTCAGGGTCATAGGACACATACCTTCCATCTACAACCTTCATCCCCAGGATGAACAGGTTTTTTTTGAATAACAGCTATTTCGTGATTATTATTACTTCCAGAAAATAATGACACATTTTATTTTCTATCCAGCATTTAATTTCCAGGTACCCCTCCCCGTGTTACTATGACGCCTGACACCGCCATGTCAATATCTATCGAGAGCTGTATTCCTAAAGAAAAGGTACTTCACCAGACATTTCTAGTTCTCTTTCTAAAAAGTGCCTAAATTTTGAGCAATTTAGGCACTTTTTAGTTCATCTATTTTTAGCTAGGATACCTTAAACTTTTCCTAATTTGAATAACATAAAAACAACTGCAGATCTGTTTGGAATGTAAGTGTATGAAGGCAGACACAACACACCACTGTAAAGCCTGTAAACAGTGTATCATGCATATGGACCATCATTGTCCGTTTGTGCTCGGATGTGTGGGGCTCAACAATTACCATTACTTTTATTCTTTCATGGTAAGATATTTTGATTTAAATTCTTTCGATGTAAGAAATTTTGATGTGGTGATATAATGAATGCTCAAACTTATTTAACGCTAACAATGATTGATTATGATACACAAAATGTTTCTAGTAAAACGTATTATGATAGATATCAGAAATGATAATAATAAATAATAATAAAATTTGGTAGCTTAAACACAAACTCTAAGCCCAGTGGATAAACCACAAAACTTATGCTCTATTGTGTGGAACAAAGATACTAGATCAAGATATCTATCAAGGAGTGTATGCATAGGACATAAAAAGTTTTGGAACGAAGATGACATGCTTATGAAGCGAGCTAACAGTCTAATTGCTAATAAGTTCAAAAAGATCATGACATTAGGTTGCATCCTAAACAGTTTAAGCAAATAACATAAAGTTATATTGTCAATTAATCGCTCAAGCCATAACTTTTCTTAAACAGGTGAGTTTTTAATAATGTTTTGAACATATCAACATCAGAACAAGTCTTAATTTCAATTGGTAGTTGGTTCCAGATTTTCGGAGCAACAGTCTGAAACGCTCTTGGGTGCGATCTTGTAGATCCGACAGGTAGGTGTAAGGAGGAAGTTCTTCTGCTACTCGAACTAACAAATGTTACTAGATGATACTAATCGAAATTAAGATAAACCACGTTATGAGTTACACGGGAAATTATTTCCAGGTATATTTCTACATGGGTATGATTTATAGTATCTACCTGACTAGTGGACCATTCCTACATTGCCATGGCTGGCCCTACGAAGAAAGGACATACAATTGTGACGATGTAAGTAACTCTCTCTAGCTCTTTGTACACAATTTTTACGATTAATATAATTAATTACTAATGACGTATCGAATAATATCGAATAATAAAACCTTACCACCGCGTTTCCCAGGGTGTTGGCATAGTTAGCCTAATGTTTGTGGTAGTATGTCTGAACCTGCCCGGTGCCACTCTCATGAACTCCTTCAACCTCCTGGCCCTATTCTCCAACACCTCCACCATGTCCTGTCTCCTGGAGTCTCTCAACGCTGGACTCCTCGTATCCGCTAAAGGTCTCCTCAGCCGGCTCTCCCTCAGGAGTATCACAGATTCCAGGTCTAGGTTTCACATTTTACTGATCTCTAAACGCGAACACCCCCTCTTGTTCCTCATTCCTCCTGTCTTGACTGCAGGGAAGTTGTTCTTTCAACACTTTCTCACCAAGAAGAGAACAATCCAATTCAAGTTTCCTAGACTTCCTAAGAAAGTTAGTCTGACAGCTTGATCTTAGGTTCAGTAAGCTTTGCGTTATGATGTGATAAATTGTAACGATCGTACGTAACAATTTCTGGTTTATAAATTTTACACTACTTTTGGGGGAAATTTGCTCTGTAATTAAATGTAAATTTGTCGTTTTACTTATGATTATTATTATTTCAAGTCGCCAGTATAATTGTATCCTTATTAAATTTTTCCTATGATTTCTAAGAACTAGAATTGGCTAAGCAATTTATATTAATTTCTCTTAAAGTTATATAAGCGTTCTAGAACTTACGTTTGCCACATTTACATAATAAATAATAATGTATAGACAGCAGTACAGTTTGATGTACCTCAATATTCAATATTTATTTCCATACTATGTGGACAAAATTTACATAAGACAGCAGTACAGTTTGATGAACTTACTTCAATATTCAATATTCATTTCCATACTATGTGGAATTGATTACTTTTTGTGGTATATTTCTATGATCACTGATTTGATTGAAACGCCACTTTTATTTATATTGTGTAATGTGTTGTATTCATAAGCGCTAGGCGTTACATGAGTAAGCTGTGTGAATCTTTTGAAAAGTTTTTTAAAGATACCTCATTGCTCTGAAAGTGATTTGATATATTGTAATGTGTACATTTTAAGTAACAAGACATATGTTTATATTTTTGCAATATCGTTTCATTGTCATTACCATCGGCAGCATTATTTATCATAAATTTGCTTTGCATTCGCTCATTATCTGTTTTAGTGCTTCCTTTGATCAAATGTATAATCAATCTGTTCATGTTGGGTTGTTTCCATTGCCCTTTTAGCTTAGCATCCCTGAATACATCAATCAGTGTAATCACGTTTTTAAAATAAACTGAGTGCGAAATTTGTACAACGCTTACATTCGATATGATAACCATTATAGGATGGTAAATGATGGAGAGGCTAACTCCATGGAAGATGATGAACCGCAACTAAATGATCATCCGGATATAAACGATCCTAACCCAGAAGACCCTGAAAATCCTGGTGGTATGTTTTTATATCTTTATCACAGTGTCAAACCTTAGCCTTTTGAATCTGACAATTAAACGCTCTTATATTTGTGTTCAGAAAATTTCATATTTGAAAATGGGACAGGATTTTGAAAATATAACTTTTCGTTTTGTTAAGCTTTCTGCTGTGGGCTTCCTCCGACCGAAATCAAACTTCCAGCACCTCAATCGTGTCATTTGGCATCTATAGTTGACTTGGTTGCGGGTGAAAAAATGCGGCAGTCAAAACTGTAAAATTTCGGTCCTGGAAATTTTATCTTCAAAAACTGAAAATGGGACAGAGATTGGGACAATATGATTTTGCAATTTATTCGTGATTTTGACTCCCAGTACCTCAATTTGGTTTCATACCATCATCAATTATATCGGCTGTTATATACAACAATTTGATAACAGCCATTGCTATTGATTAATTTTAGGTTTGGGGGGTTTGGGCATCAACCTCATAAATACCTATTATGAGGTTGACGCCCCCCCCCCCCCCCCCTAGGTTTGTAATTTTAACTGGTTATATCAAATCACCAGCAACCTTGTCTGCTCTGAGAACTCAATAAACCTCACGAATAAAACAGTTTATTACCAGCTGCGGAAGAAGAAGAGATAAGACTGATAATGGAAGACATGGAGAAGATAGAGGAGTATCTGGACAGGGTAGCTCAACAAAGTGACGATCTTACCGAGCGGATCAAGGAGTTTGTAGAGGAGTTCAATAATACTCAGCCTCTGGAAGAGGTCCAGTCTGCTCAAAACTCATCGTAGTGGAAACGAGTTAGAGTTTAAGATGTAGAGTCCTCAGTTTTATTCTTTAATCTGTGCATGATTTATGAACCGAATCTAGACGGACCTTTACTGATAGTTGAAATTCGACATATGACGTCATCTAGCGTCATCTAGCGTCATCTAGCGTGAAATATCGCCAGATGATGATAGATGACGCTAGATGACGCTAGATGACGCTAGATGACGCTAGATGACGCTAGATGACGCCAATTAGCGACATTGTCGCTAAGTGCACGGCACCTTTCGAATGTCGCTATCTAGCGCTATCTAGCGCTATCTAGCGCTATCTAGCGCTATCTAGCGCTATATGACGCTATATGACGCTATATGACGCTAGATGACGCTAGATGACGCTAGATGACGCTAAGCACGCAGCACTGACGCCAGGCGACAGATAGCGCTATTTTCATAAAATTTCCGCCTTTTTTTTTGCGACATCTAGCGCTATCTAGCGCTATCTAACGCTATATGTCGCAACGACATCTGACGCAGCGCTATCTAGCGCTATCTAGCGCTATCTAGCGGAGAATGTCGGTCTGTGACAGTTTACGCTAGATAGCGCTATCTAGCGCTAGATATCGTGGCGACAGCTAGCGCTAGATAGCGCGGCGTCATCTAGCGCTATCTAGCGTAAACTAGCGCTAGCTAATGAAGAATGTCGGTTTGCGACAGTCCACGCTAGATAGCGCTATCTAGCGCTATCTAGCGCTAGATATCGTGGCGACAGCTAGCGCTAGATAGCGCTAGATAGCGCTATCAAGCGTAAACTAGCGCTAGCTAATGAAGAATTTCGGTTTGCGACAGTCCACGCTAGATAGCGCTATCTAGCGCTATCTAGCGTGGCGACAGCTAGCGCTAGATAGCGCGGCGCCATCTAGCGCTATCTAGCGTAAACTAGCGCTAGCTAATGAAGAATGTCGGTTTGCGACAGTCCACGCAGTACGCGTAGACACATGGCTATCATGTCACATGTGAATCCAGACCCTCACCCCAAAGCTATCAAAGTTATCTAGCCTTAATTGACGATGTCAATTCATCGCAGCTCGGCGAGGCACAGAAGCGCATTTCGCAGATCTAGCGAGAAGCATAATTGGATGCGCGGCGCGGCACAGTAACGCTTATAGCTTAATTTGCAGAATAACTTGCAATTTAGTAACGTATAATATGTGCTAAATTTTGTACGAACAAGTAAATTATTTGATCATTGTTAATGGACTAGCCCTATTTGATAGATTGAAAGCCCCCCCCCCCCCCCCGCAATAGGGGATGGACTAATTTATTGTCCGCGTCATAATATCAATCAGTTTAAAAACACTCGCCGGGCACTCTAAAAAAACTCTATCAAGGTTACTGGGCGGCGCTCAGCCTGTCATTCCGCCGAATCTTTATTTTATGTTTATGAACATAATCATATATCGTACCCAAGAGTTTTCAGTTTACGAACTACGCTTGTAGCGCGATGCGTTACTGTGCCGCGCCGCGCACTCAATAAGGCTTTCACAGATCGGCGAGATGCGCTACTGTGTCGCGCCGCGCATCCAAAAATGCTTCTCGGCATCTAATAATGCTTTTCGGCGAGATGCACCACTGAGCTGTGAAAGATTGGCATCATGAATCAACGATTTTAGTTACTTGTATAAATTTCGTCGAAATCTAGTACGTGCCGCTTTTTTCCGATCTTGTAGGTTTACAACCTACCAGGACGCGCGCCGAGTTGGACTCGTCGACGGTCCTAATATATGGAACAGAGATTTTACGAGTATCACCCGTTAATTCCGATCCCGAAATGTTAAGGGTCGACGGTCGTTTACATATAACGTAATCAGCTGAGGAGGTTGGGGTTTCCAAATGATTATTGATTACGCTAGTGTAATATTGACATAATAGCTATGGTAAAACTGATTACGGAGTATGTGAACGACCCCTCATTGTTAGTAATCAGTTCCATACATTGATTGACGATGACAATCCATCGAGATCGTTGCTCCATCGACGACGATCGATCGACGACGATCGATTCGATGCGAAGCAAAAATGCTAGTTTGCGCGGCGTGTCGAAGCGGTGAAGTCCTCCAATTCCATACATAGCTATTAAGCTATCAGTATTATGTCACAATCACACTAGTAAGCGTAATAATTTGAAAAACCCCGGCCGGCGGCATCAGGCCCCTTATATAATTATAATATGTAAACGACCCCTTGATTAAGCGATATTTAATATTTTGTTCCACTCAGCCGAATATTTAATAAATCGAGTGTAATAGTTGGGTGACTTCGACGCGCGCGCAAGCTTATAGTTATATCATTCTCACTTAAATTATAATTAATTTTCATACACAGTAAAAATTAATTTTCATACAAAATAAAAATAACAAAAAAGATTGGGTGGGGAAAGACAGGCTGCACACACACACACACACACACACACACACACACACACACACACACACACACACACACACACACACACACACACACACACACACACACACACACACACACACACACACACACACACACACACACACACACACACACACACACACACACACACACACACACACACACACACACACACACACACACACACACACACACACACACACACACACACACACACACACACACACACACACACACCCACACACACACACACACACACACACACACAGGGTTAGGGTTACTGTTACTGTGATAGGATATGATATCTAGCGCTACATGACGCAACGACATCTGACGCAGCAACATATTGATATAGCGCTAGATAGCGACATCTAGCGCTAAATAGCCTGGACTGACACGACCCGAAATTCTTCGCTATTTAGCGCTATCTAACGCTATTTAGCGCTATCTAACGCCAGATAGCGCTATCTAGCGCTATATGTCGCAACAACATCTGACGCTATATAGCGCTATCTGGCGCTATATAGCACTAGATAGCGTGAACTGTCGTAAACTGACCTATCCCGCTATCCAGCGCTTGATGTCGCCTGCGTCAGATGTCGTCGCGTCAGATGTCGTCAGATGTCGCTAGATGGCGTCAGATAGCGTCAGATAGCGTCAGATGTCGCGGCAACATATAACGCTAGATGACGCTAGATGACGCCAAATAGCGCTATCTAGCGCTATATGTCGCAACAACATCTGACGCTATATAGCGCTATCTGGCGCTATATAGCGCTAGATAGCGTGAACTGTCGTAAACTGACCTATCCCGCTATCCAGCGCTTGATGTCGCCTGCGTCAGATGTCGTCGCGTCAGATGTCGTCAGATGTCGCTAGATGGCGTCAGATAGCGTCAGATAGCGTCAGATGTCGCGGCAACATATAACGCTAGATGACGCTAGATGTCGTCCCTAGAATTTTTATGAAAATAGCGCTATCTGTCGCCTGGCGTCAGTGCTGCGTGCTTAGCGTCATCTAGCGTCATCTAGCGTCATCTAGCGTCATATAGCGTCATATAGCGTCATATAGCGCTAGATAGCGCTAGATAGCGCTAGATAGCGCTAGATAGCGCTAGATAGCGACATTCGAAAGGTGCCGTGCACTTAGCGACAATGTCGCTAATTGGCGTCATCTAGCGTCATCTAGCGTCATCTAGCGTCATCTAGCGTCATATAGCGTCATATAGCGTCATATAGCGCTAGATAGCGCTAGATAGCGCTAGATAGCGCTAGATAGCGCTAGATAGCGACATTCGAAAGGTGCCGTGCACTTAGCGACAATGTCGCTAATTGGCGTCATCTAGCGTCATCTAGCGTCATCTAGCGTCATCTAGCGTCATCTATCATCATCTGGCGATATTTCACGCTAGATGACGCTAGATGACGCTAGATGACGTCATATGTCGAATTTCAACTATCAGTAAAGGTCCATCTAGACTTTATTTTAGGCATTCACTTGATGTTATTAAACGTTGTAACGATTATGCGCAGATATGATGTAAATCACAACGAAACTTGGTAATACGTAATATTCACAGATACAATGTAAATTGCAATGAAACGTGCTGTATTTATGAACTTCGCTGGTCGAAATGTGGAATGCAATGTTAATTGATTGATATTTATTTCTATAAAACTGAATTTTTATGAAATGCCTTGTCCCCTCGATTGCGTGATGAATAAAAATCGATGATATATTAGTTGATTGATCCTTCTTGCCCCAGCCCCCTGTCAAACTGTACCATTATTAATTATACTTGTTTTTAACCCAAGTTGGGACTTATACCAGACAAATTCACACTGAACTGGCAGGAAGGATAGCATGTAAGGAATAAAATGAACCGTATCTGTTCCACCTGCAAGATGATTACAAGGTAGCGGAGATCACGTGACAAGGTAAAGATCACGTGACACATGACTGAGGGGAACTATGAGGCCATGCCTCTGATTGTGAACGATCCTGGCCATGCTTCGCTTGCTCTTCAAGCCATGGACGAGCTCAGGAAGAAACGGTGCTTCTGTGATGTTCTCATTGCAGTAGAGGTTATTTATTTAATATTTATTTGATCTTTTTATTTGGCCCGAACCTTTAGATCTGCTGGACGAGAGGGGACGCTTGTTTTTTTGTTTTTATTTGTTATCAAATCTTATTATTGAGACAATTTGTTGCCAGCGAGGTAGCACTGCTATTTACTAAGTAGACCTTGTTCGACAGGAGTGTGACATATCAGCTCACCGACTGGTTCTAGCCGCCAGTAGCTCTTACTTTTACGCCATGTTCACCAATGATCTCCACGAGAGCACCTCTAAAAAAGTAACAGATCTTACATTACATATTTATTGTTTAATTTTTCGATTGAATCTATTCTAATTAACTGATAACTTTGATTTGTAAAACATATTTTTTCAAATTTCTTGCGAAAAAAACTTCCCTTGACTATCGTTTCACTTGCAGATAGAAATCAAGAATGTAGATTCCCAGACAATGCAGAACTTAGTAAACTACGCGTACACTTCTCAGATAGAAATAAGGAAAGATAATGTACAGGTCTGTTACTAAAAGGGAAATTGTATAATAAGTATTATGGATATTAAAACATTTTATGCTCAGTTGGGCTCTAAATAATTGGATCTTCTCGCACTTAAGATGTTGGTTCTTAATAAAAAATAAATTGTTAACTGGCAGCATGTTGTTGACTGATGTTACTTGGCAGCATGCTGTTGACTGATGCTATCTTCAGGTATTATTGACTGCTGCTGGGCTGTTGCAGTTCGACAAGGTCCAGGAGATCTGCACTGATTTCATTAAAAGAGAGCTGACTCCCTCCAATTGTATTGGGATATACAACTACGCTGACAGGTGAGTCCTTATCAAATTATCACAAGATGTTTCTACGCCTTACTGTTCAGCATCTTAGCAGGGATTTGTATCTTAAATAAATAGGTCTATCAGTAAAATTACGCTTAAAATATGATCAGCCACAATCAATCCACACATTTGTCAGATACGGTTTTGTTGACCTGCTCAGAGCAGCTGACGACTTTGCAAAGAGGAATTTTGTTGAGATGTGCTTGTGCGACGAGTTCTTGAGCCTGGATACGGGAAGGTTACTACAACTGGTATCCAGCAATGAACTTAATGTTCTTGTTGAGTCCAAGGTATCTATTGTGTTATTTATTCAGGACTTCAGGAGTTTTGTAACTTAGTGATATTTCTGGGTCTGTTCAGTTGGCTGTAAAATAAATTCCATTAATGCCGGAGCCCGCATATAATATCAAACACTGAATTTAGACGAACATTTTACGAATGGATATTGAATAATCTGTTTTTTTAAATGAACAGTTTAAAACTCAGAAAATTTATCAAGATCGTGCTTTTTCTACACGTCATACAATTTGTAACGATCTGTGGATATATCCGTATATATACTAAATACATCGGTACTTTTCAGGTGTACGAAGGTGTGATGACATGGATCCGGCACAGCCCGGAGGAACGAGCCGAACATTTACCTGATCTACTAGCTGCTGTTAGACTACCCCTAATATCTTCCAAATACCTTGTAGACCACATTGAAAAGGTTTCAGTTGGAGCCATTTCTATATTTAAATTTGTATTTACGTGTCTCTTTGTAGTAAAAATAGATGTTGTTTGAGTATTTCTACGATTTTAATATTTTAATTTTCAAACGTGGGCTGTCTCTACAACAAAAACAGCCAATGATTTTTAAATGATTCTACTACAAAATATATAGTATAATAAAATGATATGATAAATTACTCATAGACTCAATCAATATTGGTATGTATATTATACCAATATAAATATTGGTATATTAGCATACATTCAATGTATATTTTGCATTGTCTCCTAATATATAATAACATTAAATTTAAATTGAAATTTTAAAATGTAAAAATATTCCAGGAGGAGCTGATAGCAGAAAGTGAGAACTGCAGAGTGCTTGTAGAAGCTGCCAAGAACCATCACATCCTTCCTGAGCACAGCTCCGGTCTGAACCAGGTGTTACCGCGTCACGCGTACGACAGCGAGGGACTCTACGTGTTCGGGGGCTATCATCGTACAGTTCTGCGTACTGGAGAGATGTACGACGCTAATACTGATGTTTGGAGGTATTTTGGAGGAGTGTCTGTTTTAACCGCTCTGCAGAATAACATCGTGATTTCAGAAGCATATGGTTAAGAATTAAATTATTTAGCTCGAATGCTAACGTTTACTGACTCAGCAATATTCACTTGATAACAAATTACTAAAATTCCAGGGAGTTACCGATGATGGAATGTCAGAGGTACGGTCCAGGCAGTGCACGACTAGAAGGTTTACTCTATGTAGCTGGAGGACACGACTCATGCTTCCATCTCGCTTCAGTGGAGTGTTTTAATCCTCGGTCGATGGAGTGGACTAAGGCAGCCCCAATGTTAGACCAGAGATTTGGGGTAGCCCTGGGTGAACTCAATGGCTGGTTGTATGCAGTGGGTGGCAGAGACTCAAAAGAGCGCCACTCCAGTGTTGAGTGCTACGACGCCACATTAGACTCCTGGAAGTATGTCAATAAGATGAGTTTCCCACGGTCGGGGGTCGGTATAGGGGTTCTAAATGGGGCTCTGCACTCAGTAGGGGGTTACGATGGACACAGCGATCTAGCGTCAGTTGAGAGGTACGACCCGAGGATAGGAGAGTGGCACTGTGTTTACCCAATGACTCACGCCAGGACCTTATGTGGGGTGGCGGTGCTCAACTCAGCGCTCTATGTGGTGGGTGGGCGGTGCGGGAACACTAAACTAGCTACCGTAGAATGCTACGAGCCGCGCACAAACACTTGGTCATTGGTAGAACCGCTGACTGTGCCCCGCGATGGACATGGTTTAGGTGCGCTTAACGGGAGACTTTACGCGGTAGGCGGGAAAACTGACACCACTAAGTTGGAGGTTGTGGAATGCTATGATCCGGTGCTAGACAGTTGGAGCATGGTCACGCCCATGTTTGATAAGAGAAACATCGTTACTTTAGCTGTTATCTAGCCTTCCCATCTGATAACATGAGATTTTGAACATTTTTAAGATTTTTATGAAGTATTATGATTGTTCAGTTATTCACAGATCTAGTTCACTTTCAGTCAAACAAACGGAGGCCCGAAGTGGTATGATTACATTCATCTTGAGTCGATTATACTTATCACTTTGCCGCATGAATAATTTGAGACCAATTTTATTAGCTTGCTGTGTTATAAATTGATGATTCTAAAGTTCTAAGAACATCATAGTTCATCATTTATTTAACTGTCTAGAAATAACGTTTTTTTTTTCAGATTTAAAACAATTTGGCTTGAACAGCCTTTATGATTTAACCTCAATTGACCATCATATATTTCAACAATTTATACCTGATTGAGTAACATGTGTACTAACAGCTAACCACATGTTACAATGTACACAAAACTCTGTTATATTTAGGTTAAATTGTCACTTTTAAATGTACAGCCCAACTGAACGTATTGTATCGTCATAATATTATAACTGTCATACCGATTGTAAATTACACCTCGATTTATTTGAATTTTAATCAAACTTAATCATACTATTTTCAACGTACGACTTATGATTCTAGACGATTTGCTCTCTGTGTACTTTTGTAATATAATTTATCTCTATTTTACCCGATTTACCAAGTTACCCAGGTTTCGGTAAATCGGAGTTTAACAGCAACGACCTCACTTAATCGAATTAATAGCTACTTTATTGCTATATTTATCATCATTATAATATGTTTCATGCGACGTAACTGAAAACTTAAATTAAAACGAAAAGTATCTAAAACAAATATTAAACGATTTGTAAACAGTCATCAGATCACTGTCTCATAGAAAACTTGATGGAACGCCATTATATGATAATATAATAATTCAACGGGAAGTTGGTCGTTTAGCTCCGGACAGTCTATGCACGGTCCCTGCACGGTCCATGCAACAACATACGATTTAAGAACACTCCATGCACGGTCCCTGCACAATGAACACTTGATGCACGGTCCCTGCACGGTCAGTCCCTGCACACTCCCTGCACGGTCTATGCACACTCCCTGCACGGTCTATGCACGGTCCCTGCATGGTCCCTGCACAGTAACATATGAACACCGGCTAGTAGCCACTTTTGTAATAACAGCTCCTCAACTTCACATTACCAAACCGGCTACTAACCGGCACTTAAAAAGTGGTCACTAGCCGGCTACTAACCGGCTACTAGCCGGCTAGTGACCACAAAGTGGCTACTAACCGGCTACTAGGCGGTCACTAGCCGGCTATTAGCTGAGCTCAAAAGCAGACCTACTTTCTCGAGGTTCCAAACCGGCTACTAGTAGGTCTGCTTTAGAGCCAAGCTAATAGCCGGCTAGTGACCGCCTAGTAGCCGGTTAGTAGCCACTTTGTGGTCACTAGCCGGCTAGTAGCCGGTTTGGTTATGTGAAGTTGAGGAGCTGTTATTACGAAAGTGGCTACTAGCCGGCTAGTAGCTGGTGTTCATATGTTACTGTGCAGGGACCGTACAGGGTCCGAGCAGGGAGTGTGCATAGACCGTGCAGGGAGTGTGCAGTGACTGACCGTGCAGGGACCGTGCATTAAGTGTTCATTGTGCAGGGAGTGTACATGGAGTGTTCTTTTGTTGTTGCATGGACCGTGCAAGGACCGTGCATAGACTGTCCGGAACTAAACGACCAACTTGCCAATTCAACTACTTTATCCACTTTAAGTTTTCTGGCCACAATCTTACCATTTCTGTGACTTAAGTTACGTTAAGATTATTCGTTCGATTTATCTTTTGATAAAAATTCTAAATTTTCATTATGAAAATGTGGCATTAGTGAGGCCATGCCCGCCATGGCCGAAAAATCAAGGCCGGAACTTTTTACGGCCGGAAAACTTTGGGCCGATATGGTATCTTATTTCTCTGTGTCAAAAGCAACATCAAGTTATAATTCCTTACTTTGAATTTTCATAGGTTTTCAGGATGTCCGATGATGAGAGTTCTGATAACTCAAATGATGAACTGATGCCTGAAACAGACTGCAAAAGCGAACACCCTACTCACCATCCCATCTTTGAAAACTTTACAGCAGAGAAACAAAATGATGAGAATCCCACAATACATGTCCTTAACGATGATTGCATGTATTTACTGTTTGAGTACATGGACATCATAGATATAATGAGACTAGCTACTGTTTGTAAGCGGTGGTATAATCTTTGTCTCAACAAAATGAGTCTCATCAGTAAAATTGAGCTCAACCCAACTTTCAGTATCTTCAGACTTAACAAGTCCCTTTCTCAGAGCAGCTTCATTTCTGTTCTGGTTTTGACGAGAAATAATCTAACTAATCTGGATATCTCACAGAGTTCTTTGTTATTGGACTGGGCTTCTTGTAGGGCCATCTCAGAGCTTTGTCCGTTTCTTGAGGAACTGAATCTATCTAAAATGAAGATTAACAACAAACTCGCATCATGTTTTTCCAAATTTATGCCACTTAATCTGAAATCACTCATTTTGAATGGATGTGTCTCCTTCAAGGAAAGATGCCTCGAACACATCTTAGAGAATACAAAAGAACTAACTAAGTTGGATGTCTCATATAATCATAAAATAACCGGCGGTAGTATCGCGAAACATACGGGACAAAACAAGATGACTCATTTTATCTTTACTGAGTGTTATCGATTAAAACCGCTTGTAGTGCAATTTGTCTTGTCCAATTTTGAGGAAAGCCTCCACCACCTCGATTTGAGCATGTGTCCCGTAAAGGTTTTTGAGATTTGTACAGACCAAATGCCTAGTCTTAAAGAGTTAAAGGTTTTTAAAGCCAAAGTTTCCGATTATGAGTTCGATAAACCATCTAATGACAGCATATCCAACTTTCTAAGACTCATGCCCAACCTTGAGTTTCTTGACCTAGAAAATAACCAAAACGCTGGGCAGGGCAATTTCATCAGATCCATCACGCAGTTGTGTCCAAGACTCAGATATCTAAATCTATCAAATTGCATGGCTAAAAGTGCAGAGACTTTATTCATACTTCAATATCTGGAGAGCTTGGAAACACTATATCTGAATGGGTTACCAAATAGTTTAGATTTCAAAGATCTCATTGATTCAACTCTTTTGAAATGTTCAGAACTACAATCTCTCTCTTTACAGAACTGCTCTGTAGACGATGCAGGTGTTTTCTCCTTGATATCAGGGTTAGATAAACTCAGGAGTCTGGACCTCAGGAGTTGTATTCTTGTTTTAGATGGAAGTTTTATCAACCTTTGCGAAGGACTCAACAGACAGACCCCACTTAAGATATACGCCCAAGATACCGTAATGCAGGAGGAAGAATTTCCAGTCATCCCTGAATTTCTCAAAATAAACTTTGGCTTGCCCAACTTCCAAGATGATTACGATGAATTTTTCGGGGGACCATACGATGAGTTTGATGCGATGGATGAGTTTCGTGAAAATGTTGAGGATGAGTTGGACGAGGATTATTGGGGTGGTGCTTACGTGGACGAAGCTGGGCAGTTTGCGGGGCCAGGGTTTGAATACCAGGAGTATCAAGATTTTAATGAAAACGAATTTCAAGCTCAGGAGGGGGATGATTGGTGGTGATTGTTTTTTGAATGTTAATTGTTTTTTAATGTTTTTCATAAATGTGCTGAGGTTGGTTTTTAATGTTAAAGTTTATTGGTAAACAGACAATTTTTTTCGTAGTATACTCAGTTATCACTTATCTGTTCCGACTTTCCGATACAAGAACTGATAAGAATCAATTCAGCTTCTTGTATTCCGAGTTTTGTAATCTTAAACAGAATTTCAATACATTTATTTGAATTTTAATTTACACTTTTGAACAAATTTAAATTTTTTGAACTGTTAAAAATCTGCATTTATTTAAAAACATTTTAAGGTGTTTTATCAATATTGACCAATTATTTCATATTTTTGGCTGTATTAACTCCCGCTGAAATAACAAATTCAGCTAATCATTGTAAGCTGATTATGTCACACTATCAAACCAAACATATCCCAGTTTTTTAACATGAAATGACTACCTGACAGAAGAGCATTACAATAATCATTTACTGAGGAGAAAATATAACTGTTTGTAGGCTCCCATCTTGTCCGGTCTTCAGTCATGAGTGTTCTCAGCGCTATAAAACTTTACATCAACAAGATGATTGACAATTGTGGCAAAGGGATGAAAGTGTTTTTACTAGGTTTGGATAAAATAAGTTATGTTAGAAGTATTAATAAAATCACGTCACCACACAATGATGCGAGGTGCTCACTCCGAACTTTTTTTAACCATAGTCTTGAAAATACTGAATATAAAGATTATTATATATAATGATGAATGAACATGGAACACAGCATTTTTTTAAATTGCATTACCTCTTCATGTTTTCCTAGTAAAATAAAACCTCTGTTATCCTCAGGGAAGGACACCCTACCCCTAGTCAGCATAACGTACGCACAGTCAGACCTCCTCAAGAAGGAAGTGTACCTATTTGAGCGGATAGATAACTCTGCACGGGAGAGCATGAAGCACATGCGCTGCATCGTGTTCCTGCGGCCTACTCCAGATAACATTCAACATTTGTGCAACGAATTAAAGAGTCCGAGATATGGAAACTATCACATATTTTTCTCCAACATAATCCCAAAGCCTGACATATTGAAATTAGCTAACGCTGATGAACACGAATGCGTGAAGGAGATACAGGAGTTTTATGCGGATTATATTCCACTGCTTGACCATGTTTACAATCTCAATCTCAAGAAAGTATCCGCAGCAGGTGATAATAAGATTATTTTCGTTAAATAGTTAAATGTCAATTTTGTTCGGATGAAAATTCCTTCATTCTCTTAAGGTTTACAGGTTCTCGTCAGAGCTATTCTAGTTATTTCAACGTACTTATCTGCTCGTGCAGTACAAACTATCATCTCATGTAAACATTCCTGTCAGTTGGCACCTCCTGGGACAGGTCATGTTTAAAGCGCTCTGCAGATTCCCTGATAAGTGTGCTGTTAGCGCTGCGCAAATACCCCGTAATGCGGTACAGCGCCAAGTCGGAGCTGGCAAAGGGGCTCGTTAACAGTACATATGACATTATGAAGGAGCACAGTCATTTGTTTGAATTCCGGAGGAGTGAGACTCCTTTATTGTTGATACTGGACAGGAGGGACGATCCTATTACTCCACTGCTCAACCAGGTATAACATTATTAATGTATTTCCACCGTTGGTAACCGTTGATAACTTTATGATTTGAAGTTTTATGTGAATTGTAAGTTTTATAATTATTAAAAAAATTATTTTCGGTATTAATCTCCGTGGATATTTTATAATGTTGAACAAAAACTATGAATAATGAACCACATCTGTATCGCAGTGGACCTATCAAGCAATGGTACACGAGCTGCTTGGAATAGAAAACAACCGAGTCGATCTAAGTGAAGTCCCAGGAATAGCAAAAGATATGAGAGAAGTCATAATGTCCCCTGAACAGGATTCATTTTTCAAGGATTCTCTCTACTCCGATTTTGGAGAGATTGGTATAAAGATTAAGGAGCTAGTAGACAAGTTTCAGAAACAGCAACATAGCACCGCTGCCATTGACTCGATAACGGACATGAAGAAGTTTGTTGATAACTATCCTCAGTTTAAGAAATTTTCAGGTACATTGAGATTGCACACGATATATTGATTGTTTGTTTGCGAGTTGACAATTTGACTAAAAATGAAGGAAGCTGATGATATATTCCATAGGTTTGTTAAGATTTGTTGTGTTATAATCCTCGCATTTTGTCAGGAACGGTTTCAAAACATGTAGCGATAGTGGGGGAGCTCAGTAGAATAGTTCAGGATTACAACCTTCTGGAAGTTTCAGAAACTGAACAGCTTATGACTACTCAGGCTTCTCATTCTGAAGTGCAACAAAAGGTCCAGACGGGTTTTTAAACATTTGATGAATTTACAAATCATCGTAACTTATCGAAATGAAATTTTCTTTGAAAATTGAGTCATTGAGTCATTTTTAAGTAATACGAACTTGTTTATTCCAGATATCCAGTTTGTTGAGAAACCCAAAAGTCAAAGAAACTGAGATAATACGACTTGTATTACTGTACTGCATTTGTTACGAAGGACAGAGTGGTCACAATCCAAGACTATTTATTGAAGCAATGCGGAACCGAGGAGTTTCGGAGGCTAAAACTAAGGTTGATGCCTGAGAAATTATATTGACAGTCGTTAAATTTTTTGCGATCAAACATCGCCTTCTTTTAGTTGTGGTAAGTCTTCAATAAATGGCAATTTCTCCCAGCGTACGATAGACTAATTAATCAAAAACATTTATTTCAGTTGGCTACATCGATTATGAACTACGGCGGGAAAGCAGTGAGAGGAGGGCAATTATTTGGAGAGGATACTAAGATCGCCATGACGAAAAAATATTTCAAAGGATTGCAGGGGGTTGAGAACATCTACACGCAACACAAACCATACATGATCGATTTATTGCAGGTAAGATGTTTTTATTTTCGTCAGTCGTGTAGCACAGCTGAACCGTTCAATGCTGATTACTAAGATCAAATCGTTATACTGCTACGTAGGTTCGATGTGGAACAGTCGCAAGGTATGGGTTAGTTTGCGTAGCGCGCGAAGAGTTTAGTATTGAATAGGTCGCGCGAACGTCCAGATTTCGGAAATTTCGAGGGATTTTAGCCGCGACTCTTTGGATGAGACAGCATAAGGTGACAGTCAAATTCGATAATATAATTAATTGATACACCCCCATTTCATCTCTCTCTCAATTTTAAACTAGACTCCATTTCAGCAATTACAGCTGGGGAAACTCAAGGAATCAGATTTTCCCTGGCACGGTGGCTCGCCTCAACGTGTCGGTGAGATTATAATATTCGTAGTCGGTGGAATAACTTACGAAGAGATAAAGTCTGTTCACGAGTGGAACATGACCAACCCTGGAAATAAAGTTGTTCTCGGATCTACTTGTATCCACAACTGCAGATCCTTCTTGGAGGCGATATCAACTCACTAGAGACTGTAAATCGAAGCAGTGTTTAATGGTATAAACTGACGATGACTCTTACGTGTCTTCTTTGTATAGATAACGACAGTCAGGGTCGAGCTTGTCAATATCTTTATTGTGGACATCCTCGAAGTGAATGATTGGCTGGACCAAGTGAATTGACTGTAGATTCCCTGCATGAACCATTTAACATATAATATTGAAATACTTTATGTTATATCAAGGACTTTTCTAAATGATATTGGGTGCTCCGTGTGCCTGGGTCACTACTGTAATATATTGTTACTGTTAATTGATTGGTTATTGAAATTTAGTGTGTAATATGTGTTGAAATGTGTTTTTTGAGTGCTGTTGTTTCAATGGTTAGTAATGAGTAAAACATGACAGTTACTATTCCACCATTTACGTTTATTGAAAGAAACATTTATGTTTTGTACAACCTTGTGAATGAATATCAGTACTTAATATATGTTTGATTTTAAGTCAACTTGTTTTGCTAGACTTATCTACCCGAATGAGGAACGTACAGTGTACATACTTAAGTTTTCTTCGCTAAAATTTATCGTAGTTGGTATTAGAAAAACAAAACATGACAACATGAGGTACATTAAAACTTTAGAATTCAGGAGATGTAAAATTGTTAGAGAAAAGAGACCGAACCTGGAGTTGATGTCATGTTTATAATTGTGCGAAGAAATAATTCATTATCGAAATGAAAGCTATAGTCCAGAAAGTCACGGAAGCCTCCGTCACAGGTAAGTGTTACACTGTTACAGTATGACATATCAACATTACAGCTATTTAATACCGTACTATTGACCATATTAAGAGTTTTTTTCTTCCATTTGACGCTAATTAACATTACGGGACAGGCAAATTTCAGTTGTGCTATTTCTAATATCAGCTATGTGAATTTTCCCATGAGGCCGGAAAATTCGAAATGTATAAAGTTTACGCCCTTTTAGTTGGTGAACGATGTACAGGGTCAATTGGTCGAGGAATGTGTGTGTTGATTGGGATTTCTGCTAAAGATAGCGATAGGGAGATCGAATGGATGTAGGTGTGATTAGTAAAATATGTTTCATAAGGGGATCAAAATTTTAAGATTTGGTTACGTTATACGTACCACTGAGTAAAACCTATTCTACTTGAAACTTACAATGGCCCCCTTGTGCTTTTTAACCCGGTTATCTTTTACCGTTAATCACTAAATTTGTAGATAACAAATATTTCCGCAATAAAATTCTTAATTTAGGAGCCGTTCACATATTACGTAATAACTTTTAGGCCAATTTTAAATCCCCGGCCCTCCCCCCCCCCCCCCCCCCCCCCTCCGTGATAAATTCTACACATAGCTATCGTGTCAAAATTAAGATAGCTTAATCATTCAGAAACCCGTCCCTCCCCTTTAATGATTACGTGATAATATGTGAACGACCCCTTAAAATAAATCCATACTTTCTTACATCTTGTGACTTGAAAACACGTGCTCAGCCGTGACAGAACTGTTTGTCACAACAATGTTTGTTGCAGGGCAAACAAGCTGATAAAGTTGAGGATATTTAACAACCCTGAAACAGATAAACCCTGGGATGGAGACTTGCTGCAGTGTAAATTAGCGATACTCGTCGTCAGTCAGGTGAGACTGATTTGTCGTCAATATGATGTTAAAAGACGTTATATTTCAAGCTTCTGGAAGATTTCTCCCAATGAAACTCTATATAATATGATGGCTTAAATCATGTGTGTCATTCTTTGAAATCCATTTTCTCAGTTCACCCTACAATGTGTGGTTAATAAGGGAACAAGACCAGATTTTCACCAGGCTTTGAAATCCGAGCAAAGCCTACCAATGTTTAATAAATTTCTGGATGTTCTCAGATCGAAGATTCCAAACGCCGAAAATCTTGTCCAAGGTTTGAAAGCTTTAATTAACTGTTAATATATCGCATTATCGTGGTGTATATAAAATTCAGAGATTTGCTAAAAAATTCGTCCAAACGGCACTCTTATGTGTACATGATATAACGTTTCACGATGATGTTTTCACGTCGGCTAACTTTTTTGTTTTGCCAGTGGGCGAGTTCGGAGCGTTTATGCAAGTGCACATTCAGAATGATGGACCGGTTACTATACCGATAGAATCACCAGAGAGCATATAGACGCGGTAAAGATAATTTACCAACCCAGCTAGATTGTGCAATGTGCAACAAAGATCGTGTTAAAAGGAGAACAAACAGTTCAGAATTAGTAAAAAATGAATGTAAACACGAATAAAGACTTAGTAGTCCAGTCATTTATGGACATGTGCCTGCAAATTTTCAGATACCCACGAAACTTTGCACAGACCTTCCCAAAGGTATGATAAAACGATTTTTGGTTGGAGACATTTTTTTACTTTGGGCAAAACCCAGGAGGGCCACGCCCATATTGACCCAATAACGTAACTGACCCCTTGCTTCTGAAGGTCGTAGAGACTTCAAAATAGGCTTAAACGAAGCCGCATATGCATGTTTATATAAGAGTTATTGATCAACACATTGCCTAAAATCCTTACTTTTCGAGAAATTCGCCAAAAACCATTTTGGGCGTGGCGCTGAGCCGATTTTACTAACTTTTGATAGGATTGTGATAGAGTCTTTGGATAGAGTGCAAAAGAACCGCAATTGGCATATTTATATATGACTTACGAAGAAACATATGCCTTAAAGTGCTTACTTTTTCAGTTATTGGCGAAAAACTGATTTTCGGTTCCAGAAATCATGCAAAAATATGGGTATGTGGTAAATTTGGCTATGAAGGCCCTAGAGATTTTTGAATAAGTGCACATTGTGCAGAATGGCCATGTTCATATACAACTTATGAAGCAACATGCACCCTAAAATGCTTACTTTTCGAGTTATTAACATAGAACGGGAGGCAAAAATGGCTGATATAACCAATTTTGCTCTATTTTGTGCAAATTTTCTCTGTTTTCCCCCCAAATAACTCGAAAAGTAAGCATTTTAGGGTGCATGTTGCTTCATAAGTTGTATATAAACATGGCCATTTTGCACAATTTGCACTCATTCAAAAATCTCTAAGGCCTTCATAGCCCAATGTACCACATACCCATATTTTTGCATGATTTCTGGAACCGAAAATCAGTTTTTCGCCAATAACTGAAAAAGTAAGCACTTTAAGGCATATGTTTCTTCGTAAGTCGTATATAAATATGCCAATTGCGGTTCTTTTGCACTCTATCCAAAGACTCTATCACAATCCTATCAAAAGTTAGTAAAATCGGCTCAGCGCCACGCCCAAAATGGTTTTTGGCGAATTTCTCGAAAAGTAAGGATTTTAGGCAATGTGTTGATCAATAACTCTTATATAAACATGCATATGTGGCTTCGTTTAAGCCTATTTTGAAGTCTCTACGACCTTCAGAAGCAAGGGGTCAGTTACGTTATTGGGTCAGATGGGCGTGGCCCTCCTGGGTTTTGCCCAAAGTAAAAAAAATGTCTCCAACCAAAAATCGTTTTATCATACCTTTGGGAAGGTCTGTGCAAAGTTTCGTGGGTATCTGAAAATTTGCAGGTACTAACCCAAAAATGTCCGTAAATGACTGGACTATAGATAACAACTCATCACGATTCACGACTGTGAATTTTGATATTACAAATTATTATTATTTATAATTATGGGGTATACCGTAGATTACATTTAACAAATTTGTATATTGTATCACTCAGAATTTCCATTTCATATTTTGTAGATAATTTAACAGGGCTTCAATATCTATAACTTCGATCTATTACGTATTATGCAATGTAATAGGATAGCATACGCCAAAGACAAAATCGGAGACAGTACCAAATCTGCCTTACAGACATGAGGGCTATCGTTCAGAAAGTAACCAAAGCTTCAGTCACAAGTAAGGAATCAGGCTCGAAAATATTTGAATAAATTTTAGATGATATATACCTCACGTTGCCGTAGATGCCACTGCAGTAAATACACATTTCGGTGATCATTTCAGTCGGAGACCGTTGTACGGGATCTATTGGTCCAGGAATGTGTGTCCTGCTTGGAATATCAACAAAAGATACAGAGAAAGAGATCGAATGGATGTTAGTTTATCTGAGTAACTTCACACTTTTCCACTATTTGTGAATGACATCATTTATACAACTGAGATAAATTGTGCTGTTACGGACACAATCACGTGACTGTTGTTCTAATAATATGTTAATTAAATTCACGGATTGCACTTCTAAACCAGGGCAAACAAGCTGGTAAAGTTGAGGATATTCAACAACCCTGAGACAGATAAACCCTGGGATGCAGACTTGCTGCAGTGTAAATTAGCGATACTCGTCGTCAGTCAGGTAAATGATTCAATATTCATACTTTTATTTTATCCTAATCTGACTCAGCCTCAGGAGTTTCAATTTTTAAAGAATTTACGATGTGGTTAGTGAAGTTTTTGTTTACAATGCGACCCTCTCAGTTCACCTTGCAATGTGTTTTGAAAGGGAACAAGCCAGACTTCCACGGAGCTATGAGAGCTGAACAGAGTGAGCAAATGTACAACAAGTTTTTGGAAGTTCTCAAATCGAAGATTCCTTATTCTGATACCCTTGTTCAAGGTAAGTCTGGAAACTTCTTTTTTGTCTGTCTAACAGACTTACTTTCAATACGATTGCTCAATTCCAACTTGGCTCTGTTCTATGTAATCGTCTTATCCTCAGAGGGCGAGTTTGGAGCGTTTATGCAGGTACACATTCAGAATGATGGACCAGTTACTATACCGATAGATACACCCGAGAGCTTGGCGACACAGAAAGTGAAACCTTCCAAATCAGCTAAACAAAACAATAGAAATCAAGGGAAAAAGAAGGCTGAAAACGCGGAAAATAGTACTGATAAAAAAGTAGAAGAAGTAACTGAAGATCTTGACAAAAAATTGTAATTTAGTCGGGATGTATGTATATGATTTTAAATTTTTTTGATAGAAAATCTAGGTGCATTATGATGTAGATGTATAGTCTTTAGAAGTTTGTTCTTGAAGTTTGTTCTTGAAGTTTGTTTCTTAAATTTATTTATTTCCTTCTGTAAGTTATATATTTCTAGGAATAGCAATTAAACCAAGGTAGTTTCAAGGGTAAATGCACCGTGGTGTTCGCTCGTCAACATCTCAGCGTTGCAATTTCCAAAACAAGTGTATTTTCTCTTTACACTAGCTTGAGCAATTATCATATATCTTTGTATCTTTTCTTGGGTTAGTAGTCTCGACTGCATAGACAACTTTCACCACCATTCAAAGCAAGTTATTCTACATTTTATTTTAGTCTAATCATCTATAACAATTTTAATTTGATAGCTGCAGAGTCTAATGAAACTGCAACTGTACATTATGTTGTAAGTATACAATATACAAGTATACAATATACATACATCTAATCAAGTTCAGCCTGTACTAGAGAATGGTGCGCCGTATTAAAGTGGAAGAATCGGGGGAACAGTTGGATAACTCCGCTGAACTGGACGGACCTGACGAACCCCTGCCCTCCCTTCAAACTCTTCAACACGCTGATCTACCGGACTTACAATACTCAGATACTACCCTAAGGCTATCCGCTTTACCAGAGGTACCTCAACCTAAACAGTTCCATCATTACAAGCCACCACTCTCAACACCACACCACGCTAAACCACACCACTCAACACCACCATACCCCTCACTCATTACTCAACCTTTGTCTATAAAAATCACAACTTCACAAGTCAGTTGGGATGGTTTGAGTGCTCCAAATGTGACACAGAATTTCCCAGCAGTGGTGGCCAGTGGCACAAAACCCAGACCGACCTTTCCTTGTATCCAAAGAGTTAAAAGTCGGTTCAAAGAGCGTATGATACCAGTACCAGGTTTGTACTTTAAAGCTTAAGTTTAAATATAATGTGCTTTATCACAGAAGCTTTTTTTGAAGTTATGTTCTCGTAGCCGCTCCAGAAAGGGGCGGTGCTGGTCGATATCGTTTTATGATTTAAAAAATTAAACTTTTGAATTCCAAATTGTGGACTGCTCAGCCAACTTAAAACTACCAGAAAGCAATCTCTGTTGGGTTCACGTTAAAACTATCCGATCACGATCCGTGCTCTCGTTTGGGGGTACTGCTTGAAAATTGTGCTGATTTTCACAAAATTGTGGTCCTCACTCTACCATAACTTACGAAATTGCTCTGAACAATGAACATTTTAATAGCCTAGATAAGCTTGCCTTAGCCGCATATTATTAGCTGATTGCTGCTATAATTGTACCCTGTATTTTTAATCAGTCCTGGCCTTTTCGACTATCACTTAGACGAATTATGCGATGGATTTTCCATGATAATGAGTATTAATATACTTTATTCGTGAATAATATCCTATCATCTGCTTAAATTAGTACTGGTACCACAAATCACAATAGCGCTACTCTTGAGAGTGGAACGTTATACCTTGGTTTTGAGGTGACAATAGGATTTTACTGACACCTGACCATTTGGCTCCGTCAGAAATCTCAGCATTCACAGTCTTCAGCTGTTTTTCACTTACGTAAATGTATGTTGTTGTAAACAGTAAAGTAGTGTTCGAGCTATATTTTGTCGCAACTAAGTCACTAAGTGAAAGAATTTGTTCAGTCTAACAGCATACTAATGCTGGAGTGATAGTTTTTTGAACCGTCAAAAATAGTTTGACGTAAAGTATTTACGGAGAATAAGAAATTCTCCGTTTCGTTTGCTTGCTATAAGATTAATCATAATAATACCTGCTATTGTGATATAATAATATAAGTGTGGTTAATGGTTATACTTTTGGACAGATTAGCCCTCTTTGTCTACAAACTATTTGGTCAAATGGAATTCGTGATACACAGTTAAATATTATGTACATTTAGTCACACTTCTTAAACTGTTAACATGAACTGCCCAGGCTATGCAAATGCCTAACACATTTTTATACTCTGTTCGAAAATACGAATTGTGTATCAACTGCTCAATAGTAGTTAGTAGTTATGTATTTGACATAAATTACTGGCGCTGACTGGATCACTGGACCGCTTCGATTGAACTCACTGGTTTAATTTCCTGTTTGGTACAAGCTCATTGTTACCAGTTACTGGTTATTCGGCTTTTCTTGCGTTATCATGTACATATTACCTTGATAATTTAATTCAATACTTACTGAACCTTACTGAACTCTGCTCACGAAATTTAGTTTCATTTCAAATAGGTTTGAAGAAGAAAGGGGATTGAAGCCCAGATATAACCCAGATATAACCAATCTGACTCAATGAAACCGCCAAATTGGGTTCTTTTATGCCTCAATCTGGTGCAATCTGACAGTTTCGACTGAAACTTAGAAAATATTTTCATAAGTTTCTATCATAAAAATAAGTATAATACCAATCTATCCTTTAAAAAGGCGTATCTGTAACAAACACTAACAGCTGTATTTGCTGCACCATACTCGATGCTATGTTTGAGTAGTCAGTCCCTTGGCCTTGATACAGGGGAAGGAAAGTAGAGTTTTCAGTTGATCGGCTGGAATGTTTGGGAGGAGTACCATCATACCTGGGGAGCCGCGCCAGCATCGCTGTGAGTCATTAATTAAAATAATTAGGTTGTCGTTGGGGCATTTAAGCCATATTCGATGGTAAATCGTATAATTGTCCAGTTATATGTGTGTTTGATACGCTGTCATGAACTGGCGGAGTAAGTCGGAAGTTTGTCGTAATCGAATTTGCTTATTAATTTTTCTGTCTGCGGATTTTGACGAGATATTTCTGTTTTGTGTAATGACAAAAGTTTGCCGTTAGCTTGTCATATTTGAATGGTTAGAAATAGACGGGCTTTGCGATGTTTAGACCTCCTAAACCACCTAAAACGCCTACTCATGTTAAACGGAGTAAGTAATGCACTTTTTAAATATTTATTGGTGCACGTTTTCATGGTACATGAGCATGCTTTTGAATTGATCCAAATCCCGCGGATTCTTTAAATCTTCAAATAGGAACAAAGATTTGTGGCACTGCCGACATCGGTCCCATCACTACGGCAAATAAAAATTTGGGAAACTGATTGTCCCACGGAACATTTCTGAGTATACATTTTTAGTGGCAATGATCATTAATCACTGAAACACCGGGTTTCGAGTAATTTATAGCATGAGCTGGTCATTAAGTCATTTTCGATGGTAAATCGTGTAATTATCCAATTTTATGTTCTTGATACGCCGCAGCATGAATAACTCGACTAAGTTATTAAATTCTTTCTGTCTGTGAATTTGACGAGTTATTCTGCTTTGTGTAATAACTAAAAACTGCCGACTGTCATATACTGTGATATATGATTGGTTAGAAATAGAGGACTTTGCGATGTTTAGATACCATAAACATAAAAAGCAGGCTACCTATCCCAATCGGAGTAAGTATTAAGCACATTTTTGTTTTTACACACATTTCACAAACCTCTGATTGGTTCACATTATCCGGAACTAAACGATGTCATTTTTCTGAAAAATAAAAGTAAAACCTCGCTGTCCCACAAGTCACCCATCTCTCGGCATTTGCAACACTAAGAGGTCCATATCCCCCTCTTCCTCCGGCCACCATTTCTTATTTCATTCCATGTATTATATTATATGAAAAATTTTTCAATTTAACGATTTAAAATCTCGTGGGCATCTTCTCCAGACCCCTGCTGTTGTTCACTCTGCAGCCACTTTAACTTTTTCCAATCAATAAATCACCACATTTAAAAATTCTTTAAAAATATTTAAAATCCTTAAAATAGGAACGTAGATTTGAAGCACTGCCGATATCGGTCCCATCACGATTCACTACTGCAAGCTAAAATTTGGACACAGATTTTTTTTCATTCCTAAGAATATTTTCCGAATTTGAATCACATTATTTAAAGTACCAACTGGAACTTTATTATATTTCGTGACAGTCGAGTTTGTGCACTTAGCCACGGCCTTAAGTTTCACGTGGATTCAGTCCGATTATCAGTCCGATTATCAGTCCGATTATCAGTCCGATAACCCTCACTATACTATACTATGAACGATAAAATTCTACAACGCTCATTCCTCCTACATTTACAAAAGATTCGATTGCTTGATAATGATCATAAGAAGCAGACCTGTTGTACACTTTTGTTCTAATGTTGGAGTATCAGCTATTTAATAATCGTAGTTACCTTTCTTAACTGCTCCAATGGCTAACAATCCCCTGGAGGCTGGATCCCTTCTAATAGATATAATGGTGAGTTGTTAACTGGTCACCATAGCGACTGGTTACTTGTCAGTGTTTAGTGGTTACCCTAGCAACTCAATACATGTAACCGAATTTGGAATGATCTGCCGCCTGATACATGATACTTAAAACTCATGTTCGCTTCGTAACACCGGCTTTTCTAATCATCAGCATCTAGTTCCTCTCTTTGTATTCCTACTATACACCCTACTATACCTCCAATTAGCTAGACTGTTAACACAGCCTGTATGCGTTTTCGGTGTTTTTCGGATATTTTTGAGATTTCATATAATATTCTGTCCTCGCTTCTTCCGTGACTGCTTTTCGTCCAAATCACAGCTCGCGGAATCCCCTCGCCTCCCTGACTTCACAAAATGAACGATATGTTGGGTGATTTACCGCAGATTGATGAGGTGGAACTCAATAATGTTCCTGATTTCCTGAGGGGCAACAAGGTGTCTGACGTTAGCTTACTTCAAGCATCTGATTTTACCCAGTCTGGTATGTTGATATGTTGATATTATGTTGATATGTTGATATGTATTGTACTGCTCGTCGACATTTGTTAAAATGTACACTGTACTGTAATTTGTCAACTGATTTACCAAATTGTTCGGTAATTTTTGTCCAAAATATTACATGTAGTACCGAAGACGCTCTCGTATCTCGTATAATACGTATCAATGTGGAACACGGTCGACACTTCTAAATGCTAACGACTACTCCCCCTCTCTCTATATTCTGCATGTTCCGATGTACCTGTAACTCTTGTGTAACTTGCTCATAACACCAGTGCTTAAATAACAAATAATTTGAGCGTTCTAGATGCAATGAGGGCGACAAGCTTGAAACTGCCAGAGGGAGTTTGTAGTACCCTAGCATAGTTCCACCATGTTTCATTTGTCAATCTTGTTAAAACCTCCTTTACATAGTGCTGATTTGTGCAGTGAAAATTGTATTCCATTTCACTCCAGTGTTTATGAAACTAGCGTCAAATTCCATCAAAATTATACCATTAATCAGATCATGAGAGTCTGTTTTATCGTATAACAGGTGTGCTCCAGGCTCGAACATGAGTATATCAGATTACTGTTAACAGTCCACTCTCAATACAGCATGAGACACACATGGATTGGCTAGTCGTGATCTAGTTTGCAATTATCTACGGTTCATCTCTCTCATTTACTTCTTATTATTCGTTTCGCCGTTTGTACTTTACAACCTTCTTTACCAGCGGTTTTGCTGTACATTCTATTTCGTACTAAAGAAAAGGGAGAGGACGTGCAGTTGTTAAATCAAGCCGCCTGATTTGGATGAAACATGCAAGAAGACCCCAATGGAGCAGAACAAATCAGGTTCCGGGTTCTGGAGAACAGAGAAGCTGCAGATGGGGGATACGGAGCAACTTTTAAGGACAAATGTATGTCAACATTTTCTAACTAAGCTGGTTAAAACTTCACTCCAAATAATCGGGCTATCGCTGTATATCACTATCAGAGACTACAAAGTTTTTATGACCCACTATAAATAAAGAGAGAAGCTGATAGTTGCATATTTTATATGCTTATTTAACTACATATATGACATCATGATCTCTCTCTCTCTCCCTCTCTCTCTCTCTCTCTCTCTCTCTCTCTCTCTCTCTCTCTCTCTCTCTCTCTCTCTCTCTCTCTCTCTCTCTCTCTCTCTCTCTCTCTCTCTCTCTCTCTCTCTCTCTCTCTCTCTCTCTCTCTCTCTCTCTCTCTCTCTCTCTCTCTCTCTCTCTCTCTCTCTCTCTCTCTCTCTCTCTCTCTCTCTCTCTCTCTCTCTCTCTCTCTCTCTCTCTCTCTCTCTCTCTCTCTCTCTCTCTCTCCCTCTCCCCCCTCTCAGCTCTCTCCCTCACAATAGCGTAATAGCTAGACACCTGACAGTTCATGCATGTATTAATGCAAGTGTGGAGTGTAACGTTAACTCATTAGTATGGTTTAGGATTATTGCCTTGGATACCAAGCATTGAGTTCCTGGTAATATTAACTCTAACTGCGCTGCGAGCTTCAGTTGCTTGCACTGTACAGCATGTTGTAACGTGTAGTAGTGAATAAGAGCGTTTTGTTGTATTTTACTTTAAGTTGGATCAAGGAAATGAACGTGATTTATAACCCGGGATGATTTACAAAAACTCTGCAGGTAAGATTAGTACACATTGTATACAGAAGCTATGTATTATCAAATATTTTAAAAATTGTTTTGATTACAAAGTTCGGGCCTTATTCGGATTAATCAATATCTTTTCTGTGTATACGACATACGTTTGTGAATCGTGTCAGATGGTCCATACATCTCGGACTTTGAGCGGTACCTTCTTTATTGTAATCTATTATGCCATTCGCTTCAATCTGAGTTGACTTTGAAGTATACCCAGAAAATGCTTTTGAATAGATTTTGAAGTAAGTCGTCTGGAATGCTAGAAATCCAGTTTCTTAGTGTAGACTAGTGATAAATGTATCGGGCGTACAATAGTTAGTCGACAACAGAACTGCGACATTTATTACTGGTCTACACTAAGAAACTGGATATTTTCGCAGTCCTGTAAGGGGCCATCTACTTAGGACGTCCGGCAAATAGGGAGGGGGGTGGTTTTGAAATTTCGGACAAATCCGGACAGGGGGAGGGGGTGGTTTCTGAAAATCCAGACGTTGGCAGAATTAACGAAAAAGTCCCATTTATTTCAACTCTTTGAATTTTATTTCAACTCTTTGAATTTGATTAACAATGAATTTGAGTTGGTTTTATTTGTACTCTTAAAAGTAGCTGGAAATCCGGACGTCCGGGGGAGGGGGGGGGGGGTGGTTTTGAAAATTCGGACACACCCGGTCAGGGGGAGGGGTTTGTCTGAAAATCTGCGATTTTGGCGGACGTCCTAAGTAGATGGCCCTTAACAGTCCTGTGACAGTACTGCAACAGTGCGACAGTCCTTTGACTGTACTGTTTCAGTACTGTGGCAGGTCCTGTGACAGTACTGAACAATGGTTCATAAATATAAAAAATAAACAAGTTCAACATTCTGTCGCAGTTCTGACTTCTGTCGCAGTTCTGTCTTAGCTCTGTCACTCTGTGGATTACCACTGTACTGTTGTGGACGAGCTATTGTACGCCCAAATTTTCACACGTATTCAGTAATTTTGCAATCATTCAACCCTTTTTGAATTTCACCTCAATAATTAATCTAACAATGGATCCATTGTAAGGTTAATTATTGTCTTCAAATACTGGATGCTTCCCCGACTATTGTAGTATCAGGCAAAGTAGACGATAGTGCAGTTAATTTAACCTTATCCACATTGCGAGTCATTGGCATTTTTTTTTGCTTGTACGTGAGTGAATGCTTGGCTCCATTCAGGGATGCTTAAATATAAACGCAATCGTGCTATTAAATCGAGGAACCCCTGGCAACACAATTCTGGTTGTAAGTCTGCCAGTGTTTTGTGTTTTCTGAAGAATAGTTTGTGACATTCTTTCACTCGGCCATAGCTCAGTGGACTGGAAAGTCGGATAGGTCACAGCACCCATCAAGGTTGCTGAATTTTCAACTTGCTCTAATTTTACCTCTGCTATATCAGTATATCAATAAAGCCATATCCTTGTGAATTGATATGCTTGCCGGTGGAGATTCTTGGGATGTCGGTGAGTCACGTGATGAACGCATTTGGGATCATTATGATTAATCTAAGACTTATCATGAACTGAGTACTGTCTTTTAATATTTCCTAGTTTGCACCGTCCTCTAGTTGGACTAACGAGTGCAAAAGTGGTGTTAGTTACTGTTTACTTCAAGACCATTCCTCATTCAAACTGGTTCTTCATTCAAGAGATCTGCCTAATGTTGAATTATTGCAACTAACCGATCCTGGACCAAATGAAGAGATAGGATTAGTTTTGGGCAGCACAACATTTTCCGGCCTTTAGCTTATCGGTTTTTGTTTCCCCAGCCCTAACTTTTTCCTCTGAAAATGGAATATTTAAGGCCCTCAACATTAAACGGATAGTATACATGTTTTTTTCCTATACTTGTTGGCATTATCTCTTAAGGGGGGGGGGGGGGGGGGGGGGGGGGGGGGGGGTTCACCCTAATTTTTTTGTAAAACTTGGTTTCGAGATAGCAGTTGACCAACAAACTAGGACCGGTGACCAAACTTTTGAGGGGGTCCCCGACCCCAACCGCCAAACGGTGCCCGCGGGGCAGCCACGCCCATATTTGGTTCAAATTAGGCCCAATTTAGCCAAATACCCTGAACATGCCCAAAACCCAGATTTTATGTGCTCTTCTTGTAGCTAGTGGTCCCCTGAACAAGTATATGAATTTTCATCAAGATTGGGCAAAAAATGACTGAGTTATGAGCCAAAAACCATATGACCATATTTGGGCATACGCACCAAATTTGATCGATTTTGGCCCATAAATTGGTCAAATATCAATATTTTTGAATGAAAACAACTTTATATGAAAGGTAAGCTTATACTACACATTCTCTATGATTATCAGCTCAGTATCTACCTAACTGTGGATTCTGTGTTCAAATAATCACAAAAAATGAACAAAATCGTCCATATCTCAGTTCGCGATATTTGCAAAACTGATTTCGCTCAAAACAATAGAACTCAATAGGGTTTCAATATTTTTACATGAAATTTTCAGAATCAACGTAGAATCGCACGCGCATTTCTACCTTATCTCTTGTATTGAAATTTTGAGTTAGGCCTTTAAAAAAATTTGGCGGCCAAATTCCAAAATTTGCCAGGCATTTTTCAGAATTTGGCCGCCAAATTTTTTTAAAGGCCTAACTCAAAATTTCAATACAAGAGATAAGGTAGAAATGCGATTCTACGTTGATTCTGAAAATTTCATGTAAAAATATTGAAACCCTATTGAGTTCTATTGTTTTGAGCGAAATCAGTTTTGCAAATATCGCGAACTGAGATATGAACGATTTAGTTCATTTCTTGTGATTATTTGAACACAGAATCCACAGTTAGGTAGATACTGAGCTGATAATCATAGAGAATGTGTAGTATAAGCTTACCTTTCATATAAAGTTGTTTTCATTCAAAAATATTGATATTTGACCAATTTATGGGCCAAAATCGATCAAATTTGGTGCGTATGCCCAAATATGGTCATATGGTTTTTGGCTCATAACTCAGTCATATTTTGCCCAATCTTGATGAAAATTCATATACTTGTTCAGGGGACCACTAGCTACAAGAAGAGCACATAAAATCTGGGTTTTGGGCATGTCCAGGGTATTTGGCTAAATTGGGCCTAATTTGAACCAAATATGGGCGTGGCTGCCCCGCGGGCACCGTTTGGCGGTTGGGGTCGGGGACCCCCTCAAAAGTTCGGTCACCGGTCCTAGTTTGTTGGTCAACTGCTATCTCGAAACCAAGTTTTACAAAAAAATCAGGGTGAACCCCCCCCCCCCCCCCTATACAGCACAATATTGTTCAATATACTCGTGATAGGACCTTGAGGGGACCTGCCCATACCTGATAACATTCTTGATATTTTTGGCTAGATCACAACTATCTCTAATTAATTAAAAAATATGCTACTTATATGAAAAGTTTGAAGTTACACGAAGCTATCTAATTTGTATTTCTCAATTTAACAATAACACATTTTCAGTGGTTAGTTCGAATCAGTTCTCCCTAAAGAAGTTAGAAAATGAGTTGGGAGGTCTTACACTTCATCAGGTTGGTTTATTTTCGTTACATTTTAGAAGTAACTCACTGCTATGTATAATATGAAGTTTTAAAGTTATAATTCTTGTTCTTACATAGAATCTCGAACTATAAAGCCATGACTTTGAACTTTGAAGCTTGTGATAATTTAAAATTAAGCGATTGGAAGTCCCCACAATCCTCCCTAAGCCAAATTGCTTATTGCCTCAATCCAGCCTCAAAAAGCTTGTAACCGGTACAATAGATAAGGATTAAAGTCAATCGTAGCTACTAATGAGAATCTTGGAAGCTCTTTTGTTGTAAAACTAGTAAGCATTACGACAGATTTTAACTGTTAAAAATCTGTGTAATGCTTACTAGTTTCTCGTCACTTAAAATTCAACTTGTATAGATTTGGATCACACTGCTTGTTCTTCTGTCAACTATCCACACTGTGTTGTTCTCAGTCTCAATCTGCTAGACATTTACTGCACATATCGCATATTTAGCATGCACTAACTTTATCTTCCAACTTTGTTCAAAATTCAATATGGTTCGTTCCATAACTGTTATCCTTTTACACTTTTACACACCTATCACCTTTGTTAAAGTCCAGGACTACACTTATTCCGTAATATTAACTGTTCAAGCGTGTCGTCTGCTGTAGTTATTAGTTAACGATATTTCTTACTGGAGCTTGATAAAACTGTATTATTTCTGTTTGTAAGATTGTAAAAAGTAAACCAGTCCACTTTTGTAACCCCGAACTTATCACCATGATCTTTGCTATTGATGTTTCATATTTTGAACTTGCAGTCAAGACCATTTGTACTCATGTGTATAGTTTTGTAGTTTTGCTAAGGATTGTAGAATCTGACAATCGTTGCGGAGGACATAAGACTCACCATGCCGTACCCCCGATATCCTAAAATCGTAAACCCGCCCGGGCTCCCCTCCGAAAACTCGGTGGCGGAGACGCGGAGCGGATTGCTCTAACTGGCCGGGCGCCTGGTTTGGTTCATCACTCTGGTCTGACTACTCACTCTATATTCTCTGAAATGAGTGATCTGGACTTGCTGGGAAGCAGACAGACTCTTAATGACTCCACATACGTTCACTTTCTTGTAACTGTACGTCTTTACAAGCCTCTGTATTCTGTATTCTGTATGATAGATGTTTCACATTGATCTGTTTCCGTAAGTTTCATACTTTTCACACTTCCTTGATCTAGAATCTGAGGATAATAAAAGTAAAGATCATTTTAAAATGTGTATCTAAACTCGCTGACTTGCAGGCAGCGCGCGAAGGGAGGGTGGATGCAGTTAAGTTGTACCTGAAGAGCGCATACTACAACAAGCGGCACAGGGGTGCTATACCACCCATAGACAGGTATAGTAGTAACTGTAAGCAAATCATATTGAAGTAAGTGAAATAAAAATTCTGCGAAAACGAAAACGCTTCAGCAATTGTTAAGAACATATTGTCTGATTGGTGTGTAATCGAAAGAAGGAGTGAGATTATAACACAGCTCTTCAGGTTGGATAGTGATGAGGTAGGAGCCCTTCACTATGCTGCTAGATACAACCACCAGGCGGTCATGCAGCTTCTCGTCGACTTCAACGCTAGTCAGTATTTCAAATTGTTGTAAACCTTCTTTTGAAGAAACGTGAAAATTGCGAATGATGATCATTTTTCCAGAGATTTGGATTTATGCACGTTTCGATTGCATCGTTATTCGTTATTTTGGTTAATCAGGATTGCCTAGAAAGAGTGCAGAAGTGTGTCGTATAGTAGAGCAGGAAGTCTGGTACTAAGAGATAATAAGTTTAAACCCACTAACCTCTAATTCTCTCCCAGATGTGAACAACCCTGCCCAGGACGATCTAACACCCCTTCACTACGCTGCACGGTACACTCCTAAAGGTACCGCTGAGATGGAGACTGGTTTGACTGAGGAGATTGTCCCGCTTCCTCCCACCAAGGTACGTTCTATCTCGCTACCCACGTGCTGGTAAATGAATAGTGTGGCCCAGTGAGGCTTGCAAACTAAAGAGTTACCAATACATTCTATCTCTTCAACACTATCTTCTCTCGTAATTCGGTTTTGCTAATTGGCGTTTTTAGTTACAATTTTACTCCGTTTCCAGAAGATAGATGTGATAAAATGCTCTATTAACAAGAAGGTTCAGAATGTTTTTAAGGGCAAGCCAAAAAAGACAACGTCGCTAAGTGACGGACTTTTAGCAGCCACCCTTACTTTTGATGTAAGATTGTCGCTCAGAGCTGATTTCCGCTATTCGTGCTAATACCCGATGCTTGAGTACAGTGTGCCTGCTTGAGTACAGTGTGCCTGCTTCAGTACAGTGTGCCTGCTTCAGTACAGTGTGCCTGCTTGGTACTGCAAGGCTGACTATGTTATTCTAAGATTCTGTCGAAAAAAATGTTCTTTGTGGGTCGTGGCGGCATTTTATCAACAGTATTAATACGAAAGTGCTCTCTTTCTGACTTATCACTCTCCTCCTATAGGAAGAGGAAGAAGGCGAAGGTGAAGAAGATGAAATCGATGATGAAAAAGATGTAGAAGAAGTAGAAGAAGACGAAGAACTAGCAACCGAGGACACGCAAGCAACTCGACTTCTCAGCGAGATACTAGCAGAAGACTTTGGATCCCCTCCTATACAGTTTCTGCTGGATCAGGGAGCTAATGTTAACGCTAAGGATAAGTACGGTCTTACCGCCCTGCATTGTGCAGCAGACAGAGGCAACTACGCTGCTGTAGTTGAGTTGTTAAAGCATCCTAGCATCATCATCGAGTGTCAAGGTATGTGTTGATTAGTCGCCCATGGTGAACATTCTGGGTAGATTAAGCCGATAAACGTACTACAAAGTTCAGATATACCAATGAATTCAGGTTGACAGTCAGCGTTATTAGATTTCCCCAACACATTCTAATTTCCTGCATTCCCAGATAAGCAAGGAGAGACCCCTCTCCAGCTAGCAGTCCGAGCTAATTCTATGCCGTGTGTAAGAAAACTTCTCAGTGTTGGAGCTAAAGCTAATTGTGAGAATTTCAACCAGCTGAGCGCGCTACACAGTGCCTGTACGGAGAGCAACTTGGAGATCCTCAAGATGTTGTGTGAGAGGTTGGAGGCCGAGGGAGTGAAGGACTTAGTGAACAAGGTTTGCTATTTTTTATAGGTTTTGTGCACGTCTGAGAAAGTAATTAATTGTTTTGTGTAAATGCTGAGACCTTCGTTCATCTTGATCGTTAGGGTGGTGATGTCTTGGTGGCAACGAGGTAACAGTTTGTCGTTTATTCAGACTAACGATGAGTCGATGACACCACTTCACTTTGCTGTAGAAGTCGGAGCTGAAGATGTCGTTAACTTCCTTGTTGATTACGGTACGCTATTTTCAGTCGACTAACTTTTACGTTTTAGTTTTTCAACGTTATGAAAATGTTGTGAAACAACTGTACATTGGTATTTGGTACTGTTCACCTGTTGAACCCCGTAGAAACCCCGGGAAAAGCGCACATTTTCCAACCTGCCAGTAATGGCCAGTCTTAACATTTACAGGAGCTGATGTAACGCTAAAAAGGAAGAACCTGGATACACCTCTCCACCTGGCAGCTAACCACGGTTTTGTAGAGATAGCCAGAAAACTGGCGAGTAAACAGTCCAATATCGACCTGGACGCAAAGAACCTGGAGAGAATGACCCCACTTCACAGTGCTGCTAGGATGGACAGAGAGAAAATGATGCACCTTCTTATTGAGAGGTTAATACTTTAACTCAGGGTGTGGACTTATCTCGGTATTTTATTTTTACATAGGTGTGATATTATGACCATGTTTATACTTTATCATAGCTCTTCAATCTTCATCAACTATAAAATTGTGAATTGTACACTAGCTTTAACGCATTTTAATCAGGGGAGCAAATCTAGAAGCACTTGATAAAGACGGATCAACCCCTCTGATCACGGCAGCTGGTTGGGGACAGATGGCAGCAGTGAAGATACTTCTGGAATCAGGAGCTGATGTCTACGCGCAAGATAAACGAGATAAAACAGCAATATTCCACGCGGTGGAGGAGAGTAGACCTAAGGTACTGAAGTTATTGTTGGGCAGAAGAGGGAAACAGAACCTGGGGAACGAGATTGACAAGTTCCAGAACACCCCGCTACATTTAGCTTCTCAACTTGGCTTCCTCTCTTGTGTCAGAGTCCTTCTTGAGGTTAGTTACCATCCAACTGGTCTTTCTATTAACGTGTTAAAATCTTGGACAGGTTTGATATTTTTTACGATTAAGTTCTCGATACAATCTACGAAGTCTGCTATCAATCAGGATGTATATTTTCTAAATACCTGTTTGTTATATTCTTAATAAACTCTGTTAACTCCTTTTACCACCAGTTCGGCTTCTGTAGTGATGCCCAGAATGAAGATGACATGTGTCCGCTCCACCTTGCTGCACTACACGGACGAATCCAGTGCGTCAAGGAGCTTGTCAAGTATGTTATCTCAATTTTGAAGTTATTTTCAAAATACTCTTGTAAGCCGATATTTCAAGCCAAAAGTCTGGTAATTTTAAATCTTTACTTTTTTTGAACCCCAGCATATTATGTAGCATATTATGTAGATTATGTACTAATCATTAGAATAAGTTGAAACCGACAGGTGGGATCCAGCAATTGTGAACGACGAGGACGAGATTGCAAACACCCCTCTCCATTACGCTGCTCAAGCTGGACACGTTAAAACTGTCATCTTTCTTACTGAGGAAGCCGCTGATGTAGACGCCAAAAATCAGGTACAACCCGACTCAATTTGACGTTTCTTCATTTTTCAAATGTGTTAGGCTACAAATATCCCAAATATTGAGTTTCAGAAATTTCCGCCCATACAAACGATTCAATTTAGTTCTTCTTCTAATGTGACTGCATTTTTGCAGTTTGGCTGGACTCCAATGGATTGTGCAGCAGCGTGTGGCATGACAAAGACCCTTGCTGCTCTCCTTGACGCAGGAGGTGAAGTTGACCCCATCGACAAAGCAAAAACCACCCCTCTTCATCTAGCTGCAAAGAACGGTCACGTGGACACGGTAGAGTTTCTTCTTGATAACGAAGCTAACATCAGACTCACTGATGTTGATGGGAACAACGCTCTGGAGTTGGCGACCATGCATACCAAGAAGGAGGTTGCGGAGACTATTATCGAGTAAGAGAACTGGTTTCTGTATAGTAAAACCCCGATTTACAGCGGAATTTTGGGAAAGGAAAATCGGGGTTTTACTGTACTACTTATTGTACTGTAGGCGCTTATTTAGCAGTGATGATTAAACTATAAAATTAGCGTAGTTGCTGAAATATCAGTCACACTTACTTGGGAAATCGGAACATACCCTCACATTGTCTGAACCAGGCACAAGAAATGGTTCGCGTCGATGGATAACCGACACCCAAACGGTGACACCCCCATGAAGAAGCTGATCCGGATGATGCCTGACGTGGCAATGCAAGTGTTCAACAAGTGTACTGATGACAGTTGTAATCCTGAGCACATGACTAATGATCACAAAGAGTACCAGGTTAAATCTTATCATCTTATCTTACCTAAGTTAATCGTGTGTTTCGTGGATATGATATAGTTCTGATGTTGTGCGCGTACTCTTGAGAAAATATCTTGAAGAGCTGTCTTTAAAAAATCTGTTCAAAAGACTTGTTAGCAATTGATATTCTCCAGGTGGAGTTTGATTACAGATACTTAGATGAAATAGAAGAGGACGATGAATCCGCAGAATTTGAGGACAGCAAGAGTCTTATGTCAGATACGACTATTCTTCCAGACCAGCACATCACTCACGACCAGATGAAGCCTCATCCTCTACAAGTCATGGTGGGTCAATAATACTGCAAGCTAACCTACCTTCAATTGAGTTCTACCGATTGTTTATAAGCTTTTTTAATGGACTCCGTTTTATTTTAAATATAAGCGCAAGTACATAATGGCTCTAAATGTTTTCACTCCTTTTATTCTATTCCCTCACAGAATCGAGACACGTACAACTAATATTTAACGGTATATTTAAGTCTCTTCCTTCAGGTGAAAGCTAAACGGATTGAACTTCTTGACCATCCGCTGGTTCAGTCTCTGATCTATAACAAATGGGAGTGCTACGGGAAATGGTTCTACTACTTCAACCTCACTGTTTACCTCATCTACCTCGCTTCTCTCACCATCTTTGCCTTGAACCAGAAACCACCCTATAATGCTGCTAACCCTGATAACATGACCAAATTAAAAAATGTTTTAGATTGCGACGATTCTGAAAAGGAGAGAGAATCAAATGGAGAAATTAACTGTGTGACTTTAAAATTTCATAAGCAGTGGTTGATCCAGATATTTGGTTTTATAGTTCTGGGCACCTCAGCTATTCGTCTGCTTCTGGAACTAGCTCAATTCATCGTTCAGAAGATCAAATACTTTTCTGTCATGAATGTTATCGAAATCATACTGTTCGTTTCCTCCTTTTATTTCTGTCACACAGTGATATTTGGACTGCGGATCATCGAAAGTGAGGCTCAGTGGCAAATTGGTGTTTTCTCCGTTTTCATCGCATGGATGAATCTCATAATGTTTCTCAGAAAGGTACGGATGATAATGTCATATTTTATCTAGATTTTATACCAGTTTAAATTTTACCCGAATTATTAAATATTTGTCACAAAACTCTAAACATAAACTCACATACTGATCGAGGTATTTGTTTCAGTTCCCTAAAATAGGAATCTACATAGTGATGTTCGTGACTGTTCTGTTAACATTCTTACAAATCATGATAATTCTTCTCATATTTATTGTCGCCTTCGCGCTCTCCTTCAACATGGTGCTGGACAAGGTAAAGTGGTGTTTTATTTTCTTACTTGGTAATCAACCTGGGTCTTATTTTATAAACTTTTTCACGGTTTGCATCAAAATTTTTGGTCCGCTTGCAATATTTCGTGATCGTCAAAAAATTATCTTCCCTTACAGTTCGACGCATTTACCGAAGTGCTGCCTTCAATAATGAAGACATTTGTTATGATGACCGGAGAGCTGGAGTATGACGGTTACTATGTTGACGTGCCCCTCTATTACCCGGAAGCGAGCTACGCTCTCTTTATTTGCTTCGTCATTGTCGTCCCTATCGTATTCATGAACCTATTGGTAAGTTTTGAATCTGTCATCTCTTAATTACCAATAGTGGATTATTCTTTTATTGAATTACATCATGAAACAAGATTTGCGAGGCGCGGATCGCTAACAGCAACGTTAGTAAGTAAGTGAAAATCCAATTAGAATTACTGAGAGCTCAATTACCTGCATCTAACCAGGTCGGTTTAGCTGTAGATGATATCAAAGAAGTGCAGCACAGAGCTGGTTTGGAGAGAAGTGTCATGAAGATTGAGCTCATATTTCAGGTTAGTTTAGACGATTAACTTTATTTCAAAATCTTATTCTGTGGGTTTACATGATTTGAACACTAATTTTTTTCTGGTGTTGAAATTTTGACGATAACTCACCTCGCCAACATTCTCCCCAGGTAGAAAACCTTCTCCCACAGTTCTACCTCCGCAAGATTAACCTAAAGAAAGCAAAATATTTTGTTAATCAAGGTCGGAAATTCCTCGGGGGTCTATGTTGTGGAATCACTATCAAAGATATACCTTTTAACGGTGAAACCATAAACGAAGCTCTTCATCCAAACAAGGTATTTATCTTCCCTATAAGCTTAATTGCTTAATCAATTTCCAACCAAATTTATTGGAATCATGAGTGTCCGATCATTTATTGTGGAAAATAAAAATTCGTGCTGTTTCCTTTTCCGTTTCACTGAAATACCAACCCATCTAATTACAATCATGTTACTTTCAGACCGGTGTAGACGAATTAAAGTCCACCACGGAGTCGCTTGAGAAGAGTGTTAGGAGGATGAGAGTGCAAGTTGATCAGGTGATTAACATTCCTAAAAATAACAATTTGTTATTTCATTGTTAAGATAAAATAGGCGGACTTTTCCAGATTAACATTCCTTCACGCAATGTTTGTACCCACGACTACCGAGAGTTTGTGTAACACAGAGAGGGCGCATAAAACAACAAAAAGAAAGCAACTAAACCCTCCCCCTTTCAGCTAACCCAGCAAAACGGCCACATAATCAGGATGTTGCACGTGCTCTCAGCTGGAACCAGCTCTACTGCTAGTGACGATATAAACGTGGACCAGGACCTTTACACTGAGATCGGATCCAGACCGTAAATATTTTGGGTGATGTTTTTGTGTGATTTGATAACCTTTGTCAGTGTGAGGTTCTTTTGGATTTTGTGAAAAAATCTTTTCTTTTTCTGTATGTGTGATTTGACAGTTCAGCATGAATAAATGGGGCATTTTTCAATCGATTTCGGGATAAATTCCACTTGTTTTTCCCATTTTTTATTTTTAGTGAATCCTATTATATTTTTAATTTGTGTAATTTCAGTGTTATGTACAGTTTTCAGCATTTTCACATTCACCTAGCTAGACACAATTTAGCAAGTTTGAAAAATTTGAAAAGAAATATTGCATTTTATTTTTAACTATTTTTATCTGTTACTGTTAGGGAGCGTTCACATATTATGTTGATATGACGTCAGCAATATTTTGGCCAATTTACCCCCCTCCCCCTGTCAATAACTGTCATCATTGAGCGACCCCCCCCCCCCCCCCCCCCTGATGACGTCAGCATTTTCCAGACCCCCCCCCCTGATGACGTCATCATTTTCCAGACCCCCCCCCCCCCCCCCCCCCGATGACGTTACTAACATTATTTGTCGCAAACAGTGCAAAGCGGCAGAGTAGGATCTTTTGCATTTTGGCACTGCACGTTTTTCTCCCGCTGGATCATGATTAGCTTTATAATTATGTAGTGAATTTAAATTTCGCAGCGTAATTTTCGTTATGAGATCGAGATCAAAATTACTAGTGACTTGGGACCCTCGGCTAAGTGTTCATAACCACCTGGCTTAGTGTTTATAATTATAAACGATCGAAGCGGAGGAGATGTCAATATGGCGGAAATTGGCAGGCTGAGCAGTGAGCCCAGTAATATAATTATAAGGGGTCGTTCACATATAATTACGTAATCAATATTTTAGCAATTTTTACCCCCCTTCCCCCTCCGTAATCAACCGTCATCAAGAAGTAAGAACCAACCCCCCTCCTGACAGCAATATTACGTAATCATGGCCTGACAACCCCCCCCCCCCCCCCCCCCCCCCCTTGACTTTTTTCCCTAAAAAACACTTTTCTCTACGTTTCATCATTCATGCTACCCTGATCATGCTATCATGATGAGCCGAAATAATTGTTATGAATATGATATCCGGCCAAGCACCTTCTAAACTACTTACTTACTATTATAACCGGATATTCGATCAATTTCTAAAAGTAAATTTTATCACTATTAGTATTAGAGTGAAATTGAATGGAATTTGAATTAAAATATTGTCAAATTGTTATTATGCTAGAGGGTAAAAAAGAAAATGTTGATTACGTAATTAACGACCAACCCCCCCCCCCCCCCCCCCCCCCCCTTGTAATCAACCGTAAGCATTTGGAAACCCCCCATCGGCTGATTTCGTAATATGTTCGAACGACCCCTAAACACCGCCCTCGTGTTATGTGGTATATGTCCCTTTTTTATTTTTGCGTGCAATGTCAATTTAATACTTAACTTTTATAAAGTGTTCATTGTTTCAGGATGACAAGCAAGTCTCTGGACACAACCGCTCAAACTCTTGTTGCAGAGCACAAAGTATTTGATAGGTGGAACAGACAATCGCAAACACACCATTAACCAACTAATTCTGCGATCTGGTTGAAATGCAATATTATGATTATGAAGGTGCAGAATTATTAATAATAATATTATGTCCTAGCCATTCTCGTGTGTCACATTAAACATCAACGATGATAACTACAAATGAAAACATTTATCCGGGACGGCGTGACTGTTATGCTGGTGATAATTCACCGTCACGTGGACTGTTACTGGTATTATATTAGTTATATTAGTGACAGTGTTACTGTAAGTGTAGTGTTACCTGGTACACCCGGCACACCAGTCCCTGTGCGCGGCGCTCTTTTCAAGCTTCTTATAAATAGTCGACGGATCAACATTTGTTTGCCTTTAATTTTTGCAAATAATTAAGGTGAGAATTCTGCCCAAATGTAATTTGTTAGACACATTTTGAGAACCTAAATTATAAATTATAAATATTTACCTGGTTTAATACCCAAAAAGACAGTCTTGAGTCTGCCAACCATCCAGAGCCAGCACAAGGAGACCATCCAAAACAGTAGCGATATTGCAGCAGTACCAGAGGGAAAGAAAGGGAATTGTATGTGGGATCATCTATCAGGTAGTTTTGCTGGAACAGCACACCGGTAATTACACCAACTATCAGGAGAATTAGACCACCTGCTTCTGTGTGCAGGAAAAAAGTTAATTGGGTTGAACATGTGCCTATTTAACTTCAAGCATTCAACAGAGCTCATGTGACCAACTTAGCTGCCTATTTTAGCTATTTTGAAAGAAACTTACTGGCTCTTTTATGGTTAAGGTAAACGAAGCAGGCCAACAAACCGACGACACTCTGTATTGTAAATAGAGCTGCAGTGTTAATGAAACAATCCTGGTCCGGACAGGCGAAGTGAGAATAAGATAGGGACCACGTGGCGGTCACGATTAGTAAACCTCTTGATGCTGCAGAGAAGTTAGGAAAATGAGTGGTGTATTTTAAGAAAAGAAGATTGATACATGTTATTTATGATTTATTAAACTCTGAAAATTGAAGTCTACTGAGATCGAGACAGAGAATGTAAATGAATTTATTAAAATGCTTAGTGTACAAAACATCATAGATTAAAATTTAAATATCTGGTGGTAGAACTAGAATAATAGCACCAATAAAGAACTCACCGCAAGTAGAAGCACAGATGCTTGGTGCTTGGACCACTTAACACAGCTTTTACCAGAGCGTATGTGTTGAGACACATAGCAAAGATGATTGCTGCCGAGGAAAGGTAGACAGGCGGGAAACCAGTCACACTGAACTTTATCTCAGCTAGGTATTGGTAAACTACCGCGATAGCTCCTGCGACTGAAATTTAGTATTTCAATTTCATATGTTTATAATTACTGGGCGGCGCTCAGCCTGCCATTCCACCGCAGCTTCAATGTTTACGACCATTATTAGCCTGGGTACCCACTCCCCGGCCAGGTAAGTTTATCAAAGCACAAAATCGCGTAAAGAAGCACCCTCTAACTAAACACTCTTTGTTTAAAAATAATTTAAAAGCAATTGGGATTTTATTTGATTTATAGTACTATACAGAAAAGACTGGTTACCAAGGCACTGCCGACTGGATTGAAGTATTGGTTCCATTAGGACTAAGTAGTGAGTACTGACAACTGATTAGTGAGTACTGACAACTGATTAGTGAGTACTGACAACTGAGTACTTGATGTAATGCAAACGAGTTTAAAATTAAATTTAAAAGAGCCTAGATAGCTGAATAAAACATAAGACAATAGATAAGATAAGGACATTTAAAAGGTTAGTTACGATGATGCGTAACCATTTTGTATATTTCTTGCTGATTCTGTTTTTAAAACTTATTATTAACCACTCATTTAATTTTTGAAAATCTGTCAGACATGATTAGTTATAGTAATAGTAACATATGGCAATTTTATGTATCAGTATTTCTTGGTTTTTTGGTATTTCTTGGTATTTCTTGGAAGGACAGGTGTATTATTATATTATAACAAAGTCATCTTTTGATGAAAAATCGCTGAAATGGAGATTTCCTATCAATCTTAATCATGTGGTTCATCTTTGGAATGTATGCTATTTTTGTTTAAAAATGAGTGCAGAGTAACAAATTTTGAGATTTCGAGCAGTAAGTATAATGATTTAATTTTGATAATCTAGATGGAGAAGATTATAAAATTGTTAGGCGTGAAATCAGCTCATCTTCGGAGAGTCACATGATCATATGATTCCATTTTGAGAATCGAGATAGTATACATTTTTGGTAATAAGACACCAAATTTCTTTGGTGAGTAGATAAATCTCAACGCGACGATTGCAATCTAACAAGTCACTGCTCTAGGAGTAGGAGAGTCTCATGATCATATGATTGCACAATGAGAATTCTATGAGATAACAGTTTCATTTCAAATCTCACGATAAAAAGCTGTCTGTTTATTCTCTTACGTGAGCTTGACAGCTGCATTCGTAGTTTGTTATGTTTCTCTGAACAATGCCTACTGTTTAATTTCAAACAGTTCTAAGTACATTTAAACTCATTGATTCATTCCGTAGTATTTGTATCTAACACTTTGCAACAAAGAATAAATCATGGGGTTCCTCATTGAGAACCACACATGTGTAACTTAGAGTCAACCTGTTTGTCACTTCAGACTTGTTAATGTAAGTATTATATAGGCCACTTTTTAAGTTTTAAAGAATTTCTATGGCATGTACTTTTCTTGTGCATTTGACTGTTATCAACGCGGAAGTCATATTTATTAATAGTATTATAAGTTGGTTGACGATGTCAACCCATCGAGATCGTTGCTCTGCGAAGCAGAGCAACGATCGACGATGCGAAGTTGACATACGTTGCATGCCACTTTTCGCGCGCGAAGCGCGCGCCGCCGAAACATGTATCAAATGCGAAGCAAGAATGCTAGTTCGCGCGGCGCGTCGAAGCGGCGAAGTCCTCCAATATTATAAGTATTACGATTAACTGATTCCAGGCAGAGGAACTTAATTCAGTTAATCATAATCTTATTATATATAAAGCGAGACAATATAAATATATATATAAATATATATATCGTCTCGCTTTATATATAGTAAGATCCATATATATATATATAGCGATCCGTGCCATTTTACTGACACCACGGCATCAATTTTAACGCGACTTTCCGCAAAAACCGTAAAAGATATACAACTTAAACTTTTTTGACTGGTTCAAATGTTTTTATGCTTTTCAAATCAGCATGAAAAAATAAAAAATTGGCCATGAAATAAAAATTTCAGTGCCCAAAATTTGGATCCCCAAGTGGTGTCAAAAACGCGATTTAAATATACCTTACTCGGGATTATTATGACCGGGATAAAGTGGCGGGTTTAGGGTAATTTCGCCATATTTTTCCCGAACCACATTTTCACCGGTCGTTAATAAACCCGTCGTAATAATCCCGAGTAAGGTAGGTAATAATTATTTAAGTCTCTTGAGTCTTGACACCACTTGAGGGTTATATGGGTTCCTACTAGTATTAATAAAGTAGAAAGCCCGTGATCACATGGAGAAAGGTAATAGTATTCTTTGGAAGTCAGTTTTTATCGCAGCAAAAAATATCCGTCACAACCGAATAATTACAGCCCATTAAAATGTAGTTCGCCGCACTGAACAAAACGTAATTACCACAAAACCGATAAAAATGACGTTAAAACAATTATTGCACGTGCACGTGCGTGAAATAACCCCCGTTACTATGGTTACTTTGCAACTACCTATTTCTCATCTATTTGCACGTGGGCGGTCGTACAAACGAAGATAATTCTCTGAATTATAATTAAGACTAGAAAACCGGTGGTCACAGGGAGGAAGCTAATAGTATTTTTTGTTAAGTTGTTAGTAAGTTTAAATCGCGTCAAAAAATATCCTACACAACCGAAGATACAGCCGATTAAAATGTTGCTCGCACTAAACACAACGTAATATCAACAAAACCGATAAAAATGCCGTTTTAACAATCTTTGCACGTGCACGTGCGTGTAACAACCCTCGTTACCATGGTTACTTTGCAACCTTTTGCTTTTTACCTACTTTGCACGTGGGCGGTCGTACATTGTACATACAGTGTACAATTGTAAAAAGATAATTATCTGAATTATAATATAGACTAGAAAGCCCGTGGTAACAGGGAGGAAGCTAATAGTATTATTTGAAATAAATCACATACAGAAATATTCATCCCAACCGAGGATATAGCCGATTTAAATGTCAGCAATTTAAACACGACCTAATTACCACAAAAACGATCAAAATGACGTTAAACAATCATTGCACGTGCACGTGCGTGTAAAAACCCTCGTTACCATGGTTACTATGCAACTTCATTATTATTATTTGTGCTGTCTGCACGTGGGCGGTCGTACAGACTTGTATCACGCGGTGACCCCCACTGTCGGTGACCCCCACTGTCGCTACAGGGGGAGCCGCGCACTTCGTGCGCGGCGGGTCATACAACGTATGACAAGTACAGACAGCATAAATAATTCTTTGAATTATAATATAGACTAGAAAACCCGTGGTCACAGGGAGGAAGCTAATAGCATTTTTTGTTAGGAACTTTAAATCGCGTCAAAAAATATCCTACACAACCGAAGATACAGATAAAATGTTGTAGCGCGATGCACTACTGGGTCGCGCCGCGCATCAAATAATTCTTATACTCGCAACCACAGATGCAGATCGGCGAGATGCGAAGGATTGACATCGTGAATCAAGATAAAATGTTGCTCGCACTAAACACAACGTAATATCAACAAAAACGATAAAAAATGCCGTTTTAACAATCTTTGCACGTGCACGTGCGTGTAACAATCCTCGTTACCATGGTAACTACGCCATTTCCTATTTCTCGTCTGATTTGCACGTGGGCGGTCGAACAGACAACAGAAAGAATTCTCTGAATTATAGTAAAGCTGTGACCCTATAATAGTACTAATTATAGTACTATACACTATGACTAGGTGGTATTAGGTCATGATGCGATGAGGGAAAGTATCGACTGACACCGAAAAACAAAGACGTGAGAGTAATTAAGAGTTTACGGGTACAAAACATACATAGATAAAACTTTGAAGGAGAGCCAAGTTTGAGCTAGAATAGGAAACAATTGCACTGCCACACTTGAAATTTGTATCTGATGAGGGCGGTTGTAAACTGACCACAGCTATACTTATATGTTAATAAACCATATCATTTCCAATTTATCACTAAACTTTGAACTTATTTCCGATTTTTCACGTTTTGAGTACGCCTTGACTTTGGGAGTTGATTAGTACAATTAGTAAGTTTTTCGTATAGAAATACTGACGAGTGTAGGCAGGGAAAATTAGTATGTGCCTGATTTAAACAATTAAACACTTGGTCCACAGAGTTCAGTTCTCACCGAAGTACTAATACTAAGGAAATTAGTTTTATTGTTAATAAAATTGATTTGAAACAAAAATGTTTGCCAAAATTCACGTTACATTTCTGCTGACGTCAGCAAGGCTCAGACCACCCTCCTACCCCCCGTCAGCATTTCCAAACCCCCCACCCCCTACCCCCTGCTGACGTCATACGTAAACGCTTCCATATTGTTTACTGGGCGGCGCTCAGTGAATGAACATAAATATAATAGCCTGGGGTTCCCAGGTAACCATATTGTATTTTTGAATACAATATGGAAAGTTTTTTTTCAGGATTGAAATATAGCAAGTGAAATGATAAATCAAGTAAGATTTTGGCTTTGCTGCGCCAATTTAGGGGTCAAAGGATAAAGTCCTTTAAATTTTGAAAATATACTTACAGTTACACTCACAGTAATAGGTCTCAAAAAGGGTGCAAAGAGGGAGAATTTGCAAATGTTTTTGGACAATTTGCTTAAAGGAAGGCATTTTAGCAATGAGAAATGTAAATTTGTACTACACTTTGTCTTTAGCAGTAAGGCAATTTGGATAATGCAATGACGGATTGACCAAATGAGCCAAAGAATGTTGGCCCCTTTCCACCCCTTGCCAAGATTGCCCCCCCTCCTCTTCCTACACCCCTGGTATAAGAGCAACGGTCGTGCTTGTCAGCACGGTGATAATATATCATATAGATTATTATAGATGACGCTTTGGCAGTCAATAATAGGTTATATGCAAGTGTCCGTAGACAGTGGATCCAACAGCTTTAAAGAAAAAGCCATCTTGAACCACAGGTCTTGAAGATAATTGTTTAGACTTTAGTTTACATTATATAAAAAAATTATTTGACATCGTCATTACCACTTAATGACGTCATCAAGTTTACTGTTTTTGTAACTTTATTTTTGACAAAGTAATAACTTTTCTAAAGATATTTGCTATTGAAGTTAGTGATAACACCCATTTTGTGATTTAGTAATAGTATTCTTTGGTGTTTCTAATTTTGCTCCTTCATAAAATTAAAAATTAAATTGTTAAATTTGAACAAGAGTCTTGAAACATCCTGCACTACAAATATATATCAAATAGTGCGAGGAAGCGATCGCGAAGTAACTGAGTCAATATATTTTAATGTTACCATGTGCTATGGGGTGGCCATTGTCAGTTGTCACCATTCATCACAGACCAGGAGTTTTACCGCCTCTCATTATGACAAACAATTGATACTACATACGTTCTTTGAATGAAATATAATAAACAAATAGTCGATGCTCTTTACTTGCCTCACAGAGGGTCAATCGGTAACTGCAATGACAGTTACGAGAGCTGACAACTGACGTTATTAATTTTCCTCCTCCAGGACCGAAGTTTATATTACTTATCTTAGAATTGTTTTTTCGGTTTCGACTCATTCGAGTAGGAACATCTTGCCGCAAATTCCACAATTCATTTACCACTTTTTACCACCTTCCTTGTTTGTCAAATATCTTTAGTTGTGAAAATGTTAATACTATAATCGATCCAACACTGGTACATTAATTTTAGGAAGAAGTGAGAGGGTTGTTAAGTGAATCAAAAAAGAAATGCTGCTGTCGACGGTCCTATATTTACTGATATTCGCAACAGGTAAGAGTTTAAAATATGTCTATCCAAATCACAATGCTGGCAAGCATGACCGTGCCTCTTATATTCACAATACTATTTACCCTCTTTACTATTTACCCCCTTTACTATTTACCCCCTTTACTATTTACCGCCTTGACTTTTATACCCCCTTTACTAGTATACCCCTTTATTGTTTTTCAAGCATTAAGACTCATCGAAAGTAGTTCAGCAGGTATATTTAAGTTCAAAACATTCTAATTTAATTTTAAATATGACAGGAATAAGAAATAGTTATGTAAAGGTTTTTGAGAAATTTGCGCAAAATACGCGCCAGCATGTTATACGAAATTCGGTAAAAAACCCAAAATCGCCATATTCAGGTGCTTTAAAAACCATGTTAAAATTGTGTTAGAGATCTAAAATTTTTCAGGGCGTCTAGACGTTGACCAAATCGACTGTAAAAAAAGTTTCAAGTTTCAGGAGCATCGGGAAATGAGTTTTCTAGAACCCCTGTTTTACAACAGATTGTCGGGAAATATACAGATATACATATATATTCAGGGATAGACGCTTTGCCAGTAAATTATAGCCTGTATTTAAGTGTCCATATATTCAAAAGTATAAAAGATATAGCCATTTCCGACCACAGGTCTTGCGAATAATTATTTACACTTTAGTTTACATTGTATAAAAAATTATTTGACGTCATAAACACCCCTTGATGACGTCATCAAGTTAACCGTTTTAAAAACTTGATTTTTGACAAAGTAATCACTTTTAAAATCGATTTTACACCATTAAGAATTAATTTTATTCAAGATTTGAGGACATATTGAAGTTAGATAATTGTTTAAGCATTCTGAAAATCTACCAGAAAGTTTTTCTACCTTGCTCCTTCATAAAGATATTTGTCATTGAAGTTTGTGCTTTTTTGAAGAATTATTTTATAAAAACGTCAATTTTGCGATTTAGTATTCTCTGGTGTTGGGCCATGCCTTGGGTTGTGGAGCTCAGTTCTGCTTTCTATAGGTATAAATTGTGCATTAGGCTAATTTTAAAGTTGAAAATCGAAAAGTTGCACACGTGGGGACACGCCCAAATTGATAGAAAATTGCTAAAATCACTGAAAATTGCTGTTTTCGTCATTTTCTGTCAACTATAGAGTGCCGCTGTGATTAAAGTTCTTTTTGAAATACTTTGAAACTTTGCATGCTTATCAAACTATATATAAAACACCAACATGAAAAAATTTACGGCGATTCAGTATTGGATGCGCACGCAACGACCGCTCAAAGTTTGCACGTGCGAAAGGTGAGAATTTTGCTCATTCGTGATTTCCAACAAATTCTGCTTTGCCACGACAGTTTAATGTCATTATATATGAATTTAATGCCAACTTGAATGAGTATAAAGTGGCATATTCAGTCAGTGATCGACTGATATGCTTACCTAAACACAAGAAAATGTTTTTAAAGGAAAAATTTCGAAATCGTTGAAACTTCTTCCTTATTGATGAAGATATCAGTTTATATTTTGTATTTCAACTATATAAAATTAAAGTACCCTGACATTATAATCAAAAATAGATGATATTTGACCAAAACCCATAATCATGGGTAGAGTGGACCGCTGCCAGTGTCTCTCTTTCCCAAACAAAAGGAAATGATATTAATTTGATTGACCGTTCTCAAATGCAAAATGATACCGAGGATGAAATCGGTCGCTCGCTTTTCCCATTCATTTACAATTGTAATACATTAAAAAGAACTACCCGGAGGCAGCTGTACTCGGCAATAAAGTTTTAATAAACTTCAGCTAATTCAATAAGTAATAACTACCACCCTTACCCCGAAATACTAGGTATCGACCCGAACGCAACCCAAAGAGATTTTTACAGCATCTGATTGATGTAATCAATCGAAACTTATTACAATTCGTAAGCCGTGAATGAATGGGAAAAGCGAGCGACCGATTTCATCCTCGGTATCATTTTGCATTTGAGAACGGTCAATCAAATTAATATCATTTCCTTTTGTTTGGGAAAGAGAGACACTGGCAGCGGTCCACTCTACCCATGATTATGGGTTTTGGTCAAATAGATACTATGAAATATCAGCTTTATGTGTGGTATAATAATCAGTTAGCAAAAATCACATAATCGATCATCACAGGGACTATAACAGAAATGCTGGACGAAGCGATAAATCACACACATTCAGTTGTACACAACAGTTCAGAGACGACACACGGTACAGTGAGCTACTCTTGTAAGTTCTGTCGGGAGGACTTTAAGTGCAAAGGAGGAGATGGTCAGGTGAAGCTCTCAGATATTTGCAGCGACAAAATTACATGCGTAGGACAGAAAGATATTTGTGAGTTTTCTAGAACATTTCCTCAGCCAGGGGAAGATGTGGTGACGTATGAAAATGGCTTGAAAAGCATTTCTTACTGCTCGAGTATTGAAAAAGAATTCTCGAGATCAGCTGACGGAGAACAATGCGAAACAGTCCTCTTCAAACCGCAAGGTTCGGAGAATTTTACAGATATAGAGATAGCTGTCCCCGACACACATTTAGTAGACTGTGAGCAGTATTATGGGGAAGCTTATCTTTATCTGAGTTGTCTAGATAAATGCCTTGTCCCCGCACAATGCCCACTTACCGAGAACAACACTTGTGCTGATAAGTTCCGTTGTGAGGATAACTCTTCACACTGTGTCCCCTACAGTAGAATCTGTGATCTGAAGGACGACTGCGAGGACGGCAGTGATGAGAGGAACTGTTCTAACAACTTCAAGTGTACCTCAGGGAGTGTTTCCTACGTGCCAATCTCTTCTAGATGTGACGGAAAAGTGGATTGCTTGGACTTTTCTGACGAGTGTAACGAGGAATGCTCCTCACGTGAACGTTTTATTCTGGGGGACTCAGTTTTGAAAATCACTGCATGTGTCATTGGTAGTCTGTCTATCCTGATGAATGCTGTTAATATTTACAGAGTGGGTAAAGAGTTGGACAGGATCAAGTGGTTTAGGAGCGCGCTGACCAAAGAGTTGATTATATTAATTGCTGTCGGAGATTTAATTATGGGATGTTATTTAGCTACCATCACCTTTATTGAAATTTCGAACGGAGACAACTATTGCAAGACAAAATATTTGTGGATGTCAAGTAAACTATGTGCACTGCTAGGGGTTATGAGTTCTTGTGGCTCTGAAATGTCAATCTTTGCTATGACAGCTCTGGCAATATTCAGAGTTTTAACCGTCAAATCAAACAGAGTGGCTAAAGAGAGTAGATTCTCTGATTTAGCAAAATCAAAACTACGTTTGTCAGCATGTTTCATTTTAGGGACGTCAGTTACTGTCGCTGTCCTGCCACTATTCAGCCAATTTGAGGATTTCTTTGTCACAAGTTTATACTACCATGAAAACCCTATATTTATCGGGAAGATCACAAAAGAACGTCACATGAAACTATTCAAATCTTACTACGGAAAGATTGAAAATGGAACATATCTGTCGTGGCAAGAGATACGGAAGTTAGTTGGGACTATGTTTACAGAAAGATACGGCGGGGTGGTTGGCTCGAGTATTCATTACTATGGGAGTGACGGAGTCTGTGTTTCCAAGTACCTCGTCACCCCTAAAGATCCACAGAGTGTGTTTACTCTCAGCATACTTTTAGTAAACTTTATCTGTTTTTTTATCATGTGTATCTGCTACATCAGTATCAAAATTCATACGAACCGAAGGAAGGTATCAACTTCAACACCAATTCCAAACAAAATTGATAAGGTGGCTAAAAGGAGAAAGATGAATTTGGGAGTGAAAATTGGGGCAATAATTGGAACTGATTTTTTAACTTGGATACTTTTTATCATTATCTGTTTGCTGCACTACGCGAGGCTAATAGACGCTAAACCATTTTATCCCTTCTTTTCGGTAGTGATTCTCCCGATAAACTCATTGATAAACCCCCTGCTGTACGACAGTAAAATAATGGACAGTGTGGTTGAGTATTCTACCCTCGTATTCGAGAGCTTTAAGCGCTGTATTAAGGGGAAAGAGACAGGGTACAAAGAGAAAAGTGTTACGTGTAACAGTAACACTGTTTTCTCGACAGAAATACTAGACACTTCTGCTTAATCGTTATTATATTTTGATAAAAATGTTTCAAACATGAACAATAATTTTTATAACTTTATTTCTAAGTTCCTATAATTCCTATATTGGCATTGCCTATCTATAAGGGCTTCAGCCTTTAAGTTTAACTTGAGTTGATGAGCACTATGAACAGTTGAGTTCATGACAAAATGTGTTATAGTCGTGTTGAATCAGAATGATAATTAAAATCTGATAATTATTGTTTAATATGTTCCTTTTTGAAACGGCTTTAATCATAGACGCTGGAGTTGTACCACCATTGGATTTAGATTTTGTCCTTCACCATAATTACTTACATTCTACGAATTTTGATTGATTAAATTTTGCTTTTGTTACAATCTTTACGTTTGAGTTAATAAATTATGATGATTATATACATTTTGCTTATCTAAAATCTTAAAATGTTTTACAGGCACTAAAGATGCAGTTTAGTTACGAAGGATTCAAGCCTTACTGAGTTACATTGTGTGTTTCCCTTCGTGTCCAAATGCAATATAATTTTTTAGCTTTATTTCTCAGTTCCTATAGTTCCTATTAGTATTACCTATCTATTAGGGCTTTACTTTTAGCATTAACCTTGACTTTGAGTTGATCATGATGAACAGTTGAATTGGTAAAATGTGTAACCTTGATGGATGATAAATGTTTAATGTATCTAAGAATGATACTTTTAATCTTAAAATCCTATAATTATTGTATCACGTCGTGACCTCCATTGTCGTTTCACTAGACGTATCGTGGCCACGACACAGCCACGCACTCGTGCGCGGCAGGTCTGCAACGTATGAAGAGTGTTGACTAATGCTCCACATTGTTATAATATTCACACCTCGATATTTTCTTTTCTTTACACTTAATTGCTGTCAATCAAGTTTGAAAAGATTTTTGATAAATTGGTCGAGATGAAGGTATTTGTGGAAGGATCGACTAAATTTATTAAGATATGAACAAATAAAAATATGCTAAATTTAAAAGTATTGTTAATATCAATAATTAACACACATGATCGACAAATAAAACATACTAATTCATTAATCAACATCATGATGTTACAACTTAACCGTTTATAAACCATAAACACCGTGAAATAATCAAGGTCAAACATATTATTATTAGCAAAAATCGTCTAAAAACAAGAGTCGTAATATTCATTACCGTATTGATCGTCTTAATCTTACTTCTTATTCGCATTATGATACAGTCAATAAAGTTTCATATACTTTATGTTTTGTTACAGTGAGATTGAGCTGTATCACTTGTTGTATCACTTGTTTTTTAAATTCAGAGGCAACAAATATTGGGCTGTGATGCGAAAGATTAGCGTACAAACGTTTTGTCAGACTTGAATAGCATATTATATTACAGCTTCAAATAATAAATTATCGACTGTTAGTTCATCGCCCTGTTTGATCCGAATGCAATTAGAAATTAAAAGTTAAAATTATTCAACGAGCTGGGATGTTAATTTATAAAGATAAACGACAGATAAGAATAATCACTCTATCTATTAGAAGTCTAAGAGAGCAGCCTGAGAGAGCCACTATCACTGCCAACCACTACAAGTTTATTTAGTGGGGATACCGTCATTGCGCTCACTCCTCCCCTGAAAATAGAGTTTAAAGTAAATGAAGAATATAATAATTAGAATGAGTTTAAAGTAATACATTTTCACTGATATAACATTTACACCTAAGTTGAGATATTCCAGTTAAAAAGCCCCGATCATGTAATCAATCACAACAAATAGAAGAAAAATAGGGCTAAGCTAAATTACCTGAACAAATCAGATCTGAGTTTGGTCGTAGAGTTCCCAGCAGGAGATATGGTTGTTATGCGGTAGTTGGCACACGTGATCAGATCATCGTCTAACAAACACATTCCATTAACTCCGTCACGATAACCCTGGTACTCTGGGAAGGGAGCAGTTTTATATGCTGGAAATAAAACCGTGTTCCAATTTCACTGACATTTTACATGATTTAATAGATTTACGATTTTTTCATGATTATACATTTTTCGAATCTTAATTGCATATGGCAACGATAAAAAATTGAATATAAAGCTCGCTCAAAGTATAAAAAGATGACTATGGTAGACATAAAAGAGAATAATGGATAAGATGACAAATTCACGTCCGTGGGGCTGTTGTAAAAACTAAAAGAGACAAAATTAGGATAAGATCGGAACAGAGGCAATTATTGTCGCTTTAAACTTACTGTAGTCAGGTTGATGACCCTCGGTGAAGGTTCTGGCTCTCTTCCAATGACACACAGAGACGTTGGTATCATTGGAGCTGGTGAAGACGTCCCCTGAGTCACCGCATATGATGTTAGTCACGTCTTGTTGGTGGGGTCTGAAGGCGTGCATCATGACCCCCACCCTTAGGTCTAACACGTGTATCGTGCCTGTTGTTGAATGTAGCTTTGTTAAGATAAGGTTATAATTATTATATAATAATATAATTATTATTATAATAGTCTACTAGTTATGTTAATGTAACTATAATTAATACTGACGTTATCTCTCCTGATAATCATTGGAAGATCTGTCAATATGTTCACAGCTATATGCTAGTTGTCTGTTTGTTTCAGTTTCAATAACTAAAGAGCTTATGTTTCTTACCGGATGAGAATCCAGCAGCAACCCAAGTTCCGGTGGGGTCACATTGCAGGGCCTTTATGATCTGCACGCTCCTTAACGGTGTGGCGACTTTCCACTCCATAACTACCCCATCTTTTACTCTGGTATCAAACGTTCTCAGAGTGCTATCACTCGTGCCTTTAAAATAAAGGGGTCTATAATGTAAAACATTTAATTTATGGTCAGTAGATCAAGTACTTCCAGCCCCAGACTGAAGTACTATCAACACCTGGTTTCAAGGCCTTTTTTATTTATAATTATAATTATGGCGGTGTTATGTTATAATTATGAGACCCGCACCGCCAGTTGTTATCTTCATACTATGCTGTCCATGTTATAATCTAACTTTTAGCAACTTTCTGTGTTTTAAGTTACTAATATTATTGGTAGATCGGCAGAACCACTATTGTATCTATCATCGTTGTAACTGATTTCAAAGCAACTTCAGATAATATCATGTAAAGGTATTGAGACTTTTTACCTAAATAAGGTCATTAGATAAATTTGTGTCCACAAGTTTGACAAGAATTTCGCCGCGGTTACACCACGCACGATCAATTTTTCCTACAATAAATGTAATTATTTAAAGTAATAAGTGTGGCGCATCGGACGATCGTATTTTCATTTTAGGCGAGCAGATTGACTTGAAAATATGTGCAAAATATTTACATGCTATGTTTTCCATAAATGAGTTGGATTCGTGTATAGAAGAAATTGAAGATTAATTTGACCCATTTAAGCATTTACAATTTAGCGCATCGCACCAACAATAAATCAATCCAGAAAATCGCGCAAAACAACTTTGCGAAGGGGCCGGAAACTTCGGGTGTAATTAATATTATAATTAACACATGAATGGCGTCGCGCGCAGCATAACAGACGCTTCCGATACACATAATTAAAGCAGAGTGGTCTATATCGCGAAGGAGCAGACTTTTGTCTTCACCGTAGCCCCCTTTTTCCACCTCATATATCTAAACCCGATTACTTATTCCTTACGATATTTTTGCCTTCGGCAATAGTAGGGACAAATTACTATTAGGGATGGATTCTGTCGTTGTCAAGTTGCAGGTTTGTATCCAGAAATAACACAATGTCACCAGAATGTACCTGCGTTTTAGATTCTACAACTCAAGTTAGTAAGTTATCACACAGCACTGTGTTAACTATAACAGCTTTTCATCAAACTTTAATAAATAGCGTACGAATCAGATTTTAGAAGGAATACTGGATTATTATCTGGACCAGCTAACCATGTGAACTATTTTAATTGCACAATGCATATTTTACCTTGAATGATCCGGTTGGAGGCACGCGGCAGATTGGTTAACACCACGGCGTTCTTACTGTCGTATTTTGAAACTACCTTCTGTCTTTCTAGATCTGTACACTGGAAGTTAAGATAGTTATGTCTTCTCGGGGAAATGGAAAGGATAAAAGATACTTAAAGTTACAATATCGATCTGATCGCCACAGCTAAGAAGTGATAATACAGCTCAATAATAATACAGCCCAGTCTCGTATAGTATAAGACAATTATATGGTATTGAGTAATAATGTAATGTAGTATTGAGTAATAATGTAACCATGTCCCAATGTGATCATATCAACTCTTCGAGGAAATACATAAGCCAGGTGTTGCTATATATTGCTGGGACAAATGTGGTGAAATAATTACCAGAATCTAGTTAACACCAGCATCACACCGCGTCATGTGAGAGTCATCGTTTAGTGCTTTCGCTATTGTAATACACCTGTTCTACATCTCATTCAGCCGTGACAATCACATAGATTATAACGAGCCAAAAATTGAAAGATTTTCCTCGGCCAACTCAGCAGCAGATTTTGGGGTTTGGTAACGTACTTAGACCAATCAAACACTGCCTAGATGTTCATGTGACTAACTTGGTCTTCACATTGTCACAGTCGCTGCGACGCTACAGTTACCCAGGTTTAGATCAGGGGTAAGACGCACCAGGACGGGTATTTACTTAGTGCTGACGAATTTAACTGAGGTGTGTTCACTCAGTTTCAAACCATCAATCCTCTCAGTTAAAACGACCACTAGTACTTATTTCCTTAAATTTGTAAACTGCTAAATATGCCTGCTGATAATAAGTTATCATTATTATTACGTAAGCCAGATGATAGTCATTTTATTTGACGTTTTTAATTACAATCTTATAGATAACCAAGCCGTGGAGTGAATGATTGTCAAACGGTTTTAGGTTTTCATTTGGTTGCCTGACCGTCTTTGCCTTACCCTTTTTTATTTTAATCGAGTTGTTTCGTTTGATGTTATTTTTGCAGTAAAGTCTTTTCAGATGTAATTACCTTATCGGACCTTATTTGGACGGACATTACTTGAACGGACATAATTATGAACGGACATTAATATGAACGCTAGAAGGCGATCAAAACCATCAAAAATCCGAATTTTTTTCATTTTTTTGACGTTTTTTAAATTTCAGCAAATGTTTTTTAAATCCATTTTTCATACAGTAAGCAAGAAAAGCATTCTTTAATCAGTAAAAATGTTAAAATATATGTACCTGATCATTATCTAATAATAATATCACATATCTTCTTCATCAAATGGGTTTTCGTGCAGGGAGATATCCCGGTTTGTCTTCTACTTTATCGAGATGGGTGGTATGGTAGAAGGTATCGTAGCTGACATAAGCCACCGAAAGTCGCTTATACCAAGTGGGGGGTTAGAGATAAAGCTTAAGCTATACTTTAGGCATTCTGCAAGTATCTCTCTAGTAGAGCAGTTGGGATCGTTCAACGTTCATTGCCCGGTACGACTACGATCGTTGGACAGACAACCAGTTGTAAGAGAAAATGTGGAGATAGAAGAAGCCGAGGATAAATTTCAAGATAGTGTTCATGCAATAATGTGATATTTACAATTCAGATTGTTAAAATTTTATAATACCTTTGACCCTGTTTTTATTGATTCAACAATATAGATTAGTTTAATGATAGCTATTGAAATTGACTGACATATTCTGGACAAAAAGTTCGAAATGGAAAAATTTTTGAAAAAAATTCAACGGACTTTAACTTGGACGGACATTAATTGAACGGACTTTATTTGAACGGACATTAAGGTGAACGCTAGGGCCTCCAGCGTTCAAGTAATGTCCGTCCAAATAAGGTCCGATAAGGTAGATGATTTAATATGGCAATATGGTAGCAGCCAAAAGATATTAATTAATGTGCATAAAATAGGGTATCGAGATATTATCTCGATAATATTATCGACAATAATTGGGTCAAAATCTTTATCGATTTATCTCGATAACTGATAACAATTAAAATTAACAAAAATTCCTCCGAATTAAACATAGAAATTTAAGATTTGATCCTTGATACATATGCTGTTTCTCATGAAAAATAGTAATGCTAGTGTTATAATTACTACATACCAATATTATTATATTTATAACCTACAAGTCATACCTAGAGCTACATCAATTTAAATGCAGACTAGATCATATCATATGGAGACAGAGTTATGATGTATGCTACGTCCCAGTATTGTTATTTTTATTGGTTGGTAATCTAAATTCTAAAGAGAACTGTTATCAAAAGCCAGGAACAGCATTCCTCTGATTACAAGATAACCAAAAACAAAAATATGGTATTTCTCAGAGCGTGGGAACACGTCCCACAAAACAAATTCCAAGATAAAAAGAACAGAATAAAAGAGAATTAAAGTGAGTCATGTGATTCGCCGTCGTGTCCACCCTTTTAGGAAAGTAACGCCCTTGTATCCTTGCTCTCACTTCTCACCACTATCCTCCGCGCTAGTGTCCTATACCTGACTTAGTGGTTCTCACTTCTCACCATTTTCCTCCGCGCTAGTGTCCTATACCCGACTTAGTGGTTCTCACTTCTCACCACTATCCTCCGCGCTAGTGTCCTATACCTGACTTAGTGGTTCTCACTTCTCACCACTATCCTCCGCGCTAGTGTCCTATACCTGACTTAGTGGTTCTCACTTCTCACCACTATCCTCCGCGCTAGTGTCCTATACCTGACTTAGTGGTTCTCATTTCTCACCACTATCCTCCGCGCTAGTGTCCTATACCCGACTTAGTGGTTCTCACTTCTCACCACTATCCTCCGCGCTAGTGTCCTATACCCGACTTAGTGGTTCTCACTTCTCACCATTTTCAGTTCTCATCTATAAATACATCACTACAGCTATACTATCAATTCATAGATGTTTCCAGTTCTCGGTAGAACTACGCACACCAAGATGCACTGAGTCGTCACTATGGGTCTATAATAGGGTCCAAAACCTGCATTTCATCAGGTGGGACCAAGACAGCATTATCCGTGTGTCTCACTTGAAACACTCATGATCTTTGCCTTAACACGGTGAGCAGATAATGCTGTCTCTAGTTAGTCTTAAAGATCCAGACTGTAGTCCTTAGTGTACTTATGACATTGTTATGTCATGTTATAGACGTACTCCTGTTCTACATTCATAGATTCGATGAATGGTGTTGAACAGATCACAAGCCAAAACGAGCCATTATCAGCAATTACACACACACACACACACACACACACACACACACACACACACACACACACACACACACACACACACACACACACACACACACACACACACACACACACACACACACACACACACACACACACACACACACACACACACACACACACACACACACACACACACACACACACACACACACACACACACACACACACACACACACACACACACACACACACACACACACACACACACACACACACACACACACACACACACACACACACACACACACACACACACACACACACACACACACACACACACACACACACACACACACACACACACACACACACACACACACACACACACACACACACACACACACACACACACACACACACACACACACACACACACACACACACACACACACACACACACACACACACACACACACACACACACACACACACACACACACACACACACACACACACACACACACACACACACACACACACACACACACACACACACACACACACACACACACACACACACACACACACACACACACACACACACACACACACACACACACACACACACACACACACACACACACACACACACACCTGGTTCAAGTCAGAGGATCGAGCAAATAAATGAAAGGCATGTCGTAGGATGGTGGAGTAACCTAACATGAGGTACCTGCAGATAATTCCGCTAGGTAATATTAGAGTTACCTGCAGATAATTCCGCTAGATACTGGAGTTATCTGTGTATTTTTTCTGGATCCACTAATAGTACAGATCCGCCTGAAAAATCGATTTACTGACACAACGAGCTTTCAAAGGATTTTTGACGTTTTTTAGTCCCGCTAGGTGTCCTTTATGGCTGACCAACTTTTACAAACTTTTCCACGTGTCTTAAGGCCAATTTTACCACTCTTTACCACCTTTTTTGTTTGCCAAATATCTTTAGTTGTGAAAATGTCAATACCATAATCTGACACTGCTACATTGATTTTAGGAAAAAGTGAGATGGTTTTTAAGTGAATCAAAAAAGAAATGCAGCTGTCGACAGTGATCTTAAATTTACTGATATTCGCAGCAGGTGAGAATTTAAAATATGTCTATTCAAATACACTTCTGTAAGGACGATCAGCTTTATGCGGATCATATTATTTCGTCTCGATCAGTTAGCAAAAATCACATACCCGATCACCACAGGGACTACCGAAATATTGGACGGAACGATAATTCACACACATTCAGCTGTGCACAGCAGTTCAGAGACGACAAACGGTACAGTTATAAGCTACTCGTGTAAGTTCTGTCGGGAGGACTTTAAGTGCAAAGGAGGAGATGGTCAGGTGAAGCTCTCAGATATTTGCAGCGACAAAATTACATGCGTAGGACAGAAAGAAATTTGTGAGTTTTCTAGAACATTTCCTCAGCCAGTGGAAGATGTGGTGACGTATGAAAATGGCACGAAAATTATTTCTTACTGCTCGAGTATTGAACAAGAATTCTCGAGATCAGCTGACGGAGAACAATGTGAAACAGTCCTCTTCAAACCGCAAGGTTCGGAGATAGAGATAGAGATAGTCGTCCCCGACACACATTTAGTAGACTGTGAGCAGTATTATGGGGAAGCTTATCTTTATCTGAGTTGTCTAAAGAAGTGCCTTGTCCCCGCACAATGCCCACTTACCGAGAACAACACTTGTGCTGATAAGTTCCGTTGTGAGGATAACTCTTCACACTGTGTCCCCTACAGTAGAATCTGTGATCTGAAGGACGACTGCGAGGACGGGAGTGATGAAAGGAACTGTTCTAACAACTTCAAGTGTACCTCAGGGAGTGTTTCCTACGTGCCAATCTCTGCTAGATGTGACGGAAAAGTGGATTGCTGGGACTTTTCTGACGAGTGTAACGAGGAATGCTCCTCACATGAACGTTTTATTCTGGGGGACTCAGTCTTGAAAATCACTGCATGTGTCATTGGTTGTCTGTCTATTCTGCTGAATGCTGTTAATATTTACAGAGTGGGTAAAGAGTTGGGCAGCATCAAGTGGTTTAGGAGCGCACTGACCAAAGAGCTGATTATCTTCATCGCTGTGGGAGATTTAATTATGGGGTGTTATTTAGCTACCATCACCTTTATTGAAATTTCGAACGGAGACAACTATTGCAAGACAAAATATCTGTGGATGTCAAGTAAATTATGTGCACTGCTAGGGGTTATGAGTTCTTGTGGCTCTGAAATGTCAATCTTTGCTATGACAGCTCTGGCAATATTCAGAGTTTTAACCGTCAAATCAAACAGAGTGGCTAAAGAGAGTAGATTCTCTGATTTAGCAAAAACAAAACTACGTTTGTCAGCATGTTTCATTCTAGGGACGTCAGTTACTGTCGCTGTCCTGCCACTATTCAGCCAATTTGAGGATTTCTTTGTCACAAGTTTATACTACCATGAAAACCCTATGTTTATCGGGAAGATCACAAAAGAACGTCACATGAAACTATTCAAATCTTACTACGGAAAGATTAAAAATGGAACATATCTGTCGTGGCAAGAGATACGTAAGTCAGTTGGGACTATGTTTACAGAAAGAAACGGCGGGGTGGTTGGCTCGAGTATTCATTACTATGGGAGTGACGGAGTCTGTGTTTCCAAGTACCTCGTCACCCCTGAAGATCCACGCTCACTCTCAGCGTTCACTCTCAGCATACTTTTAGTAAACTTTATCTGTTTTCTCATCATGTGTATCTGCTACATCTGTATCAATATGCATACGAAACGGAGGAAGGTACCAAAACTAATGCCTTCTCCAACTCCAAACAGGGTGGATAAGAAAATAAAGAGGAATTTGAGAGTGAAAACTGGGGCAATAATTGGAACTGATTTTGTAACCTGGATACCTCTAATCATCATCTGTTTGCTGCACTACGCGAGGCTTTTAGACGCTAAACCATTTTATCCCTTCTTTTCGGTAGTGATTCTCCCGATAAACTCATTGATAAACCCCCTGCTGTACGACAGTAAAATAATGGACAGTGTGGTTGAGTATTTTACCCTCGTATTCGAGAACTTTAAGCGCTGTATTAAGATGGGGAAAGAGACATGGTGTAAAAAGAAAAGTGTTACGTGTAACAGTAACACTGTTTTCCTCGGCAGAAATACTAGACACTCCTGCTTAATCGTTATATTTTGATACAAATATTTCAAACACTTTTTATCGTAATTGTAAATTACGCTGGTATTTGGAAGAGATAATACTGTAGTATGCTTTGAGTGTTTATCGTTAACGAGAACATATAGCGTTATCAATGATCAACACAGCTGTTTTTAGACTGATTAGTGCATTTTTGTTCGATAAGTAGCTCTAGTCACAACTGCTTATCACATTTACTATTTTAAGCATTAAGATTGTTTCATACTACGCTGTTATTTTCCGAGTGGTGTTTTACCCGATTGGATTTAGATTTTGTCCTTCACCATAATTACTTACATTCTACGAATTTTGATTGATTACATTTTGCTTTTGTTATAATCTTTACGTTTGAGTTAGTAAATTATGATGATTATATATAAGCACTCCATAAAGATAAGCACTCCATAAAGCAAAATGTATATATACATTTTGCTTTATGGAGTGCTTATCTAAAATCTTAAAATGTTTTACAGGCACTAAATATGCAGTTTGCTTACAAAGGATTCAAGCCTTACATTGTGTGTTTCCCTTCGTGTCCAAATGCAATATAATTTTTTAGCTTTATTTCTCAGTTCCTATAGTTGCTATTACCTATCTATTAGGGCTTTAGCATTAACCTTGCGTTGACGAACAGTTGAGTTGGTAAAATGTGTAACCTTGATGAATGATAAATGTTTAATGTATATAAGAATGATACTTTCAATTTTAAAATCTGATAATTATTGTTTAATATGTTTCTTTTTTGAAACGGCTTTAATCATAGACGCTGAATACCTCAGATCTCACGATAAGGCTCCTCCAATAACTACAAGGATTCACAAAGGATATCATAAAAACTTACAATAGTTTGTTGAGTATCCATGGAAACAGTAGTGTAACTGTAGTCAAGGAATGTAAGGCCTAAGACCGGACGCACGTGTTCTTCAAACCTGCAAACACAAGTCGTCACTTGTAAAGTCGTCACTATAAATTAAAATATGCACATTGCACATCAAAAAATAAACTATTTTATTGTACTAAAATAAAAGTGATACTATGGAAGTTGTGAATAATCATTTTAGGAGCGATCTACTTAGGACGTCCGCCAAAATCGCATATTTTCAGACCACCCCCTCCCACTGTCGGGTGTGTCCGAATTTTCAAAACCTCTTCCTCCCCCGGACGTCCGGATTTTCAGCTACTTTTAAGAGTACAAATAAAAGCAATTCAAATTCATTGTTAATAAAATTCAAAGAATTAAAATAGAATTCAAAGAGTTGAAATAAATGGGACTTTTTCGTTAATTCTGCCAAAATTTCCGGACGTCCGGATTTTCAGAAACCACCCCCTCCCCCTGTCTGGATTTTTTCAAAATTCCAAAACCACCCCCCTCCCTATTTTCCGGACGTCCTAAGTAGATGAACCCCTAGAGATTGGATTTCTAAATCAAACCTTTTGATCTTGCTCCCAAGACCGGTATTTGTGGCTCGAAGATCCCAGAGAATAACAGTTTTATCTTTACTCCCAGAGAGAAGGAAACATTCATCATCGGTCACTCTAAGTGCGTTGATACGGTCGGAGTGCCCTGATATAATCAAAGTTGTGGAAAATAAAAATATGACACGCTAATAATTATGATAAACATCTAACCAGTTTGTTAGGTCTAATTGGAGCCGCTAGTTTTTTCTGAACATAAACAATTTAAACATATACCAAAACAGTCTCATAACGAGGAAACCTTACCCGTGAACTGCTGCAAGAAGATGTGTTTAAAACTGAAATGATCAGAAGTAGAGGTAACACAGGTCTCCCAAACCCTTCTCCAGTTATCCCGGAGACTGTCGCACTGATCCAGAGGTTTACAGGACAGTAGAGGGGAGGGGTAGGTGTAGGGCACGGAGTTAGTTTCAGAGCCGTACCGTGGTTTGGGGGCGTTCTCGGTGGCGGTCTCAACGTATGGTATGTCCATGTAGGCCAGCACCTCTATCAGCTCTATGTTGTCCAATGTTCTGAGAAGAATAATAATAAAAATGGAGACTTGGGAGAATTATTCTTAATTTTCATCTAATCAAAATATACAATAATTCTCAATTTAAACCAATCCGTAGAAATAAAAATCAACACTAACCTTCTCAAAGTCTCCTGTCCGATGAGACGACATAGATGAACATATGTGTTCTGAGCAACCTCCGGTGCCAAACAGGTCTCAATCTGAGACTGAATAGTCCGCTCCTTCTTACTCCCATCTGACAAACAGTCCACATCTTTAACCGGGTCCTCAGGGATGGTCTCGTCGCTCTCACTCTCACTGCTCAGTGAGGGTGAACTGGGTCGACTCCGGGGTGACATGGCCCCTCTATTCAGCCCGGGGGTCTCCTTATCCACACTGTAGCTGTCCGGGTCTGTATCAGTTCCCATGACAGAGACGGCTCTAACAGCACGAGAGCGGTGAGACATGATGTCAGCACCGGGGGGTAGGAGGGAGAAATGTATGTTCTCCTCGCCGTCCTCTTCTTCCTCCCTCACATTCTCTTCTTCCTCCCTCACATTCTGCCTGCGGTCGTCTGGTGTTCCCGTGTCTAAGCTGCTTGTCTCTGGGAAGACGAGATCAACCTCTTACAAGTTACAAATAGTAGAAAATAAGTAATCGTTTATTGGCATCATGACGTATTCTGTGGAGCCTGAATTCCAGCAAGTAAATACCCTACAAACTGTAAACCTGCCACCCTGAAATTCTAACCTTGAGTAGGAGTTTTAGGGAGCTGCTGCTCCACAATAGTCTCACACTCAAGCTGAAGAGCGTCCGCCAGGTTGAGAACCCCGGAGACTGGGGAGGAACCCACGTCTATCTGACACGGGTCAGTGTCCGTTATGGATTGGGAGTGGTAACGTTTAGGGTACAGCGGGAACTGCTGCTTCAGGTGGATGAAGTAATCTGCGTCCTGGGGAGGTAGGGTGGGATTATTGACACTGATAGAAGTTTAGTAGAGAAATGAGAAGGGTACTTGGGTACATTATTTCATCTTGCATATGGCATGATTGCATTTTGAAGATGAAATATGAGTTAATGAAACTTTGTTTCGTACCCACATCTAACCCACCCCTGTATGTAATCACAATCTTGTTTTTTGTCACTCAGATATAAACATTTTATGGGAAATTATAACTTCATTCGTTTCCGACGGGAATTTTCCAAATTTTAACTAAAATGATTACCCGGTGGTGCAAACGAACCCAACAATTGTCACCCCTGTACGTGCACGTATTTGAGTTTGCGAACTTTTCCGTTCCCACAAACTCCGAGAGAGCATCTGACACGATTCTAATTGTTTCCATCGTGCACTCGTGACGTCAAAAACCCAGTAACGTGACTTAAATGAGTGTGTTTCAGAGTAGCATCACGCTCATTAAACGGATAAATTGCCGACAATTTAGCGATCAGTATGATTTCAGTACATTTTCAAAATTTTACACGATAATTTCGATAAATGCTGCTGAATTCTCGTTTAAATGAAATTTGCTCCTTGCAATTCAAATAAATTAACGTCTTTTCTAGATACGTAAATCTGTGAAAAATTTGCTCGCTTGTTTTAGCTCGGTTATCCTCAGAGTTAGTTTATCTAGTTTCCGCTACACTTACCTCTTACAAGTTTGGTTTTCCTCTTTTAAATAAAACTGGTTATTAGCATAGGACAGACACCATCTAATCGCTGCACACTAAGCCACCAATTGACAGTTTCACCGCGCGAGCTATCTGATAACCTGATATCGTGGATGACTCTGGAACTTCTGAAGACGCTGCTCCTCCGACTGAGGGGGTTGTTCGAGGTGTGGTGTTGGGTCGTCTTCAGACGAACAGTGAACAAAGCCGACACTCAGCACCAGGAAGTGCTTATACCAACACAGATTGATTAAACCATTAGCTGACTATAATTCCTGTTACAGAGGTAAATTATCCGTGACAAACACTGGCCGCCCAGTTGGTGCGTGATCACAATTTATGTTGTTAGCTGTTTGTCGTGCAACGGTTGGTTTGTTGTTATCAGAATTTTGTTATCATGGTGCTGGGTCCGGAGGTTTTCATGTACAAACTGCTCTTTAATAAAGCTTGTAATGAATATACTGATGACCAGGTCAACGGTTTGAGGTAAAACTTTTTATTCAAAGTCTGAACTTTTTTTAATTTTAGGAGATTCAGTCGCAACAATTGCACATTCGATCACTGCTAAAAATGAAATTTTATTAAATCTGTTATCCCCAGAAATAAACTTAGAGGAGAGGACGAGCCGACTATGGACATGGTTGATGAGCTTCTGGAGTATTTGGACGGAGAGCTTCCCAAAGCGGACCAGAGTGATGTGGAGAGTGTTTTAGATATGGCAGCTCCGGTCCTCGCAGCGCTCCTGGTACCCATGAAACAGAAATACGACAGAATAGTGGAGATCAAGGAAGAGGTGACTGAAGCCATCACTGACGTTGTCCCAGTTGAGGAGATAGTCCAGGATTACGAGGAAACTCTCGACGATTTGAAAGACTTTTGCAAGCACATCTCACAAGAGGTTGAGGTTAATTGGCAGGACAACTTGGATGAGCTGCACAGGAAACTTTGGGAATTAGATTCCACCATGGCCATGTCCGAACTGGAGGATTTCTCCCTTTCCTCTTTCGACAATACTGTTCCTGCCTATCCGGCAAGATTGAGAAGGCAAATGTCTGAACTAGAAAGTGATAACTATAAGGTATTGGAGTCCCCTGATTTGAATCTGAGGCGCCAGGTGTCTGAATATGATAACTATAAGGTATTGGAGTCCCCTGATTTGAATCTGAGGCGCCAGGTGTCTGAATATGATAACTGTAAGGTATTGGAGTCCCCTGATTTGAGGCTGAGGCGCCAGGTGTCTGAATATGAAGAGCTTCCATTCACTAATTGTATTTCGACGAGACCATTTGTCGCTGAAATGGCCAGGTTGACTCCAGAGAGGTTCCAGTCTCCAACACAATCCGCGGGAACCTCACCGACAACAAGCAACGTTGTGGTCAACATATTGCCCAGTTTTGAAATTTCGAACTTAGAAATATCACCGGCCTCCAGCAGGTCCATAAGTCCAATCCAGGGTCTTCACTCTCAATACAGTTTTAGCTCAATGGCTAATAATGACAGGGCCCAGTCTCCTGGTGTGTTTTACAGCGCTTGTCACAGTCGCCGACAAAGTAACGGCACTAACGGCAGCGATCTCATCTCTAGATACGTCTCAGCTAAACACCCCCAACTCTATCACTCGGAACAGTTCAAGGACTTTTCCAGCCGAAGATCAAGCTTAAACTACAGCCAGACCTTGTACGATTTAAGCCACTTTGAAGATAGCCACTCCACCTCCACCACGGACAGCCTCAACCGAAGACATGTGTCCAGAAAGAAGAGTGCACTATCGTTTCTCGTAGAATATGTTAAATACAAGATAGGATCAGAAAAAACCAGCAATTTCCCTAATCCAGTTGAAATTGAAAACATACGCGAGGAGGAGGAAGTAAAGATAAAGATTACGAGAAGCTCTGTTTCGTCGGAATAATAACTCGTGTAGAAATCAATTATATTTAAACGATCTTATTTTATGAATCTCCAGTCTCCACTCACTGCAAAAACAAATACATCATGTATTGTCGACGTTTCGGCTACACGCCATCGACGAAACGTTGAGATTACTCTTCGCATAGCTGCAAGTTGCAAGACACAATTGTTAAATTAACTAACACCTAACACATCCCCTCTGCAGGTGATTTGTAAAGAGTAATCTCAACGTTTTGACACGCCAAAACGTCGACAGTACATGGTGTATTTTGTTTAACAGTGAGTGGAGACTCTCATTTCGCCCACAGTTTAATCTATCATGATCACTCAATAGAGCGAAAAACCAAACATGTCCCATACTTAATGTTATATGTAAGAGATGCTACAAATTGTTAATTTGGTTTTATTTATTGTAAAATATGTCAATATTTTGATGGTAATTAGTCAAATAGTGGTTTGATTTCATTCATAAACAAGGGTTATGATTTTAATTCAAGACCCATTAACTGAATAACTTTGATGGTTATATTTGCTGTTATATTTCGTTTTAAAAATTCAACTGCATTTTTAAATTTTCATAAGCGCATAATTTATCAAATCGATCTTAACCTATTGACCTCAATTCTGAAGATACAAACAATAAGGACTAATTTGAAATGAAATGAGGTATTTACATCCGGCAATTCAGTAGTGTGGCATAACACGGTTAAGACACGAAGACTTTATAACCAATGACAAGCCAACTGTCTCACAAAAATGAGAGCAAATTTTAAAAAACTGATCACATAAATTATATATAGATTATATAAATGGTTCTTCAACATTCGCTTGAAATAATAAGTATCAGTAATATATCTCAACCAACATCAGTGGATGAGCGTTCTTAGATATGCCCAGTTATTTCACCACATGAATCTAAAAGAAATAAAAATATAACCACATAACATGAATTTAACTTGCCTGGGACAGAAGGGAGTACTGAGAGGGGCTGAGCACATCAGTTGCCCCGTTACCGGCCCCGCTAGCACCACTACAGCTTTCCGGAGTGGTCTCCTCCTCCCGGTAAAGGTAAGAGACAACGTCAAACATCAGAAAATATTGTTTCACCTGCAATAAAGTGAATTGTTATTTAACTTAAATGTTGGTGTACCCCAAGCCAAATTTGGTCGTCTGATCGCATTCAGATTGCAGTAGGGACCTTGTCAACTTAAATTCACAGCTATTGACCCCTTGCACTTAAGTTCCACTATATAGTTGGCTACTTAGCCGAGTGTAGTCCCTAAATATCAAATGTGATATCCTAGATTATTATAAGTAATCTATTCGCGGGTAGATTATTATTTTGTGAGACAATATTTTAACATACGCATGCTACTGATTGTTTACCGCTACACAATTATCATCAATTATCAACAATGTCCATTGAAGACTACTAGTCACTAAACATCTTCAAGAAAATCTGTAAAATCTAATAGATTATTAGTAATCTATTGACTATTCGGGCATACACAGGCTACGGATTGTTAAAGAGAACCACTACACAATTCATTATCAACAGTGTTCATTGCAGACTACACAGTTTTAACTGAGTCTTGCAAAGAAACTAATTTATGTTTTAAAACTTTCGTCAAATACTGCAATACTGGCCTGTGTTTTTTTTGTCCCATAATTATATAACACTTTATTTCAAATTGATCAATACGGTTTCAAATTGAATTATTGTCGATGAGACGAATATTGACAAATCTTAGTAAATATGTACCTTCATTTGGCATAAAATTATAAATACAGCAACGAGACTTTTATTCATATCATTTTATTCATATCATTGAATTTCGAGTCGAGTCGGAAGTTCCTCCTCGATTTTCAACGATTAAAGATTAAAATGCAAAATAACTAACCGTTCAACACTTTTAAAATGATAAAAAATCATATTATTTTATTGAAGTTGTGGCCATACCAGTATAGCTAAGTCCAGCAGTCAACGTAATCAAGCACTACATGACAACTCATTTGCAGTCACTGGACCTCGATTATGGAATGTAATCCCAACACATATGCACACCATCGAGGATGGCGGTTACTTCACACCAATTAAAGTAACAAAGTAAGTAAGAATATACCGGAATCAATTTCTACAAACCTACAAACATTTTAGTGGCTAATACTATGTATCAAAGTCGAATCTGATGCTGGATGGGTTGAGAAACAGTTTTTAGGCTGCGAAAGTAAACATGCTCTACAGAATACCCCTTACAAATACACCAAACAAAAATACAGATGACAGAAGGATTAAAAAACTGTCAACATACTCTTCTAACTCACTCCACGTCCTTAGAACTCTAATAATTTAAATAAAGTGTTGTTTTTAGTCCCCTTTAAATTTATTTGTAAGTTTTCTTCGCAACATCAGCTGGTTTCAAGCCGTAGTCTGAGTGTCCATATCACTGACAAAAAGTTGAAAACACTTTTCCATCATGTAAAACTCATCAACATTCATTTTGCAGACAGCAGTTACTTCACACCATCTACTGCTTGAGCATCCAGATACAGCACAACCGTGACCATTCGGAATAATACCTTTTGTGTCGACCTCCGTGTTAGCGAGAAGAAACATATAAGGACTCCTGGCGTTACAAAGAACCTGTCGATAACCGAGCGGGCAAGAAACTCCCGGAGCTGGGCCGCGGGAGTGCAGGTTTATAAATTTAGGTAAGTCAGGACCCTCACTGTTACAAGGGTCGGTAACTTGCTCACTTCTCGAGCAAACAGCTCGTGCAACAACACCAAAACCACCCTGTCCATTTACTGCTACACAAACACGACCGTTAATCGGATCAACGTATGCTCCATCACTTTGAGTGTGAACCAGTTCCGATTGAACTTCACAGTGGGTAACTACATAGCCTGCCGGGCATATTGCTTTGGATTCTGCATCATCTGCCGAAGTGCTTCGATACCCCACAATTTCTTTTCCAGAACAAACATCATTCCTGTACACTTGTAATTCCTCATTCATTTTGCAGACAGCAGTTACTTCACACCAATTATTGGTTGTGCATTCAGATACAGCACAACTGCGATCATTTGGAATAATACCTTTTGTGTCGACCCCCTTGTTTGTGAGAATACCCAACCAAGGACTCCTGGCGTTACAAAGAACCTGCCGATAACCGAGCGGGCAAGAAACTCCCGGAGCTGGGCCGCGGGAGTGCAGGTTTACAAACTTAGGTAAGTCAGGACCCTCACTGTTACAAGGGTCGGTAACTTGCTCACTTCTCGAGCAAACAGCTCGTGCAACAACACCAAAACCACCCTGTCCATTTACTGCTACACAAACACGACCGTTACTCGGATCAACGTATGCTCCATCACTTGTGGTACCAACTAGTCCCGAATGGACCTCGCAGTGGGTGACCGTGTAGCCTGTCGGACAAACTGCTCTGGATTGAGCATCATTCCACAGACCACTCATTAGTCCCATAGCTTCCACAACGTCACTCTTAGGACAAACAGCAGTCTTGTACAATTCTGAATCTTCGTTCATTTTGCAGACAGCGGTTACTTCACACCAATTACTGGTTGTGCATTCACTTTCAGATACAGCACAACAGTAATCATTCGGAATAATACCTAGTTTTGCATTGACCCAATTGTTTGTGAGAAGATCAAGCCGGTGACTCCTGGCGTTACAAAGAACCTGATCATATCCGGGCGGGCAGGAAACACCGGGAGCTGGGCCGCGGGAGTGCAGGTTCATGAACGTAGGTAGGTCAGGACCCCCACTGTTACAAGGGTCGGTAACTTTTTTTTCAATTTTTGAGCAAACGGCTCTTGCAATAGTACTAGGACCACCCTTTCCATTTACAGCTTCACAGACACGATCGTTACTCGGATCAACGTATGCTCCATCACTTTGGGTATGAACTAGTCCTGATTGAACTTCACAGTGGGAAACTACATAGCCTACTGGGCATGTTGCTCTGGATTTTGTATCATCCTCCAAAATGCTTCGTTGCCCCCCAATTTCTTTTTCAGGACAAACAGCAGTCTTGTACACTTGTAATTCCTCGTTCATTTTGCAGACAGCAGTTACTTCACACCAATTACTGGTTGAGCATTTAGATACAGCACAACTGCGATCATTTGAAATGATACCTTTTGTGTCGACCCCCTTGTTAGTAAGGAGACCCAACCAAGGACTCATGGCGTTACAAAGAACCTGCTGGTAACCGAGCGGGCAAGAAACTCCCGGAGCTGGGCCGCGGGAGTGCAGGTTTACAAACTTATGTAAGTCAAGACCCTCACTGTTACAAGGGTCGGTAACTTTCTCACTTCTCGAGCAAACAGCTCGTGCAACAACACCAGGACCACCCTCTCCATTTACTGCTACACAAACACGACCGTTAATCGGATCAACGTATGCTCCATCACTTTGAGTGTGCACCAGTTCCGATTGAACTTCACAGTGGGTAACTACATAGCCTGCCGGGCATATTGCTTTGGATTCTGCATCATCTGCCGAAGTGCTTCGATATCCTATGAGTACAATATCCTGATTTCCTACAATCGGCATGGAAATGGAATCCACTACGACTATTACCAGTGCAACTGCGACAAATATACAGATCATTGTTCAGATAAAATAATTCGTCGTCGCAAACATCAATAACATAGAGAAAATGATTATATTATTTTTGGCATCAACGCGAATTTCGTTTCATTAACGCGCATGTCTTTTCATTAACACGCATTTATTTTCAAGTTGGTTACGTAGGTACCTCCATTAGATTGCAACTCGCAAACTAATGGATCACTGGATCACTAGATCATGATATCTAGTGGTACTACAAGTGCTCGTTCCTTTTCATGGAATACGAAGACTTTGTATTCCACGTACAGGAACGAGCACTCGAACTCCAGTTCTCCAATCTCTTATCCTGTTAACAAGCTGGAACAAACACATCGGATCAAAGTGTTGAATCATATTGGTGTGACGTTTGTAGGACCGATTAATTTTATTATTTTCGATGCAAACGGCGCGTCGAAAACAGGGGAGATGTAAAAACTTAAAAACAGGGGAGATGTAAAAACAGGGGAGATGTAAAAACAGGGGAGATGTAAAAACAGGGGAGATGTAAAAACAGGGGAGATGTAAAAACAGGGGAGATGATGTAAATTTTACGACTTAAGGCGACGATGTGGGATGGAGTTAAATTAGTCAAATTCACCGAATATACATTTTCATCCCTAAATACAGGTACGTACATCTCTACTATAATTCAGAGAATAATTTCTGTATGTCTGTCTGTACGACCGCCCACGTGCAAATTAGATGAAAAATAGGAATTTAGGTAACAACCAAAAGGTTCCATAGCAACGGTGTTTTAATGCACACATGCACGTGCAAAGATTGTTTTAACGTCATTTTGATCGGTTTTGCGGTAATTACGTTGTGTTTAAAGTGTTTTATATTTAAATCGGCTGTATCTTCGGTTGAGATGGATATTTTTTGATGCGATTAAAACTTTCTTTCAAAGAATACTACTAGCTTCGTCCCTGTTACCACGGGCTTTCTAGTCTCTACTATAATTCAAAGAATTATTTCTGTATGATGTCTGTACGACCGCCCACGTGCAAATCAGACGAGAAATAAGAAGTTGCATAATAACCATGGTAACGAGGATTTTTACACGCACGTGCACGTGCAATGATTGGCGAACGGCATTTTTATCGGTTTTGTTGATATTATTACGTTGTGTTTAGTTCGAGCAACATTTTAATCGGCTGTAACTTCGGTGGGGATGAATACTTTTTGACTCGATTAAAACTGACTGCCAAAGAATAATATTAGGTTCCTCCCTGTGACCACGGGTTTTCTACTTTCTAGTAATTTATAATATGAACAATTTTTGTTGAATATGATATTTTAAACCCGACGGCGCACACGTAGTAATAATAAATCTGTCGGTACAAACTACAAAAGAATCAAAACTGATGCTTCATGGCTCGCTCTTAGAGAAAGCAATAAGCAATACAACAAGATCCTGTCGAACTCCCAGCGCAATGCGTGGCGGAAATTCTGCGCAGACACAGAATCGGTTAAG